TCCCATGAGTTTAAAAGATCATGGTAATGTTCACGAATGTGAAAGTCTTCTGGGCAGTCAGCTGGCTGGTTTCACCCCTTTTATGTGTCCTCAGCTGAGGAGCTTTAAGACTTAGGGACAAAGTCCCTAGTATAGGTTGGTAGCTGTTTGAGGGCTTAGGGAGCAGGGGTCTTCTCATGCTGCCCAGTAACTGAGAATCTCACTGATCTCACTCTCATAGTGTGGGTATTGCTGAGTTATCCTGTCACCTTTATACCCAGATCCCTGCATAAAGGGGTAGTTGGGTGAAGATTGCTGTAGGGCCAGCAACTTAAAATATTTTGAAAGCCTGAAAAATGTCTGTCTGAAGAAGTGACAGTGTGTTCCACTACTGATCCAAGGGGAGAGTTAGATGGAGGCGTGAAGGGAGATGCTATAGAAGAAGCATTTGTTTGTTCTTATTTTATATAAAAGCTCATTATAGAAAAATCAGAAAAGGCTAAAACAAAAGCAAAACATACAAAAATCTTTAAAAGTAAGACATTGCACCACATGAACCTACTTTTTTTAAACTTTAACATTTTTTAGATACGCAGAAAAATTGAGAATATGGCAAACACTAGATTCAGCTTAATCTTTTAAAAATTTTGACATAGTTTCAGACTTACAGATAAGTTATACTACAACAAAAATTAGGAGTGCTCTTTACCCAGATTCCCCAGAATGTTAATTTCTTACTATATTTGCTTTGCCTTTTCTTTTACTTCTGTGTGTGTGCGTGTGGGTGTATCTGTCGGTCTGTATCTGTGTATATATTTCTGAACTATCCCACCTCTGAGGAGTAAATTGCTTTCATGATGTTCTCTTGCTCCTAAATAATTTACTTGTTTTTCCTAAACACAGGAATTCTCTTACATAACCACAGCATGGTGATCAAAATCAGGAACTTAACATTGATATCAATACTATTACCTAATCTACTGGACTTATTTAGATTTCACCAGTTGTTCAAATGTGTCCTTTATGGCAAAATAAAATCCCAGATGCTGTGTTGCATTCAGTTGTTACATCTGTCTTTCCTTTAATCCGGAACCAGTGTTTGTGTTTCAGGGTAGAGACCTAGGTTTTGTTGGAGTTTTTTTGTTTTGTTTTGTTTTGTTTTTGTATCTCACAGTATATACTAAGCAATTTTCCATTTTGGTAGATACTGAGAGCAGTGTAGGTCTCACTGAGTAACTGAGCCAGGACTCTGGGGCCAGACTACCTATTTCAAACTACTACTCAGTACCTTAAACTTAAAAGTGTTCTCTTAAGCAAGTTTTCTTACCTATGAAATGGCAGTACCAATACTACAACCCCATGGGTTGTGGTAATTAAAGGAATGCATAAGTGCATATTTCTGATACAGTGCCTGTCACAGAGTAAGCTCAGAAAATGCTAGCTACTCTTCACCACTAAGTGACATTCACAAGGGACATTCCGCAGATATATTGGCAGTAGCCAGTGTGGCTCTGTTCTCTCCTACCCTGCTTTTCCTCATATCTATCTAGGTTCAGAGAGCAAACTTGGCCAGCTTACTCAACCACAGGTTGGTTTAGTTGGAAAAACTGCCCGAAAGAGTGGTTATGAAGTGCTCCCAAGCTCACGAGCTCATGATGGTTGGTGACAATTTCAGTAGTCTTAAGAGTAAGAACAGTGAGGTTACTTTTGATAGATGCTAAACGTTTTATTATGACATTACATAGTTACTTTTTTTGGGTATTGAAATGTTCTTTTAAAAATGATGTTCATAAAAAGAAAAACCTGATGCTTATAAAGATGGTTGCTTATTTTGTCATTGTATTTAATATATTTAATAGGTCAGAAAAGTAACAAAGACAAACCTGTTACTTTGGTAATATTTTACTAGTCCATGACAAGATTTTACTGGTCCATGACAAGCCAGTGGTCTGGGAATTACTGTTCTAAATGATGTCTATTTGGCTTTGTGCTTATATATGAGTACCTGTGAACAGTATTTCTATCTCAAAATTCATTAATTTAGTTGTAGATTGAATGAACATTTTTTGACCCCCCTTCTGAATGTGGGACACTGTACCAGATGCTTTTCATGTCTCATTTCATCTTTGTAATTAACCCTGTGACCTGTGTGTTGTTTTTCCTGCTTCTAGTGAGGAGATAGAATCTTAGAGATGATGGAGTTCACCCAAAGTTATGCAGCCAGGAGTGGTATGACCACAGTTAGAACCCGGCTCTCCCTGGTGACAGAGGCCATGTTTGCTTTTTTCTCTCCATCGGTTCACAACTCATGTGCTTCAGACCTGTGGAATTTTAGCATACAGTTCATTGATCCATAAGTTCATGGGCCTCCGTTCAATCAAGATATGCTGAAGGTACAACTATATCTAGAGAGTTGTTTTTTTTTTAAGTGGCTTTGCTGTACAAAAATAGGAAAACATTTTTCTACCCTACAGACAGCAATTCGTATAATAGTAGGAGTCCCTCATTTTTGGTGACTCTTGAGTTAGGAATGAAACTGCCACCTTTGCCTGCGTCAGTGTGATTCTTTAGCCTTCCGTTCTAGTTACATACAGGTTGCCTTCCAAGGAAAAGAAGTTGCCACTATGTGATATTACTGGGTACCCTAGAAACACTTAATGATCTTCTAACTGGATATAGGAAATAAGATGCATTTAAATAATTACTACTAAGTGAGAGGGGCAAAGTTCGAGGCCAAGTCATGAGTTGCTGAAGGAGACAGATTTCAGCTCTAAAACTGTGGGGCTCTGTCTAGTGCAGTGTTTCTTAAATTTGGTTGTTTATGCTACTTTTTAATAAATAAACCTGTTCCCTACTCTAGACCTACTGAATAAGTCTCTTTGACTGAGGGACACACATGTATGTGCAGCTGAAAATCTCCCCCAGGCGATCCTGAGGACCAAGTTACCTCTGACTGCATAGCTGGACGCCACACCAGCCTTGGGATGTGTAAGGCCCCTTTAGATTATGGATGGTTCTCCTAGGCACTCTCTTGAGTTGGTACATGAAGCAGGCCTTGGGACTGTCAGAGCTCCCCAGGGCATTTTAAATTCCTTCCTTTTCCTCACTGGTCACTAAAGTTAGGAGCTTTCTTGTCAAGCCCATTTCTGTAAAATGTGTGATAAGCATACTCATAAATCTGATGTTCTAGATTAGCAATTTTCAACCTTATTCATCTCATGGCACACATAAACTAATTACTAAAATTCTGTGGCACACCAAAAAAATGTATTTTTTGCTGACCTGACAAAGAAATACGTATAAGTTTGATTCATTCACACTGGTGGCTATTGTGTTGGCTATTGTCACTTTTCTTATTTGACAGTAAGGGAGACGAGGTCAGTGCCCCTGACTCAACAGTCAGGTATGGCATGTTTTAAAAATTCTTGCGGCACACCTGTTGAAAATAGGTGTTCTAGATGGTAGTTGTAGAAGAGTAGTTTTTGGCAGTCTGATCATCCACTGATTCAGTTCATCTCATGCTGTAGCCCTGTATGTACTCGACCAGCAGCCTGAGAGGAAAGCAGCTGGGAGCTGCTCTGAGGCTTATCCTAAACTCCTCACTGTGGCCTCTAGAGCCCAATGGGATCTGGCTCCTGCCTCAGCTCACAGCAGCCTCTTCCTTACTAGCTGGGTTTCAGACACCTGTGTCTTCTACTACAAACGTGCCAAACTCATGCTGCTTTTGGGGAACTCCCTCTAACTAATTCTCGGTTTCAGCTTAGATGTTGACTCCTTATCAGTCTCTATTGTATCACCTCTTCTGTTTTCATCATAGTATTTATCACTGTCTGGAATTTTATTATCATTTGTCTTTTCCACTCTGTTGTCAGCTCCACAAGAGCAGGTACCTGTCTGTATTGTTTCCCATCAAACTCAAAGTATCTGGAATAGTGCCTGGCTGGTAATAGGTGCTCAAGAAGCATCAGCGGAAGGAGTGCTTTGGCCTGTACACCCTCATGCACCTTTACTGCGGGGCAGCGCTGTGCTGACCCTCTCTTGGTATCTCTTGGTATCTCTTGGTATCTCTTGGTATTAGAACTATAGCAGTTTTCTGGAGGAAAACTAAATACCTTTGAGCTATCTGTCATGTTGCAATGCTCCCATGAAACTTTTCCTTGCCCACACGTAGGTTAGAGTGACAACAGCTATTTGGAAATACATGTCCATAGGCCCAACTAGAGGGTAAATGATCCCTTAGGATTAGTGTTAATTTCACAGTCTCTCAAGTGCTGGGCTGTGTATCCTCTGGGTACTGGCCATATTCTGAGATCTGGGCAGTAAAGGACATCTTTTAATTTTTATGTTTTAGATTTTATTTATTGTTGTAGAGAAGGGAAGGGAGGGAGAAAGAAGAAGAGAGACCTGAATGTGCAAGAGATACAATGATCTATTGCCTCTCTCACATCCCCAACTGGGGTCCTGGCCCACAATCTGGGCATGTACCCTGACTGGGAATTGAACTAGCAACCTTTTGGTTTGCAGGATGATGCCTAACCCATTGAGCCACACCAGTCAGGGCAAAGGGCATCTTGAATTTGGAAGAACTTAGCCCTATTTGTCACACCTGTCTCTTTCCTTGCTATAGAAATACTGCTGTCTGAGTACAAACTTGTGGCCTGATCTGACTCTCAGAGACTTAAGTGGGGACCGTTTGGATAGTATCATGCTGTCTGTTGTATAAAGCTTCTGAAAGCTTCAGGACCTTAGAGAGGTTTTCCTAGAGGACCTCTTTGAAAACCTGGGGATAGTGATACATCCTTACCTCAGAAAATGTATAAGCACCAGTGCATATAGCTTTGCCTATAATTTTGAGGGGCATAAGGACTTGAATGCCCTTCATGGACAATTTCTGTTTGGGGGTTGAGATTGGTTTGCTTATCCACCACAGCTGGGTCTTGGCTCTTCCATGGCCGTTTCTTTCTGACTTGGTCTCCCGTCTTCTGTGCCCTCTCGTTTTTAAACCTGTTGGACCCTCTCAGGCCCAGAAGAGGCGATATTCTCCAGGAGTCCAGGTACTCAGTTTTCGATCTACCATGGTCATCCTTTATTCCCTTTGTGTTCATCCAACATTTGCTACTGTTAAGTATCCATGTGGCTATTGTCTCAAGAGTCACCAGTCTCTGATTTTTTAGTGTACCCTCACCTTGCATGTTGACTGTTCGGGATGGTGTGGAACTCATTGAGTGGCATGTGTCATGTGACCTCTCCTTTCATTTACACTGCCTAGCACTGGGCTTGCCCTGGAATGGTTAGCTCATCATTTCTAAGGAAAAATTTGCTCCTACAACTCAATTGGAGAGAGGGCCTCTGAAATAGGTTGGGAAATGGGGGGATCTGGGGGAAAATGGGAGGGTCTGGGGGGGAATGGGAGGGAAACTTGCAGTGGGAAAACTTTGCCCTGTGTATTATTGGGAGTTGTGTGTGGCTGAAGCCGAAGTAGGCTGGAAGGTTTTTTGGCTAAGAAAAGTCATCTTGGCTGGAGAACACCATCCAGCAGCCTGGTTCTGGCAGTGCTCTGTCTGAGTCTTAATCCATTCAGCATCATGTGCTTGTAGGATTTTAGAATTTGAAAGGAGCTGTCCTGAATGGAAAGATTTCCCTGATCAAGCAGGTATTTTCAGAATACCTGCTGTATGCAGAATGCTTGTTCTGGGGTAGGGGAAATGATGTGCAAAGGTGGAGACATGTAAAGAAGCATAGTAAATTATTTTGTTCTTAAAGAAGTTGACATGGCAGTGGGTAGATAGGTACATGCACATAAAAAGAAAGCCACTAATCTGGGGCAGAATACCAGTGCAAAATGGTGATCCCTGGGAGGAGATTAGAATCAGACTCCAGAGCCTTAGAGGAGGTCTCCTGAAGTCATGTGCAGAGTTCAGTTGCTTCCTGGGCTGTGTCCCTTGAGTGTGGGTTCTAGTGGGTTGTTAATGATGAGGCCAGGCTGTTTGGTTACTGTAAGGTGCTCGGCTTGTATGTGCACAATTTCTCTTGCTGTTTGCACAGGCGTTCCAAGGAACACTTCCTTACTGTCCTCTGGTTTTCCTTCCTTGCTTTCCTAGCGGGTGTTCCCCTACATCTCAGCCATGGTGAACAATGGCTCCCTCAGCTACGATCATGAGCGGGATGGGAGGCCAACAGAGCTGGGGGGCTGTACAGCCATTGTCCGAAATCTCCATTATGACACCTTCCTTGTGATTCGCTATGTCAAGAGGCATTTGACGGTGAGTCCCTGTTCTGGACCAATATGCTGTCTGGCTCCTGTTCCTGTGGCCTGGCCCTGATTTCTCTCATCTTTTTATTCTAGATAATGATGGACATTGATGGCAAGCACGAGTGGAGGGACTGCATTGAGGTGCCAGGGGTCCGCCTGCCCCGGGGCTACTACTTCGGCACCTCCTCCATCACGGGGGATCTCTCAGGTACTGCCACATGCACCTCTTACTTGCCCCGATGGAAGTCACATCTTGGTAGCCAGGTCTGAGGCTTCTCAGAGGAAAGAGTCAGACAAGCAGAACTCTGGGAAGCAGGTACCCTGGGAGTGCTTATCTTCCTACATTTCCATACCAGATTCCTTAAGACCCCAGGCTTAAGTTGTCCTCAGACAGCCATCTCAGGAGATGGTCAGAACTATGGGAAAGTAGTTGGCCTCTTCATGGGGCCAGCTCTCCAGCTTGTGTTTTAAGTTCCACACTTCTGTTTCTGGTGCCCTTTTTAGTCCACTTCCTCTCTTTCTTCTCCTAACATGCTCAGTTCCCCTTCTCTTAACTAGGCTTTTCTGTGACTCTGCCATCTCTCTTCTGACTGACATGCAGGCCCTCCTTTGTGGCCAGACTTCTGAATGTCATATGTGGAGATGCTTCTGTTTCCAGCCATCCCCCTCTGAGCATGCTGCCCTGGACCTGTGTCTCTGCCGTGCTGTTAGCATTCTTCTAGTGGAAGTTACTTCTGTGTCCTGGCTGTGCATGGCACTCTGTTCTCAGTCCTTGCTCTGTGTCCTCTCTTCAGCTCTTTTCTTTTTCTTCAGAGAGAGGAGAAGGAATGAAGAGAGAGAGGAAGAGCAGCATTGATGTGAGAAACATTGTTTGGTTGCCTCCGACATGCACCCCAAACAGGGCCAAACCCACAGCCCAGGCATGTGCCCTGATGAGGAATCGAACTGCGAACCTTTTGGTTACTGTAAGGTGCTCAGCTTGTATGACCTTTTGGTCTATGGGACGATGCTTCAACCAATGGAGCCTCACTAACCAGGGCTCTTCAGCTCTTTTGACCATTTGCCGTGAGGGTCTTGCCTGCCGTGACAAATCTGGCACCAACAGTACCTGCTGCTTTTCCTTTCCCATCTCCTCAGGACTTTCTTTCTCCTTGTCCAGATTTATGGCTTCTCTATTTTAAAAAAAATTACTGTTTTTTAAAGAATGGGGAAGGGAGGAAGAAAGAGAGGGAGAGAAACATCGATGTGAGAGAGAAACATCTATCAGTTGCCTCTCTTATGTACCCTGACGAGGGGCACTGAACCCGTAACCCAGGTATGTGCCCCAGCTGGGAATCAAGCCGGTGACCTTTCACTTTGAGGGATGACATCCAACCAACTGAGCCACATGGATCAGGGCTCGATTTGTGGCTTCTCTTTATTTGCTTGTTCTCTCCCTTGGCTTTAGCCCCAATCATAACATTATTTGAGAAGAGATAAAGAACTGAATGCATGGGTTTTTTAAAATTCATAATTTATTATGAATAAAGCTAATATGAAACAGAATTTTCTTCCGGCAGAAAGGAAAGGCTAACACTCATGTGAATGGGCAGCAGCTGCTCGATTCCAGTCAACACTGCTAAGAGAAAATGTGGGCTCAGTCAGGCCATGGTTTAGTTTTGCAAGAGAAGCTGGGAACTTGGATTTCTAAAATGAAAACTGATTTTTAAAATCCTGGATTTTTTAAAAAATTCAACTTTATTGAATATATTTTCTGTAGAATAGAAGTACATAGTTTGAAGAGTTTTGACAAATATTTACACCTGTGTGCTCACTTCCTCAGTCGAGATAGAGTGTTTCTGTCACTTCAAGAAGTTCCCTGTGCCCCTTTGCAGCATTCATCTGTCACCCTTTGCTTTGGCAGCTAGGTTCTAACTACTGTGCAGACAGGCTGAAGCTCTGGGACGGAGCTCTCCTTGGCTCAGGGGCAGGAGGCACAAGCATTACAGTTTTGCTATGTAATCTTGTTATATGACTCAAGTTGAAAGATGTGTCCTTGTCTGCTTTGAATTTTCCTTTGAATTTATGGGTTTCTAGGGCCTGTCAGTTAATTTCCTGGTATATTTTCATTGGGAAGTTGTTCCCAATTGTTAGAAATGACCAAAAAGAATACAGTAATGTTTTGGTTATCCTAAGGAGTCCTTTGCTTAAGGTTTTTAGTGGTAATGCCTAGGATAGTAAGTCTGTGTTCTCTGACAATAGGTTGTTCCTGAATAGAAATTGTGTCTTCCTCTTAAGGTCTTTCTTGTTGATATCTTCTTACTGTTACGCAGTAGACTGTTGAAAATGGCTGAGAAAGTAGGGACATGTTCCAGTTGTCGCATCCTTTGGTGTCCCACATCTTGAGGAGCGTTGCCCTGGCTTTTTATTCTGTCCATAGTTCAAACTCAGTCCTGACAGTGAAAATATCTTATTGAAGGCAAGTCCCCATTTTCCTATCTAGGGATCCTCTAAAGAGTCTAAGAGTCCAAGCAGGTGTAGATGCCATCCTAGTAATAGAAATGGCAAGAAATTCAGTCCCCGGTAACCAGCCAAGTAGCCATGAGCTCTATGGCATTCAGATTGTGGTATACAGGGTCACAGTTACAAGGAGCCACAAAGCATTAGGCCCGGTCAGGAAGGGAAACATTGTGTTCCAACCACCGCCACCAAGAGGCCTTTTCCTGTCTTGCACATGTGTCGTTCTCATCAAGGGGAAGCTCAGTGCTGCTGATTCTCTCACTGTCCTAGAACGTTTTACGTATCATGAGGGATTTCATTCTTGTATCATCTCTAAATTTCTAAATTATGTAGGTAATGCTTATTGATAAAAACTTTCAATATGGAATAATGTAGAATATTCCTATTCCTTATTCTTACTAGATGAGAAAACAGAGAGGTCGCAATTATTTTTTTCAAGGTCACTGCTAGTTAGCTGTGAGTCAGAAGCTTGAGTCAAGATACTCCAAGATACCTCTTTTTGAGGGGGCTTGAACAATTCTTGTTCTTTTTCCTTCAGACAACCATGACATTGTTTCCCTGAAGCTATTTGAACTGACAGTGGAGAGAACCCCAGAAGAGGAGAAGCTGCATCGAGACGTGTTCTTGCCCTCGGTGGACAACATGAAGCTGCCTGAGAGTGAGCACAGGGACCCTGGGAAACAGCCCATGGTGTGAGGAGTCGCAAACCGGAGATGGGCTAAGGGACCTCCAACCCACAGCTTGCAGGGCCGCCTCCTCTCTGTCCTTCCCCAGAGGAATATGGAGCACTGGCACCTGCCTGCCACTCGTCTCCAGGTTACAGATGAGCAGGAGCAGGCTGCTTTGTTTTCAGATTAAGGCATCTGGAAAGGAAGAGTGAGCTCTGGTTCCCAGAAATGAGCTTCGGATCCTGGGGGCTTAATAGCTTGTTGGGTGGTCTTTCCCAGAAGGATGGGTTCCCTGGTGCTGACTTTCTTCTCTTTCACTTCCTCAGTGACAGCACCTCTGCCGCCCCTGAGTGGCCTCGCCCTCTTCCTCATCGTCTTCTTCTCTCTGGTGTTTTCCGTATTTGCCATTGTCATTGGGATCATACTCTATAACAAGTGGCAGGAACAGAGCCGAAAGCGTTTCTACTGAGCCCTTCTGTGGCACCAGCCCTGTGGTTGTCACCGTAAGGCATGGGAAGAGCAGGCGCTGTCCTGAGCACACAGCCCAGCAGTCTTCTCCAGTGTTTGGCAGCTGGTCAGGGACTCTGTTCTGTCACTGGAACTTTAAATGCAGGGACACTGTATTCCCATGGTCATCCTTGGGGACCTCTGACTTTGGTTCAGGAAGCCCACCTACCCCAGGGCAATGCTGCTGTGATGTGCCTTTCCCTGCAGTCTGTCCACTGGGAACACAGAGTATCTGCTGTTAATGATGCCAGGAACACAGAAAAGAACTTCACTGCCCAGGCTGCCTTTGTGTGGGACTCAGGACCCTTGTCCTTCTCATTTAAATCTGCAAAGAATGGAAAACTGATAACTCCTCATACCTTCCCAACAGTCATTGATTTTTGCTTTTTGTCTGAGCCTCTGTTCACCTGAGGAACTCTCCTTGGAAATCTGGATGGAAACTTCTTCCCTCACTTTGCCTTCCTCTCCCTCCTCTTATTGTCCTCTCCAAATGCAGCCTGAGCTCAAAACAGACATTTGATGCCTCTCTCTTGGGGCCTGGGGCTGCAGAACAAACATATTTCACTGACCCTCATTAGGTGTCCACAGGGAGAGGGCTTTCTGCTTTGGCTCGCTGCTCTAGACTTTGTTTGTCCACGTGGATCCTGGTTCTGTGAGTGTGTTTGTGACTTTCCCAATTAGGTACCATTAGGCCCTTAGTCATGTTTGGCTGGAAATTGGTATACAAGTCAAGAGAATATTGGAAGATCTCATGGATGAAATGGGATTAACTGTGACACTAACCTGCTCCAGGTTTTGACACCAAAACCAACCTTTGCCGTGTGATCTGACCACGTGGAAATGCTTCTGGACCATCTGGAGCTTTCTTAACTGCATGTTTTGTATCTGTCATGATCTTCAGAATCCTACTTTGAAGCTTTCTTCATATATCTGCGGCCTGGATACTCTCCAGGAGAAGATCTGGTTTCTTTTTCTTAATGGATAAAAAACAGTTGCTCTTCTCATGTTGCAAATCTGCAGTCAATAGGCCCTCATCATCTGTGCCTGGAAGCGTCCGTTGTCATGGAGCAACAGTCTGAGTGCGTCCTCCAGGGGTCAGCCCTTATTCTACTGCCTTATTTGACAAGGGGTCACACACCATACTGCTCACCTGTCTGCCTGTGATGAAATCCACTAATAGGGGACCCGGAACTTCTATAGCCTAAGGAAAATTCGTAAAATGGCTGATGGACACTAAACACTAGCTTCTGACTCAGTGCTCTTCCTTCTAGGGGTGGGTTTGGAGGAGGGTCTAGGCCTTCTTCCTGAGCCCATAAGTCCTTGCTCTGCCTTCTCCCCTGTTGGGAAATCCTCAGCTCAACCCAGAAGGAAAGGAAGGTCACCTTACCTGGGTATGGGTTTCTGTCCTCTTGGGCTTTTTTATACCCTTCCCAGGTGCTTAATTAAACATCGTGGGCGATAATACTCTCCTGAAGGTGGGATTGAGGTGGGATCCCCCCAACACCTTCCCCACAACAGCAGAGCACCTCCAGAGTGCCAGAGGACAAACAGACCTAGAGCCTCGCCTTATGATCGAGTAGAACTGAAAAAGCAAATGGTCCTTTTGTCGTCTTTGAGTTCAGGGGGAGATTGGATAGACCTCTGTGATGAGAGGACCTAGGTGGGCTCTTGAGAAGACCTAAGCAGTGGTGGAAGAGGAGCGGGGGGTCTTCTTGTGGGGGAGGCATGTTAGTGAGAGAGCTCAAACTTGTCGGTTTTGTGTGATTTCAGCTCATGAGTGCCTTGAGGCTTTTTAAAGAAGGCAGAGAAGATGTGAAATGCAGTCCCCACCTAGCCTAGGGCTGCCTGAAAGATGCGTGGTACAGGAAGCCGTCTGACCATTACATGGTGTGTCCTGTCTGCCCATACATGGTGTTCTTTGTTACAAAGCTTGTTTATTTTAGTGGAAAATTACAGCTTTGCCTTTCTTGCTGGAAGTGGTTTCTGAACAGAACAGCCAGAATATCCCCAGCCCCTTGCTGCCCTAGAAGATAGAAACAAGGAATTCTCAGGAAGCTCCAGGGTAAGGCTGACAATGGGCAAAGGAAAGCCAGGCAAACATGGGCAAATTAGCCTCGTGGGGCTGGAAGTTCTGGAAAAATATCTTGCAGGTGATTCATGGGTCCCTGCAGGAGTTTCGGCTGATGGCCTGTTGTAGGCTCTAGGTTAGGATGCTTGGTGGTGGGGATGGAAGAGCTGTCATTGCTGGTGTTCAGTGAATTGATGGTATTGGTGAATAGTTTTACGGGCACATTCAGCCGAAGTTCAGGCTTGATCCAGCTCATGGCCAAATAGTTCTAGAGAGAACAGGCAACAGACAGAGCTAGCAACCAGAAGGCTTTCTCTCTCCAGAGGCAGCCCATGAGCAAAAAGAGTGCCTTTGTCCCTCTCCCCGTGGTCATCACTCACCGGAGTTGAGTATATGAAGCTGAACAGCATAAGCCCAACAATCAATATGATTGAGCCAACTATGATTTTGAAGCGATAACGTTTCCAGAAAACATGGCAGAAGTTTCTAATAGGTGACTGAAACCACGTGAACAAGGTGTTGGTGCGCCTGTCCATGAGCAGAGTTGATATCAGAGAATGGAAGGCAGAGAGGGCCTTTGGGTCAACTTTTCCAGGGCAAAGACCTTTCTTTTTTAAAAGCAGCTTCTGCCCCATCCTCCACCTCCCAATGGCTGTTCTTTCCTGATTGTCACTGAGCATTGAGCTGGGGTGGTGGGAAGTAATTACCCCTCCATTTGTAGGCCCACCAAGCACCACCCCGGACAAATTTCCAGGCCTAGCATCTCAGCTTTATGAATAAGGAAGAAAGATTTGGTACTTCTGTCCCACAGGACCCTTACAGTGGAGGGTGAAGTGTAGGGTATTGGTTAGGTTCTGACTGGCCTCGCCCTGCTGGCCTGATTAAAGCTTCCTTTTCTGACAGAATCTCCAGCGTCATCTTCACTTTACCCTAGAAACACCGCAAAGGGTAAGAGGCCGAGTTATGATAGCAGGAGCCTCCTCCCAGGATCCACAAAGGAAAGGGGATTTAACTAAGGCCCCCAGGGATCAATTAGAGCCAAGTGATGGGGCAGAGCAGTCTTGTGCAGTAGACACCTTCCCCAGCTCCTACCGACAAGCGCCATCTGCCATCCTCAAGGACCTGGCAAGGCCACCAGCCGGTTACAGTCTTCTTCTGAAAGAGGGAGAAGTGCTTGTGCTGGAGGAAGTGGGGCCACTTGGAGTCAGCGTCCATCATCCTGATGGAGCACAGCTTTGCGTGTTGGGCTGGGAGGGGCATGTCAGACAGATCCAGCTCCAGGACCCCTGAGCACAGAAAAATGCTGTCAGCAAGAAGGAGCTCCCTGTCCTGAGGTCATAGGCCCTATGCTAGAATCTCACCTAGGAAATCATCACTGGAGAAGATGTTATTGTCCCAGATCTGGATGATGAGCCGGGCTGGAAACTTCATCTCTGTGGGGTCCAGGCTCCACATGTAGTCCTGAGGGGTGGCAGAAGAGCGTGTTACTGCTGCTGTCCTTTGAGAGTCCCTGTGGCCATCTTAAGAGCCCATTATCCAGTATAATGGCCGTCAAGGAAGGGAGTTTCTGCTTTAGGCCTCATTCCAAGCGTTTTGGTGTAGCTTGCAAGTCTCCAAAGGGAGGAGCAGGAAGAGAAAGCCACCTCCAGGCCCTTTACCTTCTGGCTCAGGACGCACACTTCTTCAGCTGCCAGGTAGTCCAAGGTGAAGACGAATCTCCAATTAAAGATGCCCTCCCCAGTGAGGGAGTGGTAGTGGATATCTGTCTTCTGCATGTCATTCTCTAGCCCGAATAGCCACCTGGGGTCAGAGTCCTCTTACCTGGGGTTCATGTGCACTGTCCCCATCCCTGAGCTGGAGCCCTATGGGAAGGGTTGACCAGCAGACGCCAGGTGCAGTGGATGTGGAGAGATGTTACCCCAGGCTGAGGAAGATATGCAGGAAAGCTAGAACTGGGGATTCTTGGGGGGCTGTGCTAGAACCCTGCTCCTCTGCCTCACCCTTTGACGAAGATGTCGCTCATCTTCTCGTTACTTAAACTGACACTCTTCAGGTCCACGTGGGCAGTTTTCCAGATAATGCAGCGCAGCTCATACCTGCGGTCACAGCTCTCTGAGGCTTTGCTGAGGACTTGCTCCCCAGGCACAGCCTTGGTAAGGGAGAGAGGCCTGGGTAGTTGCCCTCCATGCTCACACTCGTGCTGCACTGGTGGGACTTGGGAAGGAAGCCCCGTAGATTCTCAGCAGACGAAAGCATGCCTATTGCTCCTTTATTGAGAGCACTGGTGCCCCAACCCTGGGAAGGCTGCCTTGGGAAGTACAGAGATTTGAGAAGTGCACCCATGCTCACCTGTTAGGCTTCCTTGGCCTGATGTTGACTGGGGGGCCAGGAGGCCCCAGTTTCTTGGGAAAGATGTCCACCCACATTTGCACCTTGCCCTAAAGCAGAGATGGGTTAGCTGGCTGGGGTTTGCTAGTCACTGCCCTCGGTGTGCTGGCCTGCGGAGCCCTGTTCCAGGTGCATAGGTCTGCCGAGGTCATGCTCCCAGCACTGAGAGGTGGGGTACAGTATCTGAAGTGGAATGGCTTCAGACAGGGAGAACAGTGCAGTCAGGCTGGTAGTATATGATGGCTTTGAGGCTGATGATCATGAGGCCTGATTGTCACTTGTGACTGAGGTCTGGAGGGTCAATGCCATTTAGTAGGTGATGCTAGCAGCTCCTGGAAGGCTCCAGGATAGGGTTGGGGTTTCATTTATTAACCAGTAATCTAGATGGCCAGTTGAGATCTCCTGATTGTTTTAGGCTGTGTAACCACGTCCCAAGGATATGAAGCTATCCACAAAGTACAGAGGTCAAAGGGAAGGGTGAAACCGGTGAGAAAAAGGAAAAGGGAGGAACTGCCTACATTGGAAGGAAGATAAATACATTCTTTCAAACTATCTGACCTAATTTTTATTTTTTGAAGTTGACTTAATTCTTTTAAGAATAGTTTTAATGAGAAAGTGTGGGGTTTTTTTTTAAATGCTCAGCTAAAAACTTTGTCTAGAATGTGGTATCAGCTTGAGAGATGTGAAGGATGAAGTGGGCCATTCTGGTGTCTACAGGGTAGATGATAATAGAGGCCTGTGGGGTTTTTAGTTCTCTGTTCTGGGTTCCTGCAATTAACAGCCAAAACAGATGTGCTATGTCTGTACACTGGCCCTGGTGCTGCTGCCCTGCCATCCATTAGAAGAGACTGAGACAGTGTTGGCCTTGGCTTCTAGGGCACCTCAGCCTGTCCTATAGTAGACACATGGCCTGGTTTCCTGTACACGACTTCCAGTTCTGAATCTCTCTGTTCTAAGTGGCATCACTGGAACTTCCTGCTCATTGACATGCACAGTGTGCATGTCTTCTGTCTGTTTGCATCTGTGAATGCTCGGACTTTCCTTCCCCTCATAGGCTCTGTCCTGGATGTATGCACTGCACCCGCCTCCCGATCTGGACCCTCCGGGCGCATACCTGGTCAATGCCTGGCTGGCTGTTGCTGTACAGTGTCCGGGTCTCCACGTGCTCAGGTACCAGCCCCTGGGTGTGCAGGAGGTGCAGTGCAAGGCGCTCCTTCTTGCGTCCCAAGTATTGAGCAGTAGGGGGCTTGGACTCTAGATTGGAGGGAGACAGGAGGGGATCTCGAGGTCATTAGCCTTCCCCTCTCCCAGGTAGCACCCCACTTTCCTCGTGCCCAGCCTGGACAGTGGCCATGGTTGCCCTCTACAGGAGAAAGGGGAAAGGGCTGCCCTTTGGCAGCTCTTCCATCCTGGAACCTCCCCGGTTTCTGAGGCCTGGGCCTGTGCTTTCTGGCAGCATGCAGTACTTCTCACCAAAGCGTTGCAGCTTGAATTTTTTCCCATTGTAAAAAACAGAGTCACCCTCAGGGCTGAATAGAGGTGGAGGCAATCCTTTCCGCTTGGCGTGGTGTTCCAAGAGTAAACTTGGGGGCACCTGATCCCGCCACCTAAAGGGCCCTGACCTGTGGGATATGTGAGAGGAAAAGGTGTGGGTCCTGGAGAAGATGCCACTTTCAGCTACAGGATGACCAGTGGTGGGAAAGGGGAAGACAAGTTCAGGCTCTAGGTCCCCAGCTCAGGATGCAGGCATCTTGGAAGTGGGCTGTGGGTTCACTCTTCCACCCTTCTCTGTGCCCTTGCCCTTAGTTAGGTCCACTCTCACTGGCAGTAGGATTGGGAAAGCCCACAGCGAGCTCCGAAGCCAGACAGGAGTCGGTTTTCAAGGTCAATGACTGTGGTTCCAATCTTATCATCAGGTGAAAACAGGTCAAAGTCATACAGCTCAATCTCTAGGTCCTTCTCCAGAGGGATGGTGCAACTCACTTCAAACATCCTGGTGGGAGGGTGTTGGAGACTGCAGAGACCGTGGACCATGTTCCCTATATGCTTCCCCTCTAGCAACTCTGCCCCCACAGTCATGCTCCACACTCTGGTTTGGTCATGTGGCTAGGGACCCCGGATGGCTGTTGTCGGCCAATAACCATCCCCTAGTATGGCTGGAAATACTGTTGATAGGCCTGGGTGTGGAACTCAGCTTCCATCCCAAACAATGTATGTGAGAGGGAAGGTAGTATTGGGCTGCCCACCCATTTATCTTCTATCTGTTGAGCACCTTCAGTGTGTAAGACACCATGCTAGGAATTGGATGGCTAGAAAGGAATGCAAGTTCTTAGCTCCTAGAGCTTTCTCCTGGCACTGCATGGATGGGAGTGGTGAAGTTGAGTTGGGCAAGTTGGGGCAGCTCACATGCCAAAGATGGGATCCAGAGTGTTGGGCTGGTAGTTGTCCCGGTTGCCCAGTTTTGTCTGTCCCACTTTCAGGATCACGTAAGGGTCACACTAGGGGTCAGGCAGGGAAAGAGGAAGTGGAGAGTCAACTCAGGTTGGTCAGGGAGGGCAGCAGTGGGGAAGAAATGAGCTGCTTGCACCAGCTGGTGCTTGTGGGGAGGAGGCAGTCTGGGTGGCAGCAGCCTGAGGGAGCTCTAGGACACAGGGAGTTCAGGGCAGGGTGTGGGAGGTGGGGCCCCAGAAGATAGGCACTGAAGGTTTGGGGCTGCTCATTACCAGGCCACTGTAGTCTTGGGGCTGTAGGTTGATTGCTCGCACCACGTACACTCGCACCAAGCATTGCTGAGGGAAGTCGTCTTTATCGGGCAAAAGTGAGAACTGGCGGGGGGGCTGGGGGGCTTCTGGGTTCTCAGGAAAGGGGTAGACACGGAAGAGGCCCTGTTTGTGTGTTGAGAAGATCAGTGTTGGCAGTTGTAGTCTATAGAACCCTCCAGGAGGTGCCCTGGTCCAGGCTTAGGAGAGTGGGTTGTGTGAGGATGGCAGGGGCAGAAGGCTTCAAGGGCAGGTAGAGGCAGGTGTAGCAGAGATGCCGTACAGGTGTACCTGTGTTTAGGAGGGCGTTAGGCAAATGGATTGTGCTTGCTAGGTGACTGCCAGTCTCTGCTGATGTGAGCTCCCATCGAAACCCCATCCCCTTCAGGTTTGAACTCGTTCTCCAAGGCTTTCAGGCCTTGGGAAACTGGCATAAGCCAGAGCGGAGATGGGAAGGCACTCACCTTCCTGTGTAAGGGGAGGTCACTCTGAACCTCTTCATAGTTCAGTCTCTGCTTCCGCACTCCCCAAATGATTTTTCAAGCCCTCCCTGCCCCATCCTGCAAGGAGCATATACTGCCAGGGCTTTGATTAGAGTCTTTTGGTAACAGAAGTGGCATGAGGAGACAGGGCAGCTTAGCTGCTGGACTAGACACGCACCTTGAACTCCCCTACCACAGGGCTGTCTGACTTGGGCTGTTCCTCGTAGAGTTTGAAGGTCTGACAGAAGTCCTGCAGGCCTTGGAAGGCTGGCACGGCCTCCAGCTCGCAGTCATACACCTATGAGAGGGTATGTGGGACCCAGGCTGCTGGGAAGCAGGCCTGGGCTTGACCAGGAGGAGGCCTTTCCTGGAATCGGGATTGAGGGACCACCAACTCCCAGGTCTTCCTTCCAAGTGTCTGCCCAGTCAGCAGTCCCAGGGGCAGCGCTGCCTGCTTTGGCTGGTGTAGCCCTGGTCCCTAAATGGGTGCAGCTGGTAGACGTGTGGCCTGGAGTGGGGTGGCCGTGAGAATCCCCCCTCCCAACCTTAGTGGTTCCCAGTGGAACCAGGGCTAGGTCTGCTGGCCTTCCCATCAGGTTTTATTCCACCTCAGCAGTCTTCCTCCTGGGGACTTCCAAACCTTCAGGGTATGGTAGTCTTTGTCCTTGTACTTGAGGGACTTGGGGTCGCCTGTGGCCCAGAACAGCTTGCTCCACCAGTCCACTTCATGCTCATATTCATCCTGGCCAGGAAGAGGGGCAGCTGGCCTTCCTCTGCCCAGGCTCGTCCTACCCCCACCTATTAAACTGCCTGGAGTTGCTCCTTGATCCCTGGGGCTGAGCCCTTATCACCTTGGCTTTGCTGGACTTGAACCAGAACTTTTCAATGAGGTTATCTAGGAGCTGAGAAAGGAGAGGGTGTGAGTCAGGTACAGCTGGGCAGCCCATAGCCCGCTCACCACCTGGCTCCCGAGAGGAGTGGGTGGAGGACAGGGTGGACCTCATATGGGCCTTTTCATTCAGGGGTTTTCAGATGTGGGATTGGGGCAAGAAGGAGGGTGAGCACAGTTCCCAGTTCTCATTGACCACAGCTTCGGACTGGATTTGAAGGGCTCAGAACTGCAGGACCTCAGACCCCACTCCAGACCTGCTGAATCAGAATCTGCCTTTGCTCAAGAGGTCCCAGGGATTTCTGTGCATTCAATTATAACAAGGGCTGCCCTAGACCAGGAGTTCTGAAAGCGGAAAGCATTGTTATCACCCAGGGGCAGGGGCGCGGGGGCGGGGGGGGGGGCTTGATAAAAGCGCTGATGCCTGGGTCCTGTCCCCAGTGATTCTGATGGAGTTGGTCAGTGGCCTGGCTCTCAGAATTGTTTAAAACTCTCAGGCAATTCAAATGTGCGGTCCAGGTTGAGAATTTGCTGCTTTAGAATTCTTGTGTTCAATTAGGCCTCATGCAGGGGGGCACAGGACAAGCACTGTGCCTTGGAAATGGTGTGAGAGAAGGTGAGACCTCAAGCCCAGTACTCACCTGGTGCTTGTTCACAGACAGCTCTGTGGAGAAAGTGTAATCATGAATCTCAGGAGAAAGGAGAGGGTGGGAAGGGAGGCCTCATCCCTCCCCGTGCCAACTGGTTCGTGAGGCTTGGGGAAGGGCCAGAAGAGAGGGCGTACTTGGGAGCCGTGGGGGCACATAGTCTGAGGCCCAGGGGTCACAGAAGTAGGGCTGCAGGGAGTTGATGTTGGCCTGTCCCACCATGGTCTGCTGGCCGAAGTCCTGATTGTCCACTACCTTCAACACAAGGGGCAGCGCGTAGGCCCCCTCTGTCGGCATGAACTGCGAGCCCAAAGAAAGGCCCTGTGAGGTCTCTCTTGAGGGGCAGGCTGCCCAGCCCTTGCCCGGGCCCTTCATACCAGTGTGAGGAAGAGGACTGACTGGGCGAAGTTGGGGTTGGTCTGGAAGTCCCTGATGGGCTCTGTCTGCACGGTCTCTTCCCAGCACTGCACCAGCAGCCAGGGGGAACGCACCCGCTTCATGTTCCGGAGCCCCCAGACCAGGATCTGCCGGAAGAGGTAGGGGGGCAGCAACGCCTCTGTGAGGGGGTCTTGGCAGAGAGGGGAGCTGTGCTGGCAGCAGCGGTGCATCAGGGAGCATGCAGGGCCAGGGGATCAGTGGTTCTTCTCAGGGTGTGGACACTGTCCTCCCTCTTCTGTGAGGGAGGTGCCCTCTGGCCACTGTGTGACTGTCCATCCCTGGCTTCCATTGCCCCTTAGGTATTGCCCTTCCTCACCTGCTGCTCTGGTCTCTCATCAGTTGTCTCAGGAGTGAGTTCCTGAGGCTGGCTACCTTGAAGGCCCCAGGAGCAGGGGGTGCCCAGATTTCTCAGGTCTCCCTGCTGTCAGCTAGCTCACTGCTGGCTTGTCTTCAGTAGAACGCCGTGGCCGTTCAGTGGCCCGTACCCTGGGATCACGCTCTCAACTGCCAGACACTGGGCCCCCCCGGAATTGTCTGTGCTCCTACTCATCGGGCCCTCCTAGGGACCAGAGCAGGAACCAGCCTGGAAGCCTCACCTTGGGGAATAATGCAGTGCCAGCGGACCCTGACCTTTGCTCTTTGTCATATTTGTGGCCAGGTACACAGGCTCCTACATGAGGACCTCCATGCTACTCTCAGAGGAAGGTGAGAAACAACCTAGCATTGGCATCAGACAGGACAAAATTCTGGCTCTGCCACTTAGCCCCATGTCACTGGCTCTCAGAGCCTCCATTTCCGTCTCTGAAAAGTAGCCCTGCTGCAGGGGGGCAGCGTGAGGCTCAGACATGATCATGAATACTGAAGCCCCTTGTCTTCTCTGCGCTGCCAGATGTGTGATAAAGTAATTCAACATATTCACTAAGAGCTTGTGTTCTTCATTCTCTCCTGTCTCCCTCCATCTCAGCTTATATATTCTTTGGGTCCAAACTTTACATCAGTGGTCAGGAAGACCCCCAGGAAGGTCAGCAGAGGCTGCCACAGTGTTCCCCTGCCCTGGGTGAGGCTTGCTCCCTGCCTCCCCTTCCGCCCTCCTCACCCCGCCCAGTCATCACCTCAACTGCCATTTTCCTTAGCGTGGGCTGCATGCTTTTGGGGAGGGTGTAGACCCCATTCTTCCAGGGAACACTTAAGATTGGCAGCGTCCTTCTGAGACTCTGAAGGGATGAGGTGAAAGAGCAGAGAGCATGCAGTCCCGTTGGGCTCGTCCTGCTATCCTCCAGCCCTTTCTCAAAGCAGGTCGCTAAGAGTTCAACTGAGGAAGCCCTGGAGCCCAGGAACAGATGCTGGCAGGGCAGCTGGGGAGATGTTGGGCAGACCGGTCTGGTTCACCAGGTCCCAGGCCTTTCCTGAGGGGTGGAGTTGGGGACTGCTGGCTGTGGGAACTTGTAGGCGCGTGGGGCCCTCTTTCCCAGTACCTCAGTCTCGAGGATCAGCTCACAGGATGCCAAGATCTCACCCTCTTCCTTCTGCAACTCTTTTCCAAGGGGGTGCCACCTCATGGGGGGCAGGATCCGGTGTTGAACATCCAGCCAGACCACTGGGGACCACATGCTCCGTCCCCAGAAGCTCTCTTTGCCCTGGAAGGAGGGGGAAGTTTGCAGAACATGGTGGCCAAGCTTGTGAGTCCTGGCTCCTCCCCTGCGATCCTGACGAGCCTAGGAAAAGGGCTAACATTTACGTGTACACAATGTGCTGCAAACCAGGCCCACTGGTGCACGTCCCACTGTACCCAGCCCAGCCCGCCATACCTGGGAGTCCCGCTGCCACAGTTCCAGCACCACGAGTGGGGGGCTCTCTCTGGTGTCTTGAGGGTTCTCATACAGAAGGAGGTGCTGGAAGATGAGTGTCTGGGCCCACGTCGGGGCTACAGAGCTCTTCAGGGTTTGGGTGCACTGGCTATAGTTTAAAAAGACCAACCGAACGAAGGGCCCTGGAGGGTGGAAGGAAAAGGGAGAGTCTCACCACTGAATTAAGTTAGGCTTTCCTCTCCTCTGGCTGCTGCTGCCACTGGACCAGATACCCAGGGAGGCCCAGGCATGCTGAGCAGGCGGCTACCTCAGTGTAAGCCACAGAAGAGACAGATAACCAGAGGCCAAGGGTCATTTTGTTCCACCCAAATCTGTTTTACAGTACTATGGCTGAGACCTGGGCATCACAGCGATAGAGGGCTGGATGGCTCCTCTGGAGGAGTTCTGGGGACCAGGCTACACGTGGCTGCCTTTTCACGGAATCAGCGAGTGGCTTTTGCACCAGGGAATATCAAATAGCCCTCTTGATGTGGGTGCAGAGGCCCAGTGGACACTGGCCTGGCTCAGCCCCTCCTCCAGCAGCCTGGTTCCCTACACAGCGCCACCAGCCGGGCAGGGCTAGAGCATTGTCTCAGCTGGAACCTTCCATGGGTCCTCCTCAGAAGACAAAGGACAGGTTCCTAAAGGGGGCCAGAAATTGCCACCCCTCCTCCTTACCCCTCATCTGTCCAACACAAGGGCCATGTGCTTTCCAACTGTGTCAACCTCTCTTTTGCCTTCATGTCTCATCAGTACTCTGTCAGCAAACTCCTCCCTCTCCAAGGCCCAGCTAAATGGTTCACACGAAGTGATGCCTCCCCAACTACCCCTCCTTGATTCCACAGTGCTGGAGACACACCTCAAGAACAGCCTCATCTTGTATTCCTTGTTTTGGTGTCTCTTCCCCAAGCTATGGCCATGAGCTGCTAAGGGTTGGGAGGTGGTCTGCATGTTAGTCACCCTCTTCCTTTGCCACATTCTTCATACTGGGGGTGACTACATCACAGGGCCCCTGGGGCGCTGGGACAGAAGAGGTGCCTGCCGCCTACCCTGGAATGTCTGGATCTGGTTGGCCATCAGGTTCCGGGCCTGGTAGATGTAGCAGAAAAGCTGGTAGTAGTGTGGCTCTGGGTAATAGAGGAGCTGAGTCCATCTCCTGCCCCAGAACTCCCACCCCACCCTTTCTCCCTGTCCTCAGATATGGGGCCTCAGGGACCACCCAGGCTGACTCTCAAATAAGTGCTCACTGTTGAAGATGCAATAGATGAAGGGCAGGTGGGGTGGCTTGGTGTCCTCTGGGGCAGGCCACCAGGAGTCCCTGAACGTTTTGCTCAGGCCCCGTGACGGTGTCTTGTTCTCTTCCTTCTCAGCCTGCTGTTTCAGATCTTTCCCCTGCCCACATGACAGTCTCCCCTGAGGCTTTGGGTGCCTAGGCCCAGGTTACCCCTTTCCCCTTCTGGGCTCCACCTTCCAGTGCTGGATGATGTGGACCCAGGGCCCAGACTCCCCACCCTCCTGCTGTGAGTGCCCCAACCTAGGACATCTCCTACTGCCTGCCATGCCTACATTGGCCCTGGCTCCAGGAAGTGGGGTGCAGGGAGGGGTGTTTAGCCTGCTGAGGCTTTACCAAGGATCCCTCCAGGAGGAATATAGGTGCAATGCCCTTGTCCTTGTTGGGGGCCAGCCTGCGATGCCAGCAGCGGCGGCGAAACCGGCTCTGGGGCTGAGGGTTCAGGTCAAACTTGGAGCCCATGGTACCGTATTCCCAGCCCTCCTCCTCCTGGGTTGGGCCAGCGTGATGCTGCAGAAAGGACAGCAAAGTCATCCTCCTGCTATGGCCTGGCGTGGACACTGCCAGCGCTCCTGCCAGGTTCCTGCCAGGTGGCTCCCTCACCAGCTGCAGGAAGGACAGGGTCTCCTGCTCCAGGTTCAGCTTCCCGTGGTTCCGCCAACGCACGCGTGCCCAGCGCCGCCGCCGGCACGAGTAGTAGGTCTTCTCCACTGAGTTCCAGACCAGGGGCAGGCCCGAGGGCTCGATCCCCACGCCGTACTCCCAGCCTGCAGAAGCAGGACCATGGCCTGGGGTTGCCCATATGCCCACAGGCTGGGAGGCTTAGACAGGCCTGAGAGGTGGGCCAGAGAGGGCAGGCTACGGGGGCAGCTCCTTCTCTGTCTGGGCCCCTCTGGCCATGGAAGGTGTGGTCACACTATGTCACCTTGGTGGCCTGGGCCCAACCACCCATCTTACAGTTGAGGAAGATGAGGCTCAGAGATGTTATGTGACCCATACAAGGTCACACTGCTCATAAGTACCAGGGTTTGCATCTCAAGCCCAGGTCTTCAAACTTCCTGCTCATGGCACCTCCCCTGGAGCCACATGGGGTCAACCCAGGCTCCATAACGAGATCCCTGCTCAGGTGCTTGGGAAGCACTTACTCCCCGCTCTGTCTCAGAACTGTGGCCCATATCTGTGGAAAGGGTGGAGGCTTTCTTCTCCCTTTCCACAGAAGGGTGGAAGCTGGGGGACCTCCAGGAACTCAGGCCCATCCCACCCGAGAGCTTGGCTGCTTTCAGGCTGTGGGAAGTGTTGGATCCTGGCAGCTCCAGGCCCTCCTGCCTGCAACTGGTGAGCAGAGGACTGACCCTCATTGTCCACTGCGTGGTTTAGCTCCACGGTCCAGTTCTTCTTCACGTGCCAGCCTTGGGGGCACTTCACATTCTCCCGAGCCTCTACAGGCTGTCCATTCTGCGGGTGGACAGAGGGCAGGCTGAGGGGTGCCTGAGCTAGGAAGCCGCCTTCACTCCTCTTCTGAACATTTGTTTGCCCCCCATGGCCACAGAGGCCTCCTGCCCCTTGGGAGCAGACAGCACTTGCTATGTCTGACGCCACTCGCAGAGTCAATGTGCTTTTACTGACTTGCCTTTTCAAACTATAAATAAATATATTTTTAAAAGGAAACTTTGTATGTTGACCAGCAGTGGAAAATCAATATCACTCCCCATAAATAGGAAATAACCATCGTAATGACTATGAAAGCAAAATTTTGCAACCTGCTCTCTCTTGGATGTTGCCGTCTGCTCAAGCCCAGGCTGCCAGTTCTTGAGGAGGGGAGCCCAGTGTGCGTGAGACGGGCTAGACCCGCCCTGTCCCATGCAGCAGCCAGCAGCCTCCCGGGGCCAATTACATTTAAATAAACTAAAAAACAAAACTCAGAGTTCAGTTTGTCACCCTCACAATGCCACGTTTCAAGTACTCAGTAGACACAGGTGGACAGCACATACAAAGAACGTTCCCATCATTACAAAGAACTCTATTGGACAGTGCTGCTTAGACCAGCTCCAAGCCGATGCTCTCCTTCAGGGGAAGCCCTCCCTTTGAAGAGGCCTGGGAAGAAAACACTGTCCCTGTGTTGCTCTTTGCGGTCTGATCGAAGGCATCTCTACTCGCCATTGTCAGGGCTAGCCCAGGGTCCACGCAGTGGTGGGAGCAGGGCTTAGGTGGCAACCCCTGGTCCAGTGCTCTTGCCATTTGAACAACCCGGCTTCCAAGGTGCCCACCTGGTTGCACTGCACCTGTATCCAGAGACAGTTTTGTCCCTGCTTACCACATCCGTGTTGGGGATGGCTGCTGGCACCCAGGCCCCCGTGATGTCCCGCTGCTGGTTCTCATACACCTCCTCCAGCACCTGGCTCTTGTTGATGTCTGTGTCCAGGAGAAGCCTGGGGACAGCAAGACCCCGAATTCCCAACACATCTCCCCAAACTTCCAGACCCTGGGGTCCTCCTCTGCTGGCCAAGTGTTCCCTCAGCGAGCAGCCCCACCTGCTCTGAGAAGGGCTGGACAGTGGACCGGCATGCGGGGCAGGGTGGTGGGTGAGCCCTCTGCCTGGGCACCCCAGCCCCAGGACTGGGCTCCAGCGGCTGTGTGCCCGCCTGTCTAGTCTGCTGCTGACCAGCCTCCCCAGTGAAAAGAAGGGTTGACTCCAGGACTGCATGTCCAGGGCACATAGGCTCCATGCCCTGCACTCCAGACTTACCTCCTCTGAGGCTCCACTGTCCACTGCCCTTGCCAGTGCCATCCCGGGGGCTCCTTGAAATCCTCCTTGGGGAGAGCCTTGTGCCCCAGGACGTCAGAGAAGTTGGGGCAGTGGTACAGCCTTTGCTGCCCCCACTGGTCTTTATACTTGGCCTGGTTCTCATACTTGGGTGGAGGTGGGAGGGAAGGCTGTCAGTGTCTGCTGCCTCCCCAACACACAGTAGGACAGCATACAGCCTGGCAGTGCCTGCAGTGTGGCCTGTCCACTTGTGTCACGGTTCGCCCAGGGAACCCCAGTCCTGCCCCAGCACTTGCCACCTCTTTGCTGCCTCTGGGCCTTTCTTCCAGGTTCTCCTGCTGGGTGTGCTGACCCTGCACCTCCTCCTGAATCCCCACTCCATCTCAGCGCCCCCAAGCCCTACATATGAGCTGGTTATGCATATTATTATGCACCTGCAACACACAACTTAGGAACCATGAAAATGTGCTACTCAGTAAATTAAAAAGCCTGAAACTCAAAACCTGTCTCCTTTCTGCTCTCACAGCCTTGCCCCACGCCCTGCCTGCCCTCCCATCCCTGGATTCTAGAGCCTTCTCTGACTGGCTGCTTCCCATATTTGCTTTGTGGGAAGCTGCCTTGTTTCCTGCCCCTCTGACTGTTCCAGGCCTTCCCGTCCCTGAGACCAGTAGACTGGTCTGAAGGACACAGAGAACTCTATTGGACAGCACTGCTTAGACCAGCTCCAGGGGCCCTAGGCTGCCCTCTTAGTGATAGACAAGGCCCCCGCAAGTCAGAGCCTTACTCACCTCAGATGCTCTGAGCTAACAGGCCACACCTCCCCATAAGCCTCCACCAGGGAGAATGTGACTGGCCTCAGAGGACCACGCAGCTGATGCTTCTGTCACCACATGCCTATCGCTTGTCAACCAAGGACCCCAAGCTGGCAATGTCTGAGGTAGCTCTAGTGTCTGCTGCCTTTTTCTGTCAGACGCCCTGTCACAATCCCAGCTTCTCCAGTAACATTTTTTGGTGCTAGGCCATGGCAGCCCCGTACCTCCCCACTCTTGTGCCCCTGCCACTGGCTGCTCACCGTCTCTGCATACACCACCACCTTGCCCTCTCTGCGCAGCTGCAGGTTCGCGCTGTCAGCGGTGTTGCCCAGCCACATGCAGACCCGGAGGTGGGCCGGGAGCGTGTTCTTCTGTCCTTCGCCCTCTGGGTACTGAGCCAGAGGCAGGTTAACCCCACAAGGGTGTGGGTCCCCCAGGGACAGGGGTACAAGTGAGAGAGTAGCACACATCCTGCCCCTTTACCCTGAGCCCTGGCAGCAGCGGCCTCACGCTGAGTTGTGCTAGCAAATGATTGTACATGTGACCCCGTGCTGGTGGAGCCTGGGGGGAGAGGGGCAGTGCTGCCCAAGGAGACTGAGAGGCTCCCAAAAGGAACAGTGATGATGGTGACATTGACAGCGACCCTTGCAGTCATCGATTGCATTCTTGCAGTGTGCCAGGCATGGTGCTAAGTGCTACGTGTGCAGCGTGTGCTCTGACCCTCACACACCACCGGGAGCCGGGTGTCATCATCACCAGGCCCGCCCATTCTATGGAAGAGCATACGAGCCTGGCCCGGGGCATGCAGTCCAGTGAGTGGTACAGCTAGGGCTCCAGTGTCAGTGCTTCTTACAGGATGAGAAGGACTCAGAGGGGCCAAGAGGGGCCCTCAAGGTGATAGGAGGGCAGAGGGCAGAGGGCAGAGGGCAGAGGGCAGGCAGGTGTGCGGGGGGAGCCCGCATGGCCTAACTGTTGAGAGTCCGGGGTCTGAGCGGGCTGAGGAGGAGAGGTGGCTGGGGCCAGGCCAGGGAGATTGAGCCTTCTCCAGCCCGCAGTGGGGAGCCAGGTATGTGCCCCCTACTTGCCTCCAGGGGGGAGGGTTGGAAGCAGGGGATGTCATAAAGGGAAGGGCAATGGTTGTCAGCCTTACTTGTGGCTTATCTCTGATATGATAGTCTGCTGCCCGAACCTTATAGGCACTAAATATTTTGGGTTGCACCCAACTGTGGTAAGGGGAGAGATAACAAGGGACTGAACCAAGTGTTGTGTGAGGGTGACGGAGGAGGCAAATCTGAGGATCATTTAGTAGGAATATGGATTTGGCGTCGGCCCCATGCTGGTGGAGACTTCCCCTGGAGACTGTGTTTATACTCCATTCACCTGGTACAGGTCTGGGAGGCAGTGGCAGGCCCTCAAGGGTGCTCATGGGGGTGCCCAGAGCTCAGGGATTCTCCCCAGGGTGTTTCTGGGCTTCTCCTCCCAAGGACTAGGGCTGCCCAAGGACTCCCCCTTCTGAACCTGTAGGAGGAGGGTCTGTGTCTTCCCACAGAACTTGCCGCAGTACAGGGCCCCCGTCGGGGAGAACAGGATGCTGTGGGCAGGCACCTGTGCATAGGCCACTCTCTGCTCCTTGGCCATTAGCCAGATCATCACATCTGGAAGGCTCACCTGGGGCTGCCAAGGCAAGAGAGTCAGGCCCGTGCGCAGGCTCTAAGTCCTGCTCCCCAGCCAGGGTGTCCAGCACCCACCTCAGGGAGCACAGCATTGAGGCGGTAGAGCCAGCCCTCCACGGTGGCCACCATGTCCCTAGGCTGGGCTTCCTTGGCCTTTTGGGCCAGTTCCTGCAGGAGGAGGCTACGCAGCTGCCACCTCTTCTTGTCCAGGTCAGTGGCTTTGGGATGAGTGGTCATGCAGGGCAGAGGGCGCCTGTGACCAGGACCAGGAAGAAGGGGGCTGGACCATCTTACAGGCTCCAGCCCTGGTTTAGGCCAATGTGGCCTTCCTAGACTCAAGATCTTGTGCATCCCTTGCTAGACTGACCCAAGGAGCCCTTCTCACCCCTCCTGAGGAAGCCTGTTCACCGTGGGCCTGCCCCCAGTTTCTCATCCATCCCCCCACCATCCTCCCAGTCCTTGCAGTGAGCCAGGCCTGTGCTCAAGGATCACTTCTTAGAGAAGGGTATGAGCCAACCAAACCCTAAGGTGTAAGAGTGGGGATCCAAGTGGGGTGTGGGGCTGGCAAAGGCCTTACAAGGAATCTTCCAGAACAGTTAGTGCCCTGAAAAAGGCATTGTGGAGAGAAGAAACAGCAGGGGAAAAGTGTGGGGCTGGGATGTGCAGAGCTTGTCTGGAAACACAGAGAGGCTTGGTTTGGTGGGAGTGCCAAGTGTGGGTGTCAACACAAGGGCCAATGCTTGGAGTGCTGTGGAGGGAGGCGGGGAAGGTCAGGGCCATTTTCTGCAAGGCCTGATTGGAAAGGGGAAGCTGCTCTGTTGTTTGGGTCTTAAGCCAGGGAGAGATTTGAGGAGGTGGGGGCGGGCAAGGGCACGGGCCTGAAGCCCCAGCTCAGATGTGGCACCCCGCTCCTACTTGCAGTCCTCCACCAGCTCCCTCAGCAGTTTCTTCCACTGGTGGAGCAGAGCAGGGTCCCTTGGGTTCCTCATAGATTTCAGGGTGTCCAGGTTGGCTTTCTGCCCAGTAAGAGAAAAAGGGGCAGGTGAGCATGTGTCACCCAGGCAGGCTGCAGGGCCGATTTGCCCAAGACATTTTCAGTCAGCACTTGGGAGCATTTGATGGACATCCTGGGGTGTCAGTCCAAAGCTGTCACAGGCCCTTGCAAGGTTAGGATCCCACACACCCTCCCCTCTACCCAATAGAAGAAATGGGTAGCAGGAAGGAGCCAGGATAGGTGGGACCATGGAGGAGCACAGATCCAGATGCTGGCCTTCCCTTCATATGTGCAAGAAAGCCACATCTGAGGTGTAGGCACCAAGTGGCTCTCCTGCCTGAAACTGTGCAGTGGCTTCCTTCCTTGACAAACACCTAAGACCTTTTGTGACCGGACCCCTCCCAGCTTCTCTGGCCTTATTTTCACTCACCTCCACATGCCCACCACCCCTGAACCTCACATCACCATGGCTTTGCACATTGTTCCCTCCTCCACACTCCACCACACCCCCAACAAACTCCTTATTCCATAGGACTCTGCTCAAATGCCACCTCCTTTTTGAACACCTCTTCGACTATCCACTCACTTCCCCTCCTGCACCCCAGGCTCTGCCCTGATGGCTCCCGGTGCCTGTTTGTCCACTGCTGCCATGGTTGCACTGCACAGTAACTATGTGCATCTCTAACTTCCCTATTGTGAAGACAGGGCCTATGTTTACTCACCTCTGTGTCTTCAGAGCCTAGCCCTGAGTCAGTTGCTTCCATCTCAATTGGTGTGGAAGGCACAAGTGAGCCAAGTGACCAGTTTCCTCTGACTGTGACTCATTATCCCAAGTTTTCCATCATTGACCTGGGTTCCCCCTGCACCCATTCCTGCACCACTTACCAGGCGGTCCCGGGCGAAGTGGAGAAGGTTGAGGCACTTCAAGCGGAAGCTGACATCCTCCCAGTAGGAGGTCACTGCCACAACCGGCTTGGTGTTGTACCAGGGCACGTAATGGTAGATGTTCCCTGAGACACAGAGACACAAGGAGGGCTGTATGAGGGTCTCTGGGGGTCTCCTCTCAGTGTGTCCCTCAAAGGGAATTCCCTGAGCTACTTCATTCCTCAAAAATGCCATCTACTGATAATTCTAATTGGACCCCTTCCACCAGAGGGTGGACTGGCCTTACAGAGCATTCATCATGCTCAGTGTGTCACACAGCCTTTCAAAGTCCCCACTGTGTAGGTGGAAAAACTGCAGGCTCTCGGTGGGAAGCGGCTTGCCTGAGGTGGCACAGCCAAGTGTTCATAACACTGGCATCTAGCTCCACAGTCCTGTGCCCTTAACCTCAGGCAAGACATCAAGCAAGAGGCATGGTTTGAGGCGGGTCTACGTCTGGGTGGTCTACAAGACGGGAGAAGAGTGGGCCCTGGGTTCAGGAGCAGACACGGAGTTTGGCTGGGGTGGGCAGACATCTAACATAAAGGTCCTGGCCGTGTAGACGAGTGCGGTCCAAGACACATATAGATAAAATCCATGATGGTGTGGCAGACTGGGTTCCCTGGCAATGTTCATTATTGAAGTGAGGGGAGAAACCTAGATTAAACATAAGGAATCTTTTTCTGAATCGTATTATTGAGATGACATGAAAGGAAGAAACTCACAGAAGCCAAAAATAAAGTAAAAGCAGAAAGTTTGAGGCAAGTAGAAGCAAAGCTGGCTTCTATCCTCTGAGCTTCCGACCAGTCTTGGAGAACTTGCACTTCTTTTTGGCAACTGTCAGGGCCCAGTGGTCAGGAGAGAGCCCAGTGGTCAGGAGTGGCCAAGGCGAGCAGTCTAACAGGAGAGCCCATGTGTTATGAGTTGACTTGTGTTTTATATGTTGAAGTCCTAATCTGCAGTACCTAAGAATGAGACCTTATTTGGAAATAGGGTCATTGCAGTTGTAATGATTTAAGATGAGGTGATACTGGTGTAGGCTGTGTCCTTAACCCAATAAAACTGGTGTCCATATAGGAAGAGGAGAGACACACAGAGAGATGATGGCCATGTGAAGACACAGAGACGGGGAGACAGAGGTAGCAATGAAGTGTTGTGTCTACAAGCCAAGCAACACCAAAGTTTGCAGGCAACCACCAGAAGCTGGGAGAGAGGCCTGGAAGAGGTTCTCCCTCAGATCCTTCAGAAGAAACTACTCCTGTCAACACCTTCGTCTCAGACTTCTAACTTCCAGAACTGTGAAAGAATGTGTTCTTGTTGTTATAAGCCATGCAGTTTGTGGTGCTTGGTTATAGCATCCCTATCAAATTAGTATGCCATGAAAAGCTGGCACTTTAAAAACTAAACCCTCAGTCAATGAAAAATAATCTGTCACACAGAAGAACACAAGGAAGAAACATACCTGTCTCCAGCATGATTCTGGGGGACAGGAAATTTTCTCAAGAATTTGTAACCACAGATGGGGTCTCATGCAAGTTGCATTCTGCATTCATGCCACCTGTAATGTCTGCAGAAAATTTAAAGTGGTCTCTGGTTGGCAGTGCCCCAAGTAACTGGAGGAAAAAAAGACAAACCCTCTCTGGGATATGAAACTTTAGTCAAGTCCCAAAGGATTCCATAAATAAAGTTCTAAGAAAAAGAACAGCTTAGAACCAAGACACACTCTCTAACCCAGCAATTCTGCTCCTAGGTGTACACCTAATGGAAGGGCATAGGCAGCATTATCAAAAGATGTGTAGAAAAATGTTCATATCAGTACCATTCTTAATAGCCCCAAATTGAAAACCACTAAAATCTCCCTCAGAAGTAGAAGGGATAAATAAATTATGGTATATTTGCACAATGGAATGCTACATAGCAATGAGAATACGTGAGCTGTGACTACTCTCAACAACATCTAGATCTGTGAATATTTTATTCACAGATAAAGAAATGCACAAAAGATGCCAGACACATGAGAATACATACTATATGATCTCTTTTATATAAAGTTAAAAGCCAGACAAAACAAATTGAAGGCTAAGAGAGTGATTGCCCTTGGTAGGGTGGGGGAAGAGAGGCTCAAGAGGCCTCTGTGACATTGGGACTCTATTCATAGTCTGACCTCTTTACACGGGTATGTTTGCTTGGCTGAGCTGGACACTTTGGTTTGTGTACTTTTCCACAGATATGGTATACTCAAATACAAAGTTTACTTAAGAATTTAAAAAATAGTAGGGGCAAAGAAGACAAAATAAATACATAAAATACAGTGTGTTGAATGGTGGGAAGTGCTATGTGGAAAAATAGTGAAGAATGAGGACAAAGAGATGCTAAAAAGTTTTAAATAAAATGGCTACCTAAAGCCTTTCCTAGAAGACTTAGAAGAAATTATGCAGAATGCAGCCCAGAGAGATGACAACTATGGAAGAGAGATTTAAAAATATGAAGAATAAAATAAGCAGTTCAACAGAAGATAGAGTGAATTCAAGAAGGAGATACAAGAGACAAGGGGAAAAAGTAATTTTCAGTGAAAAATACTTTATAATTTTTCAGAACTGTTGTGAGACATGAGCTTTAGACTCTGGCACTGAGGGAATAGTTAGAATGATAAATAAACAGAGATCTAAGACTGGGGTTGTCAGATAGGAACATACAGATAGAAGACTGCAATTTTCTTCTTCTACTCTTGGATGGCATACAAAAGCAACAGAAGAAGGAAAATAACTCCATTTTCAGCAAAACAAGGAGACAGATCTCTTAAGACTCAAAATACGTTTAAGGACTGCCAAAAGCAACTGTGATTTGCCCTAAGAGCCCTGAGTGCAAGAGAAGTCACCTACGGAGCAGTAAAAACCAAGACAGACAACAGAGAGCTCAGCTTGACAGGAGCAGAGGCAAAAAGTGCCAGCAAAAATACACTCCCAGAAGGAACTCAGGAGTCAGATGAGGAAATGTGAGCCGGCAAAACTCAGGACACAGTAAAAGAAAATAAAAGCATCAAAGAAAGGAAAGACAGTAGAAAAAGAAGTCCCTAGGAGATTAAACCTTTCAGACAATGCAGTGAGAAGCATAGGAATAAGAAAAGTGACCAAATAAAATGAAAATAGAGTCAAAAAGGATCAGAGAGAAAATGATGGATGTAGATGAAAACCAAGGAGAACCGTGAAACCCATGAACTGAACCCTAAGTAGAAACCTAAACAATGAAACAATGGGAAAAGGATAGTCTTTTTGACAAATGCCTCTTTTTTAAAAAGTGGACAGCTACATGCAAATAAATTCAAAATGGATCATAGAGCTAAATGTAAGAACAAAAACTGTAAAACTTTTAGAAGAAAAAAAGAGGAAAAAACCTTCATGACTCTGGGCTAGACAGAATTTTTGGATACGACACCATTAAAAAAATGTAGGGAGGATAAACAGTAATGGAAAAAAATACAATAAGAAAAAGAAAAAGTAAGAAAAAAACAGGCTTTTTCCAATTTAAATGTTTGCATATCAAAAGGCACTATTAAGAAAATGAAAAGAAGCTACAGAATACTTGCAAGTAATACATATGATAAAAGACTTGTATCCAGAATATATAAAGAACTCTTACAACTTAATAGTAAGAAGACAAACAACCCAATTTAAAAATGGGCAAAATATTTGTATAGACGTATAACAAAAATTAGACTTGGCTAGTGTGGCTCAGTGGATTGAGCGCCGGTCTGAGAACCAAAGGGTTGCAGGGTTTGATTCCCAGTCAGGGCACATGCCTGGTTGCAGGCCAGGTCCCCACTTAGGGGCGCGCAAGGGGCAGCCACATATTGATATTTCTCTCCCTCTCTTTCCCTCTCCCTTTCCTTCTCTCTAACAATAACTAACTAACTAACTAACTAACTAACTAACTAACTAACTAACAAATTACACGAATGGCTACACAAAAAGATGCTCAGCATCTTTAGGTATTAGGAAAATGCAAATTAAAACCACAGGATACATGCCCACTATAAAAATATTATAAAAATAAATAAGAACAAACATTGATGAGGTTGTAGAGAGACTGGATCCGTTATATGCTATTGAGAGGAAATAGAAAACAGTGTAGGAAATTCAGAAAAATTTGGCAGTTTCTTAAAAAACCATTCTACTTCTAAGTATCCACCCAAAAGAAATGAAAGCATGGGTCCACACAAAGACTTTACACAAATGTTCATAGCAGCCTCGTTCATAGTAGACAAGAGCGTAGAAGTAGAAAAGATATTCATCAACTGATGAATGGTTTAACAAATGATCAATGGTACATCCTTACAATGGAATACTATTTGGCAATATAAAGGGATGGAGTGCTGGTAGATGCTACACCAGGGATAAACCACAAGACACTATGCCAAGTGAAAGGAGACAGATGCAAAGACCACATATTGTGTGATTTCATTTACATGAAATGTCCAGGAAAAATAAGCATACAGAGACATAAGTAGAATTGTAGCTGTGTGGGCCTGGGCATGCAAATGGGAGAATGACTGGCATAAAAGATCTTGGGGCAATAGAAATGTTCTAAAACCACACATGGTGATGACTGCCCAACTCTGTAAATTTACTAAAAATTATTGAATTGTACAAAACAAGTGACTTTTATGTAATCTAAATTATACCACTAAATATATTACTAACTACAACAACAAAAGGAAGACTTGACTCTACATAGTGAAAGAATATACCATATACCAGGGAAAATTGACCTAGAAAGATCAACACTTAGACATATTCTAGTAATGTTATTGAACTTACAAGATAAAAAGAGAATATTTGGGCAGCTGGATGAAAAGATCAAGAGATCATAGGAAAAAAATATCAGAAAGAGAAAAGGTATCAGGTAAGAGACTACAAATCTAGAAGAAAACATGACAGAATTCCTTAATAAATCTGGAGTGGAAAAGACCCTTCTAATTATGATTCAGAAGGTAGAGCCATAAAGTAAATAGTTTGAGTATGTATGAGGGGAATGGAGGAGAGGACAACAGTATCTCTACTGTTTGGCAAAGGAGTCTGGAAAATGTAGTCTGCAGGTGTCCAGCCCCTGAGATACAGAGTGCAGAAGGGCAAGAATGAAGCTTGATGAAGACTTGTACTAGAATGTTCATAGCAACTTTATTCATAATATTCCAAAAATTGAAACAATCCAAATGTCAATGAAGAGGTAAATTAATAAACTGTCATATTTCTATGATGGAATACTGCCAGAAATAAAAAGGAATAAAATACTGATATATGCAAATATGCAGAAGAATATTTAAAACACTGGCTGAACCAAAGAAGTCGTAAAGTACTGTCTGTACCATTTCATTTATAAGTTGTAGAATAAGCAAAACAAATTTATAGTGATAGCTATCACAACAATGTTGCACCTAGGGGTTGGGAGATTGACTGAGAAGGGGAACATGGCAGCTTTCTGAGGTGATATTTTTTTTACCCAGGGTGGTTACATGGGTGTATGTATTTGTCAAAACTCACCTAACTGTACATTTAAAATCATATTGTTTGTAAATAATACCACAATAAAGAAATAGTTATCATGAAAGAATGAAAAGTTCCAAACTTAGAGAAGACATTTATGACACATACTTCTGACAAAAGATTGTTCCCAGAAAAAAATAATGTAAAAATCAATGAAAAGAATACAGCCAAACAGAAAAATGGATAAAAAGTATTGATAGGCTTTTAGAGATAAGGAAAAACAAATAGGTGTAAACATAGGAAAAGATGCTCAACTCTCATTTTTTAATCAAGAAAACAGCAAATAAAGATCTTACGAGATACCATTTTACATCCACCAGATTACTTGGGGTGGTGAACACACAATTTACAGATGATTTATTATGGAATTGTACACCTGAAACCTATATAATTTTGTTAACCAATGTCACCTCAATAAATTCAATAAAAAAGTTAAAAAATAAATACATCCATCAGATTGGCAAAAAGAATTAAAAAGCTGGGCAACAGCAAGTACTGGTGAGAACGCAGAGTAGTGGGAATTCTTATACCACACTGATGAAAGTGTAATTTGGTATAATTACTTTCACTTTAAATTTCTCTTCCACTCCTGGGTATGTAATTTAGAGGAAGTCTCACTCTTGTGACCAGGAAACATGTACAAGAGTATTTATAAAAAAGTATTATAGTAGAAAAAAAGATACAACCTAAATGTGTACATATACCACATAATTAGAGGTGAGTTCTACCAAACTTTCAAGGAAGGTTATAATCCTACAGTGGATATATACAGAACTAAAATTAATTTTAGCTATGAATATCAATATAAAAATGTAATATTGAGTAAAAGATGCAAAAACATATGTGTATAGGCTAAAAATCCCTCTTACAGAAAATGTAACAATAATATGCTCTTTAGGGCTGCACACATAGGTGGTAAAATTTTTTTTTAAAGCAAGGGTGTGAATATCACAAGAGTCAGGATTATGGTTATTTCTTAGGTAAATGGATCTGGAAAGAATATGAGGGGGTCATCTAAGAGACTGACAGTTTTATCTCTTTTAAGCTGAGTGGTAAGCTCATGGGTACTACTGGTTGTTCTTTTTTTTCTATTTTGAAGATTTTATTTATTTATTTTTAGGGAGAGGGGAAGGCAGGTCAAAAGAACAGTAGGGAAACATCAGCATGTGAGAGAAACATCAATCAGTTGATTCTTACACATGCCTGCCCCAAAAGGGGACCAACCAGCAACACAGGCATGTGTCCTGACCGGGAATTGAACCAGCAACTTTTTGTTTTGCAGGATGATGCTCTATCAAGTGAGCCATGCCAATCAGGGCCATGGGTACCACTTTTATTATTTTTCTTTAAACTTTATATGCATTTATATATTTTTTATATTTATTTTATAATTTAAAAACAAATAGAAGGCATGGCTGAATACTTTCTTTAAATTCTATGTTCTTTTTATCAGTAGCTAATACCATGCAAAAGTAAAGTCTTCCCTTTCAAATGGCTATGATAATATGTCAACTTTTTTTCAGAGTATCACTACTAAAAGTGGATACAAATTTTTGAAAAATAAATAAAAACATGTAGAATGTTATGCAAAATTAAAGAAGCTAGTCTTTCTTCATATTGTATGATTCCATGTATATAAAAGGTCTAGAATGGGAAACTCTATAGAGACAGAAAGTAGATCAGTGGTTACCTAAGGTTGGGGAGATGGGGAAGAATAGAAAGTAACTGCTAACAGTACAGGATTTTTGGGGGAAGGTAATGAATGTTCTAAAATTTATCATGGTGATGGTGCACAATTCTGTGAATATACTAAAACCCACTGAATTGTCTACTTTACCTAGATGAATTGTATGGTATTGTGAATTATAGTTCAATAAAGCTGTTCTTAAAAAAAAACAGGTAGATTGGCCTTCCAAAAGGGCCATCATTCAGCCAAGATGGAGGCGTAGGTAGATATGCTTTGCTTCTTCACACAACCAAAAGAAGGATAATAACCAATTTAAAAGCAAAAAACCGACCAGAACTGCCAGAAAATTGAACTATATGGAAGTCTGACAACCGAGGTGTTACAGAAGAAACATTCATCAAGACTGCTGCACTGAGACAAAGAAATATGGCCCAAATGAAAGAATGGATAAAAACTCCAGAAAAAGAACTAAGCGACAAGGAGAGAGCCAACCTATCAGATGCACAGTTCAAAACACTGGTAATTAGGATACTCACAGAAATGAGTGAGCACAGCCACAAAATAAAGGAAGATATGAAGGCTATACAAAATGAAACAAAAAAAAAATATACAGGGAACCAACAGTAAAGGGAAAGAGACTGGGACTCAAATTGATAATTTGGAACAAAAGGAAAAAATAAACATTCAACCCGAACAGAATGAAGAAACAAGAATTGAAAAAAAAAAATGAGGACAGGCTTAGGAATCTCTGGGGCAACTTTAAATGTTCCAACATCTGAATCATAGGGTGCCAGCAGGAGAAGAGGAAGGGCAAGAAATTGAAAACTTATTTGAAAAAATAATGAAAGAAAACTTCCCCAATCTGGCAAAGGAAACAAACATACAAGTCCAGGAAGCTCAGAGAGTCCCAAACAAGTTGGACCCAAAAGGGGCCTCACCAAAACACTTCATAATTAAATTGCTAAAGGTTAAAGATAGAGAGAAAAGCAGCAAGAGAAAAGAAAAAAGTTACCATAAGTTACTACTACAAAGGATTTCCCATAAGACTATCAGCTGATTTCTCAAAAGAAACTTTACAGGCAAGAAGGGGCTGGAAAGAAGCATTCAAAGTCATGAAAAGCAAGGACCTACATCCAAGATTACTCTATCCAAAGCTATCATTTAGAATGGTAGGGTAGATAAAGTGCTTCCCAGATAAGGTCAAGTTAAAAGAATTCATCATCATCAAGCCCTTACCATATGAAATGTTAAAGGGACTTATCTAAGAAAAAGAAGATCAAAACTATGAACAGTAAAATGACAACAAGCTCACAACTATCAACAACTGAACCCAAAACAAAAACAAAAACTAAGCAAACAACTAGAATAGGAACAGAATCATAGAAATGGAGATGACATAGGGGGTTATCAGTGGGGAGGGGGAAAGGGGAGAATGGGGGAAAGGTACAGGGAATAAGAAGTGTTCCCTTAAAAGGACAATTAGCCTGGCATGCAGTGGATTTTTTTCCACCTCTTGGCTGGATCTGACTATTACCATCATATATCACTGGGCTATACTGTGTAGTTGAGACGAGAGGCTTGTAATTCAGGTCCATCTTGTTTCCATAGTGGCCGATGCTGACCTCGAATTGGATCAGGTCCTTAAAGTTGGGCATCATGGTACAGGAAAGGAAGATGACGCACAGCCCATACTTTTGGCGGTTCTGTTGCTTCTAAAACAACAAGCCCCATACCCCCAGCACATAAGGCAAGGATGAACAAGTCTATAAAGACAGACAGGGGGCAAGGGATGAGGTGCGCTCTTTCTATAAAAAGCCATTCTAGCTCTTCAAGGTGAGCTAGACCATCACTCAAAAGCACCCACCTCCACTCAAAGCCTTGCCTTGACTCCCACTCACTTGGCTGATTAAGGAGGCAGTTCCTTCCAATACCTCTATCACCTGACTCCCTCCACCCAGCCAGCCCTGATTCCTTCCCTTCCTAAAACTGTGCAGGAGGGTCTTCTCCCTGGCCAGGCTAGGCTCTGGGTTGGGCCACCCACCTCCACCCATGTTGCGCCACACCACCCCTCTCAATTTGGCCTAAACGTCCTCCTCAGATGAGACAGAGTACAGGCAGGGGTGCATAGTAGAGGTTGCACAAGCTCACACATCCTCTCCTGGCCTTTCACAAGCCCCTCCTTCCACCATTCCTCCCATCTGCTTGGGGTCCTCTCTCTACCATGTTAACCCCTCTCTCATTTCTGTTGCCAGCCTCTGCCTTACTCTTGCATGTCCCCAGTCTGTTCCCTAGCTCAGGTATCCCCTGGCTTAAAAATAGTCCTCCTTCTCCCCTGTGATCCTGTTTAGCTACCACCTGCTCTTGTCTCCCTCTGCTTTCCAGCTAAGTTGCCATGCATTTGTCTCCATGCACCATCTGCAACTTCTCTTCCCCAACCCCCACCCCCTTCATGGCACCTGACCCAAGGCTACCAGTGCCTTCCGAATAACCAGTGGACAATTGTGAGTCCTCACCCTTTCTTTCTGCCGCCTTCAGAGAGCTGATGGCTCCTTTCTGCAGCTCTCCCTCCCTCATAAATCCTCTTTCCTCCTGCCTCCCAGGTTGTGGTGCCCCTATAGGCTCCAGCCTCAACTCCCTTCTCCTTTCACTTTGCCAACTCCCCCAGGCAAGCCCTCCATAACCATGGTTCAGATCCTGGTGTGCTGATGGCACACCCATCTGTCCAGCAGCCTTGAGACTGGTCTTCGTGGATGTCTCACAAGCACAGGTCAAAATGAGGTTCATCATCTCCCCCAGACCTGCTCCTCCTTCAGGGAGCTGAGGTTGATGTAAGCCACCCAATCATGTTGCCTCCCAAGCAGAAAATGGGTGTCAGCTTAGGGGAGTTGGCCTCACTTCTTATGTTCTGTTAGTTGGTGGCTCTGATCATTCTGCTTCTAAAGGGACTCTGGAACCACTCCCTTCTGTCCAGCTCTCTTCCCCTGTGACTGTACCCCATTTCTCTAGGTGAGTGGCTTACCTTACTCCCTTCTGACTATTCTTAATACTTTCTTGCCCCATGGCCCTCCCCTGCCTTCAGAAAGAAAACCCAATTCCTTAAAATGCTCCATAGAATGTTTCTCCTTAACTAGATGGCACATATCTTAAACCAAAGCCTTATCCTGTTTTTACTGGGTCCCCTGGTCATCTGGGATTTGGCATAGCAAGCAGCTCTCGTGGCTCAGTAGAGACTCAGGCAGACTGACCACCATCCTCATGTACCCATCACCGCATTCAGCTTGTGTCCAGGGCCAAAAGTGGGAAGCACAGTCAACTGAGGCGGGCAGAGGCCCACTTTCTTCCTGGGTTACCTCTACGCTGGTCACGTCCTGGGAGAGGTCCTTCATCCTAGTATCTTGGTGGGACTTGATGTGGGTGACTAACTCCACAAAGACCCGGCCTCGATACTCCAAACCATCCTTAACAGAGCTGGGAATAGTCTAGGGTTAAAGAGAGGAAGACAGAGAGAAAAGGGATGAGAGAAACAGAGCAGGCCAGTCTTCCAACACCTCTGCAGCAAAGACAGAGTTGTGCAGTACTTCAACCCCAAAGAGGAATGCCAGATCCCAGAAACAGTGTTGCTGGAAACCTCTAGGCCCTAACCCCTCTTCTGAACCCTTCAGCCTGCTCCTCCTCTTCATGTGCTCTGCCTGTTGATCCTCATAAATAGTTCCTGCTGGGAGAGGACTGTGATAGCTAGTGTGGTCTCCCTGTCTGGCCAAATCAGAGCACATCCTGCCTCTTGGGCAATGGTGACGGGCCCAAGGGGAGCACATGTGACTTAAAGACGCTGGTAAGAATGCTTTCCTGGCCTTTCCTGTTAAAAACTCCGGGGACCATGTTCCCAGCACGGAAACCTGAGTGCAGTGGGGAAATATGAGGCCTGGGCTAGCTAGCAGCGGAGATGAGAGATGGAGAGAGAGTAGTCTTCTGATGGCACTGAGGTTCTAGTTCCTGCCTCTTCCTCACTCAGAGTCCTTCCCAGTCCCATTCCTTGCATTTGGCTTTCTCGCATCTGTCACCAGGCCTAAATAACCCAGTGCTTTTCTACATTTACCTGTGCTATTTCTTTTGTATCATAGGTCCTTTCTACCTGTTGAAAATCTTACCCAAGTTTCCATCTCAGTGCCCTCCAGCTGTTCATTTCTTGTACCATACCACACTTCCCACATATCCACAGCCATTTATGTGCAGGCTTCATGTTCTCTACCAGCATGTGGTAGACAGACACGAGAGCCAGGTCCTCCCCAGGTATCTCCCAGGCCCCAGTGCCTGACATGTGTTCGGTTTTACCTCCTCTGTTCCCTATAGTGGACGTGAGAAGCTTACAGAGCCTTCTTCTTGGATCTGGAAAGGGGCCTTTTTACCCCCATGGAGAGTCAGAAAGCTGGGGCCAAAGCAGGGTAGAAAACCAGAGTACGTCCCTGCCAGAAGAGAGGGTAAGAAGGTGGCCAGGCGAGAGAAGCACAGGAGGAGAATAAGGGCAGGGGTGGGTTAGCACAGGAAGGGAATAGGGGCAGGGGTGGGTTGCTTGCCTTCCAGTTCTGCTCCTGTGGATGAGATCTGGTTGAGGAACAGGCTGACAGTTCCAATTTCATTCCTGCAGTTGCCCTTGGAGCTGGAGAGAAACACATGCTGCCTCTGACCCATTTCTGATTTTCTCCCCACTGCCATGTTTCCAGCCTCCACCCAGTTGCTCACCAGTCCAAGACTCTGAACTTGATGTAGCTGGAGAGGCAGGGCAGCTGCAGGGGGAGGCAAGAGGCACAGTGGGTACATTGCACTTGTGCTTGGAGGGTCTGGTCTTCATAGAAACTGCAAGCACTTGGAAGTCCTGGGTCCGGATCCAAGGCCTGGCTCAGTTATCAATGAGCCATTTAACTACAGCCAAGATAGATTTACCATGGGAGCTTCTAGGTTCTAAGCTTGAGGTCCCCCACTTGCATGGGTCCCTCACAAGGTCCTGAGAGAGACTAGGACTGTGTCCCATGATCATTTTGTATTCTTTTTTATTTTTAATCCTTACTTGAGGACATGCTTATTGATTTTAGAGAGAGGGAAAGGGAAGGGGAGAGAGATGGAGAGAAACATTGATAGCTTCCCTTTTGTATGTGCCCTGCCTGGGGACCAAACCTGAAACCTAAGCATGTTCCCTGACCGGGAATCAAATACATGAGCTTTTGGTTTATGGGACGATGCTCCAACAAACTGAGCCACACCAGCCAGGACCATTTTGTATTCTTGTTCTTGAAATGGCCCCCTAATTGCATAAGGTCAGGACCCATGAAAGCAGGGTGCTCCCTGATTGTGTGTTTCAAGACTACAGTTTTCATACAGCCCTGCACAGTCTAAATGGATGTTTACCAAACCCTCCTGTGGGGCAAGTCATGAGTCTGAATGTCTTCCTCACATTAGCACTTAACTTTCAACCCGTCAGTCATCTGTCTCCTCACAGAGTAAATAACAATGGCTACCCATCTGGTGGGGAGTTCCATGTCCCCTGACCAGTGCTGAATGATCTCCTGTACCAACTGAGTGATCCCTCCCAACAATCCCATTAGCCAATTGCTTCTGAGTCCCATTTTCAGACAGGAAAACTGAGGCACAGAGAAGTTGAGTTCCTGAAGTTCTCATGTTACACTCAGGGGCTGATGGTTGTCCCAGAGCCCCTAAGCCCACTGAGTGTTGGGACTGTCCCTTTTTGCAGATGGGGAATGCTCAAAGTCATATAGTAAGGGGTAGAATCAAGATTGGAAGCCATGCTTCTGAGTCTTATTTCTACTCTGCTACAGGGTTCCCTTAATTATAAGGGGGGGAAAAATCCATGTTTAAAACAGAACTGCTAGCCCTGACTGATGTGGCTCAGTGGATTGACCACCAGCCTGCAAACTGAAAGGTTGCCAGTTCAATTCCCGGTCAAGGCACGTGCCCGGGTTGCACATCAGGTCCCCAGGCGGAGGCATGCAAGAGGTAACCGATCAATGTATCTCTCACACATTGATGTTTCTCTCCCTCTCTTTTTCTCTCCCCCTCTCTAAAAATAAATAAGAAAATATTAAAACAGAACTGCTAGGTTGAGGTCTGAGTGGGACTCCCATCTTCTCAGCCAGGACCTCTTCCCTCACAGCAGTTCCTGGGGCTGTGCCAGGGTCCTTCCAGCTTTCCATTCTCCTCTTCCATTCTCCCCTTGTTGTGCAGGCTGGGGGCCAAAGGGAGGTAGAGAAAGGGCTTTCCAGTTGAGCAGTTGGGTATTAAAAAATGAGGAAGCCCTGGCTGGTCCAGTTGAGCAGCTAGCTGGGTGTTAAGAAATGAGGAAGCCATGGCTCAGTTGGGAGGAGCATTGTCCCATACAACAAAAGGTCATGGGTTTGATTCCCTGTCAAGGTACACACCTAGGTTGCAGGTTTGGTCCCTGGTCAGGGGGCATATGAGAGGCAGCCAACTGATGTTTCTCTCTTTCATTGAAGTTTCCCTCTCTCTCTTCTTCCCTCCCCCTCTCTTCCTAAAATCACTAGGCAAGTCCTCGGTGAGGATAAAAAAATAAAAAATAAAGACACTTTTAAAAAAGAAATGAGGATATTCCCCAGGTTAAGGAAGGACATTGGAAGTGGAGACATGAGTGCTGTCAGGCATCTAGGTCTTCCAAAATTATGAACCCTCCAAATTCAAATTCATGGCTAAACCACCTTTTCATCCACCATGTTGAGAATCCTCCTCCTTTCTCCCACTTCCTTGTCTTGACTCCCCTCCTGTCCTGGAGCCCCTGGACTATAAGTGGGCACACCCCCATTTTCAGCAACTCTCCCCCTGCAGGTTGCCTTGCTGGGGCCCTGGCCAGCTGGCCTCAAATTTTATCATCTGTGTGGTCATCCGGCTGCATCAGAGTGAGGTTCACATCTGCTTGCTGCATTTCCAGAAGATTAGTAATAATCAGGCTTGCACCCAAGTGGTCCCAGTCCTAGACACTGTGTTCTAACAGAAATGGATGAGGGTCCAGGGGATGTGTGGACATCTTCAAATGTTGGAAGGCCTCTTTCAGGGATGAAGGAAGGTTGGGCCTGTGCCACTTGTTCTGAGCCTGAAGAGAGCTGAGCATCTGAGGGTTCTGGCCTCATTACAGCCAGGCGCATGTGAGAGTGGGCTTGGCAAGGGTAGGGGATGAACTCAACCTCTTCTAAACTCTCTTTCTACTTAAAAAGTCAATAAAATCATCCAAGTAGGGAATATGAGGAATGGTTAAAAATGATGACTCACCAGGAGGCATAGGGGAGCTCATTAGCTACTTTCACTTCACACAAATGTAAAATATAAGGAACCCAAACACTCTCCGGGTGGCCAAATAGATGGCACCCAAAGTTCTGCACAGTTGCACTCATGAGAGTGCTCAAGTTCTCTCAGAATCCTCTTCTATTTTGCACACAATCCTTAGAGGCCTAAGCCCTGGAGGGCTTAAAGAGAACTGGCATCCACACCATTGACAAGAAGGATTGCGAGGGTATAAAAATCAGACCACAGAACCCCACAAAGAAGAGCACCTTGGGGCAGTTAGTGTAGGGACAAATAGCGTGACCACATGTAGCTCAGAATAACTACAGGCTCCTGGTATCTCTAGGTCATCAGCTAAGAGCTGCCAATCTATTCATGGCATCTGGCCTAAGAGATAATTGATAATAAAATTTAGAATGAGTCTTTAAAGTGATTGGTGTTTTTTAAAAGGTTTTATTTATTTATTTTCAGAGAGAGGGGAAAGGAAGGAGAAAGAGGAGAGAAACATGGATTTGGTTGCCTCTCACATGCCCTGAGCTGTGGACCTGGCCAGCAACCCAAGCATGTGTCCTGACTGGGAATCAAACAGGCGACATTTTGGTCCACAGTCTGGCACTCAATCCACTGAGCCATACCAGCCAGGGCTTACTTTTTAATGTAGGTGAAAGGACACGTTTAAGTTTTCTGGAAAGCTCAGTTGTACGGCCCACTCATTAATAGTGGATATAGTAAGATTTCCCATAATGGTCCTGGACTTCCTCATGCTCCCTATTAGGCAGAGCCCTCCCCTTCGCATGTTTCTTGGTCTCTCCTTCCATCCATACCTTTACACACGCCAACCCCCAAATGCCCCTTGTTTGTGGGGAGAGGAAGTGGTAGGCATAATTAGATGGCAATACCTGAATCTGGAAGGTCAGGATCTGGTTCCAGATTGGGTTCTCTGTTTGGGTCTTCACCTGTGTCTTAAGCTGGGAACATCCCAAAGCAGTGTCAGTGCCAGCCTGTCCCCTCCTCCCTCCACAGGCCTCACTTTCCAGCCCTTCCAGTCTGGCTCACAGTCTGGTTGCTGTCTGCAACCCAGGGCTGATCATGGGACTCCCTGGTCTCAGACACTTGGACAACTTCTAAGCAGCTACAACTTCAGTCTTTTGTGCACTTGCCGAGGCCCAGATTCCTCAATATTTTTCCTTAAGTCAACTTTCAATAAATTACATTTTTAAATAGATATAGGGCTCTAACTTTATTATATGAATACATATACATAGATTATTGTAGAGGAACTCTTAAGATCCTAACAGAAGTGATCAAAACAACTCCAATGGCAGCAGCACACATGGCCTCCCCTTCTTGAAGCATCATTTTAAAATCTAGCCTTAATCTGAGCAATCATGTTAGTGAAATCAAAGGTTGGTTGAACTGGTTAAACTTTTCAATGGACACTCAGAAAAACACAGAAATATTAAAAATTGGGATAAATTATGTTCCATCTACCACCCAAGATCATCTCATCTAGATTGGGAATACAAACCTCCCTCAGTGTGGTGGTTCTAAGGTATATCCACCAGACCTTTGGTACTCCTTCCTTCAAAAAGGGTACACTAACCCCTCTCTTCCCTTATGTATGGGCTGCATTTAATAACTACTAATAGGTAGAATATGGCAGAATTGATGGTTTATAAATTCTGAGACCAATCTATTTAACTTTAGTCCAGCATTCCCCAAAGTTAAACATAAGATTGTTTTTTTGCACAAAACATCTATCAACACACTTTGGAAAATGTACTCTGTTCAAAGAGGTTCACGGAATGTCAGCAACTCTCTTGCCAGAACCCTCAAATTATAAAAGAAGAAGCAGGTGCAGAGGGGATGTGACAGTCTAAGTGCTGTTCATTTGCAGGCATGTTGCTTCATTCATTCATTCACTCATCAGGCATCTGTGTCCTTGGTTTTCAGGGGGCATCTTCCATGCTGGGCACTGCACACAGCTCTGGGAGGCAGTGGTGAAGCCATGGCCTCCACCTTCACAGAGTTCCTGATCCAGTGGGTTCACACGGCCCGTTAATGGACAAACTGGGAGATGATTCCTGGGGTTCTGCCTACCAACCCAGTCTTACTCCCACACTATTGCTAGGTGACCATTTCTCTTAGCCACATACCCTTTCTGCACTTACCTTTTCCCCAATTAGTTCTACCTCCAACACAGGACTCACTGAGTGGTATTTCTCTGTGAACAAGAAGTTAAAAGATTTCTGAAACAACATCATCTTTTTTTTTTTTTTTTTTTTGAGAAGGAGAAAAAGGAGAGGTGACAGAACAACTTAAAACCCTCCTCCATAATGTGATTTGGCGCCCCATGGGCAAACCCCTCCCATTTTCACTCTCTCTGTGTGACCCATATTATTAGCAGCAGAGATGGAGGCTGGCATAGGGAACCTCTGCACCCAAGCATCAAAGACAGGTCAGGGACATATGGCCCATTTTAAAGGGTGTCTATGAGGCCTCTATAAAACCACTGTAAGAGGATTTTAGTTTCACCTTCCCCCTCCAACCTAAATAGGAACAGGGAAGCCCCTGGGGACCTAGGGTGTCACTGCATAGGGCACCTGAGGGACATGCCCTTCCTGCCACCCTGACTCACTGAGGTGAAGGTCCTCTGCGCAGTAGATGAAGAACTGTAAGTAGGCCATTTTGATGGGGACCATCGCTGACTTGAAGATCTGAACATTGGTGTCATCAGCTCCATAGGGCATCTTTTGATCTACCTGGAAAGACCAGAGAGCTGACAGGGTCAGAGTCATGGGGAGGTCACAGCCAAGGCCACTGAGGAGGAGTGACAGCCCTGAAGTGACACAGTGGACAACATGAAAGCATGTAAAGATCAACGGCCACTTGGAAAACCCAGGGTGCCCCACAGAAGCAGCCAAGGTAGGAAATGTTGCTGGGATGTGGGGGGTAGCCTCACCAGGGCCTGATCTCCCACACCGACAGCACAGATGGTGACCTTCAGGTAGCCTCTCACACCACTGCTGGGTTCATTTGGGTTGCAGAGGCCTAACCATTTCCGCAGTAGTGTGTGACCTGGAGAGGCAGAGGGCCCATGGGGGACCAGCTTCCAGTCTCCCCTGAAACCAGTCTTTGTTTGTTGGGGAGAGAGATGTAGAAACATGTCTCATATATTCTGATTGCAATCCAGTAGTACAAAAATGAGAGTCGCTCCTACCATTAAGCCAAGAAAGTGCACTCTCCAGGCTGCCAGATATTGTGTTTAGAAAATAGGGACCCCTCTTTCCTATCCTGGGACCCTATAGTTGTTACTGTCCTGGTATGAACAAGACAAGAATTTTCCCCGACATTAAGTCCCAGCCTCAACCTGGGTACCTATGTTATGGCCAAGGCACAGAGGAAATCTCTACTCAAACTTTAATTCCCCAACACTGGCCTCAAAAATTGAAAGTCAGCCCAAGGCTGCATTAAAAGATTAGCATTTGACCCAAAGGGATGCCTTCAGTTTTGCAGAGAAAAATTTTCTTATAAAACAAGATAAACTACCATTAAGTACAGTAAAATATTACCAAGTACAGAAAATAATTCACACCCTTGAATACTCTTCCCAATTCATTGAACATACAGGGATTTTGTGATGTTTTGACACTTGGCTTGGTTTTTCTTAGAAGATACGCATACCTGCAACAACTGTTTACTTACCCGGAGAATGGTAGATAAATCCAATATCTGTCTGAAAAGACAAGAGTAGAATAAAGATTAGTTAGGACCTCCAGCTAAGATTTGTAATACCAACTAAGCTGATGATAGTAGTAGCCACTTGCCTGCTCTAACTTTTTAAATCTTTGCAACAAGATAGAAGTTGGCCCATACCTCCACCACTCAACAGAGGAAGATACTGAGTTTGGGAGGAGTGCTCAACATCTTACAGCTAGAAAATAAGGAGGCCTGGATTGAAAGGATACTTAACCACCACTGCCTGGCCAACATAACACTGACTCTTTTCTCTCCCTAGGTGAGGGAAGAGCTTCTCCTATCCTGGGGAGGAGGATGATCAAGGGTTGCCAGGAGTTGGCAAGAGAGGCTATGTGTTTTCCCTTTGCCTTGGGAGAAAGTTTCTGACTGAGGCCAGAGAGATGTGGTACAGGACTGAAGTGGTGTGGGACAAGGTCACCCTTGTAACTCACATCGAAAGGTCCACAAAGCAGTCCCCGGATCTTGCACATTAGGGCTGCTTTGAAACCAGTTACCCTCTTGGATTACATAGGCAAGGATTTCTTAGATACAACAAGAGTACATCCATAAAAGAAAAACCTGAGAAATTGGGCGTCATTGAAGTTAAAAACTTCCACTCTTTTAAAAGATACTATTAAGCAAATGAAAGGACAAGTTATATACTGGGAGAAAATAATTCCAAATCATATATCTGATAAAAGATTTGTATCCAGAATATATAAGAAAATCTCAGAAGTCAATAGTAAGAAAACAAGCAAAAAATTTGAACAAACATTCTGAACAGGCAAAGATAGATGACAAAAAAGCACATGAAAAGATGCTCAACATCATTAGTCATCAGGGAAGTGAATAATCTTGAGATATTAATACATAATTAGAATGGCTAAAATAAAAAAGATGGACTATATCAAGCATTGATGAGAATGTGGAGCAACTGGAACTCCAATACACCTCTGATAGGAATATAAAATGATAACGCTTGTTTAGAACTTTTGAGAAAAAATCATTAAGAATTTTCTTTAAAAGTTAAACATACACCTACCATATGAGCTAGTCATTCCATTTCTATGTATCTGCCCAAGTGAAATTAAAGCATATGTCCACACAAAGATTTATGCATCACTGTTACAGCAGCTTTATTGTAATAGCCAAACACTGGAAATAATCTAAATGTTCATCAGCAGATAAATTGATAAACAAACTGTGGTACATCCATACATGTGAGTACTACTCAGTAATAAAAAGGAATGAACTATTGATACAGGCATCATGGATAAAATCTCAAAATAATTATGCTGAGTAAAAGTAGCCAAACAAAAAAGAGTACATGCTATATGATTTCATTGATATAAAATTCTAGAAAATGCAAAGCAATCTGTAGTTACAGAAAGCATACCATTTGTTGCCTGGGGGTGAGAGGGGTTGGGATGAGGGTTAGAGGGAAGAAGTTCAAGGGGGCACAAGGAAACTTTTGGGGGTGATGGATGTGATGGATATGTTCATTATCTTGACTATAGCAATGGTTTCTATACATATTTTTAAATGTATCAAGGTATATAATTTAAATATGTGTAACGCATTGTTTGTCAATTATACTTCAATAAAGCTGGAAGAAAACAAAATAAAACTCAGTCACCCCTAAAAAAACCGAAAACCTCAGTCACCCTTAACGAAGCAGTAGACCTAGGCAGTGATCACCGGTAGCTCTTAACAACAGAGACCAGTAGACATTCTGTGCCTCCTGCTGAAGTCATCTTGCCAAACAATTGACCCAAGTCTGGTGGAGCCTCTAGATGGAAATACCTCAGCAGGGGGACCTGTGAAATGAGCCCCAGGAGATGCAATCAGCAAAATCCAGACTAGGGGAAACTTTTAGGATAAACAAATTTGTTTAGCAAATAAATTGCAAGGGAAAAAAGGGAATGGGACCAACAGAATAAAAGAGACCTGAAAATACACTTAAACCTGTATGCACCTGGTATGGATCTTGGCTCAGGCAAACTTTAAAAGGAATTCACAAGACAATTAGGAGAATTTGAATACCAAATTAGAAAAGGTTTTCATTAAATGTGATAGCCATATTTGGTTACACTTAATAAAATATGTTTTAGAACAATATGCTGAAATATTTAAAAATAAAATGATACCATGTTTGAGATTTGATTCAAAATAATCCAGTAGGGTTGCAGAAATGGCCTGGGTATGGATAAAAATCTGATTGGCAATGAATTGGTGAAGCTGACTAATGAGGAAGTGGGAATTTATACTATTCTCTCTACTTCTGTGTATATTTAAACTTTTCCAAAAAAAGTAATATACATATTTTTTAAAGCTCAGATTTTCTCTGCCTTCTGTATTTTACTCAACAGTTTATACAGTTGGTTGTTGTCTGAAAATTTCACGGTGGTCTTTGTCGAAAGCTCAACATTTTTGACCCCTGCCATCTACCCTCTCTAGAATCTTAATTTCTAAGCCTGCACTGCTGCCTCAAGGGTAAGATGGGAGGAGGGGCAGTTCATGACTGTTTATGTGCTTATTACAAGTAGTGAGGAAGTAATCTAACTTTAATTTGCCCTAAATTTACCTTTAACAAGGGTGGAGACCTTTTTCGGGGGTTGCCAGATTTAGGAAATAAAAATATAGATGTCTGCTTAAATTTGAATTTCATGTAAACAGTGACTATATTTTAGTATATATTTGTCCCCTATAGTATTTCTTGAGGAGCCATTTGAGGAAATATTTCAGGCACGCTTCTATTTCCAAAGTACCTGTTCTTTAAGATTCAGATTTATGGGGCATCTTGTGTTTAAGCCGGCAACCCTACCTTTCCTGATCTTCCTGGATTTGGGAAATCTTCATGTAGCCCTTCATGAAGCAAGGTTTGTCACGGGTTCCCCAACAATTAGTTTGGTCTTTTTGGGTGTTCTGCTTCCATTTTCTTGAAACAGAGGCTTGAACTGTGTCTATTATATTATAAATGTGGAGACTTCAACAAGACATCGAGCACTTTTATGAATATTACACATTTTAATCCTCTCGACAACCCTGTGGTTGAGTAAGTTATTGTCTTCATTTTACAGATGAGGAAGTAGAGGCTCAGAACACTTGTCTAAGTCACTCAGTTGGTAGGTGGATCCAAATCTGGGTCTTTCTGCATGAAAATTCAAGTCCTTTCCCCAGGACTTGGGCGTGGAGCCCAGGGTGGTTGAGTCTCTATGACCAGTTCCCCAAACCTCCTTCTTTCCCCAGTACTCACTTGGAACCTCCCGATCTCTGCATTGTATCTCATCACTGAGGAATTCATCACCTGTGGGGGGATTCCCAGAAAGAGTTCAGTTGTTCACAGCCTAGTTCCCTGACCCACACAGGCACATTAAGAATTCTCCAGAGTTTACTCCACGCTTCCTAATGGCCCATTCCAAACCCCCACGTAGGTTTTCTCCTTTAATTCTCAGAGAAACTCTCTGAGGTTCAGGTTTTTTAGTTCAATTTTTCTGATGAGAAAACTGATTAAAGAGGCCAATTCACTTGGTCAGCCCAAAGGTCAACACAAAGCCAAGTGTTGCACTCAACTTTCTCATGGCCTGCTGTCCTGGTAGTTACATATGTGCCTGTGTTCTCACAAATGTGGGAACTCTTTGAGGGAGACACCTCCTCCTTCTCCTCAGCCCTGGACACATAGGAGGCAAATAATAAACACATGCTCACTACTGTTACTGGGTTCCCTCTGGTACAAGAATGCAATGTGCCATGTCAAGGGGACATTAGAAGGGTCCTCTGGCACATGGGAGGAGACTGCTTTGTTCACCTCAGTGTCCAGGTCAGTGCCTAGCAGCTGGCATTCCGTATTTGTTTTTTGTTTAAAAAACTGTTTTTAATTTATTGATTTTAGAGAGAGAGGAGGAAGGAGAGAGAGATAAAGAAACATCAATTTATCGTTTCACTTATGGATGCATTCACTGGTTAATTCTTGTATGTGCCCTGACCGGAAACTGAACAAGCAATCTTGGCACATCGTGACAATGCTCTAACCAGCTGAGCTACCCAGCCAGGGCAACATTCCATATTTGTTGAATGAATGCATGAATGTGGGTCTGGGTTGCCATGAGTGAAGAAGGTGGTGGAGATGCTGCCTTGGGGTCAGAAAGACCATATGAAGTGACTCTGGCTCTAAGGGTGTGGCTGGGAGGAAAGCTAAAGGGCTTCCTAGAAATGAGGCGGGACAGGAGAGTGGGCCCATCTTGTCTGGTTCTTCACCTGGATTAAGATGGTGTCATCGAAGAACTTTGCAGGAACCTCATGGAAATTCTGGAAAAAGATCTGAAGGACAGGATAGGGGTGGGAGTAGACAATATTTCTTCTACCATTTGACCCAGTGACTCAATAAGCCCAAAGCCTCAGAGTGGTGGGATTCTTCCCATCATTTGCCCATTTCAATAACTCTCAGCTTATCCTGCTCTCACGCTCCTCCTCAGGAAGCAGAGGCCTGCCAGGTTCCTTGAGGGTTTTCTGCCTAGATAAAGGGCAGAGATAGGGGATTCCCAGAAAACTTGTCATGAGCAGCTCAAGGCCCAGCTAGTCACCTTGGGATAGAAACTGGAGCTTGTATCCTTCTAGATTGCGCTGTCAGTCTGCTCTTTGCTGCAGCCCAGATTTCCCTTCCCAAATGCAAACCTAACTCTGTCACTCTCCTGCTTCAGTCCCTGCATGGCTTTCAAGTGCCAGCCATGACAGGCCCCAGTGCATTTTGCAGGCTCCCCTCCCCATGCCTATAGTTCTATCAATAATTCCTGCAAATTATCCATCTGTATCCCCAGTGCCAAACACAGTGCTCTACCCTATAAAGGTGCTCAGTAAATGCTTGTGAAACACATAAAGACACCCTAGTCAAGAAGCAAGCTGCTTGCCTGCCTGCAGAAAATGCCCAGCCCAACTAGGCCACATGGCAAAAGTGTCCCATTCAGCCCTGAAGATCATGTGTGGCCCACCTCATTGAAGAAAGGGTTGTTTCCCATTTTGGTCCGAGTGTAGTACTGCTTGCCTCCAATGACTACCTTCACCACTGGCTTGAGGTTGTTGCCCATGAGCTGGCGGGCTTCAAACACCTTCACTTGGACCTACCGGCAACAAAACGAGACCCTGATATCGGGGACCTTGGATCCCCTTCTTTCACAAGGACTCTCTCTGAAAGAACAAAATGGGATGATGAGAAACATATACTGTGGATAGAATGAGAGCCCACATGGAAAAGGCTGGCAGGAGCTGGATCGACCTGCCTAGAGACAAGCCTGGGTATGACCTCGGCCTTGTTTCTTTCTGGGAACTGTCACCTCTACTGCTTCGCCCTTTTCATCTAGTGCGGACTTAGTTTTTCTTCTCCACTGGTATGGGTTTGCTACTTAAGAAAAAAAAGTCTGTTTTCGTGTGTTGATTTTTATCTATAATCTTTTTAAGGAATTGAAAATTCTAAAGTTCCATGCAATTGCATCTATAATCTGTGGTATAATCTCTGATTTGTGATTTCTTCTGCTGCTTTTATGTATATACTTTACCAAAACTCAGTAAAGGGACTGTGACATATGAGCCTAGAATTAGAAGGCAGGAGGGAGAAGAGCAACTTGGAGCCCATAAGATCCAGTCTGGCTGAGCCCAAGGGAGAAGGAAATAGCAATGGCAGTGGTGAGCAGGACATAGTCATGGGAGCTTGCCATCTGACTATGGGTAGTAAATAGCATATAGCACTCCCAGACCAGGCCATGGGTCCAGTCATTCTCCATGAGGCCTCCAGTGTCTCCATCAAGTCCAGAGGCCCTTCAGAGACTGACACACATACAGCTACCTAAGCAGCAGACAAGAATGGACCAAACCAGCCTCACAGCCCTCATGTCGGCATTTTGTCCTAACCACTACGACATAGGAAGGGGAGTGACATAGGCACACTGACCTTCTATCCTGTGGTAAACTAGCCTGGTGAAAAAGGATGGGGCAGAGAGGGAAGGTATTTCCAAGGCAGCATGCACAAAGGCCTGGTGGCTAGAGAGAGGCTTGAAAATGGGGGCTGTGAATGGTCCAGAATGTTAGTAAAGGGTGGAGAGTGGCAGGGGCAAGGGAGAGGGTGGCTCAGAGGGGCAAGGCTTGGTGTATCTAGGGCCTGGGAAGCCATTGTAAGGAGTTTGGCTTTTGTCTGGAGACATTGGAGTGTTCTTACTTTTAAGGACGGCTTTAAGCATGTGTGTGCATGGCAAGAACGATGTCTCTGAAAGACCACTTTGACTGAAGAATGGACAAGAGAGAGAGCTGGAAGCCTCTAGGTTGGGAGGAACCTATCAAGGTGGTCCATGGAAGTGATGGCTCAAGCCAAGGAATGGAAGTGGCAATGGAGAAGTGGAAGCAGTCAGGTGATGTTAAGAGTTGGCCTTGGCTGGTAGCTGGATGCAGGGGGTGGGGTGAGGAAGAGGAGCAGACAAAGATGACTCTGAACCTCCTGAACAAGTGGTACTCTGAGGGAGGCAAAACCATGGCGGAAATGTTAGGTCACAGGCTAGAGACTGGAGGGAAGTTGGGGGTTCCAGAATTCACAGTGGAACCATGAACCTTCCCATAGATCTCAAATTTTCCCCAGCATCTCCCATATGGCTAATTTAACCTTGCATGTGGCTAGCCTTGTGTTATCAAGAATCTCATGGACTCCTACAGGCAGGGCCCAGGACTTTGGCTCTGTCTCCTTGGCCCCTGCCAGGACCTGCTGGTGCACAGCCAGCAGCACCTCTTATGGCCCCACTGAGGCAGTCTTTAGCTTCAGCTATGTGCACAAGTCCCCGCATAGTGGCCCCTGGACTACAGGGATGCAGTGAGAACCTGTAGCCTGTCTGAAGCTCTAAGACTCTGCCATGACCTTGTGAAGAGGTGGGGATAACCTGGGAACACTGTGAGGTGTCAGGCAAATTACGTAAGCTTTCTACCTGGAAGGTCCTCACCTGAAAGTGCTGAGGTTTTGAAGACAGCTCTTTGTGTGCAGCATAGCTGGGAACCATCAATTTCTGCTGGGCTACTTCTTGTGCAGTTATGCCCAGGAGGTCTTTATCCCCTAGGGAAACACAGTCCAGGGTGAGCTCTCAGAGGCTGGGGCTCAGGACATTTTGAAGCGTTTCCTCCATTTTATCATTCTATCCCTTGACGAAAAAACATGGCCAAGACCTGATAGGGGCACATGTCTGCCCAGAACATTTCATGGGCCCCCTCTACCCTTAGTAACCCTAGTTTCTACTCTCCACACATGTGGGCTCTCGGAAATGGTCATCCTTATCTCCCTCTGCCACCCATTGGAGTTTGCATGTCTAGAGATGACAAATGGACATGTAAAGGTAACAGACAGCCTCAACTAAGCGTCTGGAGATCTGGCTTCTAGACCTTAACCTGATCACAATCCTTCTATAGCCCTCAAGGGTTGGGTCTTGATGGTCCCAGAATGCCCAACCAGTTATGCTTGGGGAAAGAAAGGGGGTAAGTTCCATGAAAAGATATACCTGTCTTCTCAATATCCTGGGTGGTCATATGGGCCACATGAAGGGTGATAGAGCACTACAAGGCAAAGAGAGGGGAGCTATAAGCCAGACTGTGCAATCCTTGACCAAGTCACAGCACAGGAATCCAGCCCAGACTGGTGGGTTCATCCTCAGTTCTCCTGGGTGGAGTGATACTGGCCATATTGCAAGGCCATACCATGGGGGCCTGTGCAGTCTAGGGTGCAGGGAGATTATAAACTGGTGGTTATAAACTCAGATACTGAATAGACAAATGGACAATGGCCAGAGCATATATGAAAACAGAACGTGGGCCCAAACTCTGCAGCACTCAGCCCAGGAAACCAACTTACAGTAACCAGACCAGGAAGCCAGTGTTTGTAAATTAGACTTACAGGAAGTCAGAACACCAGCCCTAGCAACAATCCAGGAAACAAACAATAATGATTAGCCCCAAATGGCCAGAACTTGATTAATAACTGCAACTTCCCTCATTTTTGTTCCCACTTACATCTTAGGACCAACCGCAGAAAGCTAAATGTGCACCTTACCCAATCACATAGGATGCCTAGCTTCTAGTAAGATCACTTACAGTTTCTCCAGGCCAACAGCCTCCTATCCGTACATATCTGAGCCTTCCCTTTTTTCTGCTATAGAGTTTTCCCTCTCCTCTGCCTGCCTTTGAGTCTCTGCCAAAACCAAGTGATGGTGGCCAACTCCTTTGCTATAGCCAATTCTGAATATATAACCTTTGCTGGTTTTCATTTGGTTGGTCTTTGCTTGTTTTCACACACTTTAATCACCTCCTCTGTGAAGCCTTCCATGACATCCCAAGAAGAATCATTCATTCTCTCTTGACCTCAGTGACCTAGCTCTTTTCACCCTTGTACACATGTGGACTTATCAGTGTGAGTGGTGCCTACTCCAATAGACTGTGGGCTTCATTCACTATAGTATTCCAGGCTAGCATCCAGTGAATGATCAACCAAATAGTCTAAAGGCATGTGTGGGTGGAAGTATGGGGAAGTCAGGAAGGCGATGGCAGTGTGAAGGGGCCCCGGAGGACAAGACGTGCTCTTTCTGGGTGAGTTCACAGGCCTTTGCTGGAGCAGAGTAGCCTAGTTTCTCTGGCTGTCCCCAGTCCTCCAACAACACTTCCTGGGACCCAACTCACATCTGTGGGCTTCATGGAATGGTTGAGTAGGACCAGATCCTTCACAAAAAGGACCTCTCTGGGTTTTTTCACCAAGGGCTTCAGCAGTATTGTTGCTAGGCCAATGAACCTGGGGAAATGAGAAGCAGCCTGAGCCAGAAGAAGGGGTGTCCTTCCCTGTCTCAACCAGGACTTTATGTGGAGAGAGTTTTCTCTCCTAGAGGCTGTGTTGTCCACAGAGGGGCTGAAGGAAGAACACAGTGATGGGGAGTATCCACCAGAGGATGCAGAGCTCTTGAGTCTATGGTAATTGACTTTGGGGCTCCATGGGCAGTGAGCGCCCCAATTACTGGCTCTGCTTGCCCAGCCCCTTTCCTCTGAAAGGCCACCATCATCCTGAATGGAAACTGCCCAGTTACAGCTGATTTGACCGGGGGTGGGGATGAGGGGATACCTGACCTAAATTGGGCCAGATTCTTTCATCCTAGGAATTTTGATCTAGGACACCATAGCTTCCATCTCAGTGGATGTCAGTCTCAGATGAATGGGGCCTTGATGGGAAGCAGGATAGGCAAAGAGAAGCAGAGATTTGAGAGTTCTGTGGCTCCAGAAGAGACAGAACTGCTCCTGGGCCTCTAGGTTCCTAGTTCTAGTTGATCAGCATTTCTAGTCTCACTACCCTTCCACAAGTGCCTGCTGCCCGCCCTGCCCCCCTTTTTTCAGTAGCTGGCTGGGTTCTGGTCTTTGGGTTTGAGTTATGGATTAGAGACAGGAGATGCAGCATTTGCTGTAGCTTTGGTCAGAGTCAGGCTCCTCTTGCCTCTTTCCATCTCACCTTTCTTTCTTTATTGCGCCCAAGTCCCGGAGGATGACTTGCAAGAATGAGTCATTCTGTAGGGGGCGGTTCCAGAGGTGCCAGATAAGGGTCTGTGGAGGTACAGAGAGATCAGCATCCCTCCTCTACCTTCCTCTTCCCACCCTTGTAGGAAATGAGGAAAGATGCAGACAATGGGCCAGCTCTGTGTTTCTCTTGAATTGAGGAAACTCCTTCAAGTCTAATTTCCTCAGAGGATGGGATGGCATTTGCTACCTTTCACCAAGGTGCCAGGCATCCTACCTGGGCCCCCACAGCTTGAACAGCAGTATTGTGGGCATGTTAGTTTAAAGGTTTGGGGACCAAGGGGTGGAGTGGTGGGGTATATATGAATGGAAAGTGAGAAGGGATCCTGCACAGGGAGCCCTGTCTCTGCTTCAGGTTTCTTGGGATATCAGGATGGCCAGGTCAGTCAAGATGAACCATACCGTGGTCCATACCCAGAGTGGGGGAGAAGGGTCAGGGCAGTGATGGGCAGATGTGGCTGCTGCAGCCCTCACACCTTCACAGCCTTGTCAGCTCAGAGGCTACTCCCAGACAAAGACGCCCAGCCCTGGGAAAAGCTTGCGAGGCTTCATGTTTTCTCCCTAGACTTCTGAGTATGGTCTGACCTATGCCTTGCTATGTGGTGCCAGGCTTGCCTGGTTCATCTTACCTCGTTCCATGTGGGGTTATTTCCTTCCACCTCACGAGTTTTCTTCTTGATGTCTGCAAAGACACCAAGGGTCTGGCAGTGATGACAGGAAATATTTCAAAGTCTAGGCTCGAGTTGGGTAAAGAAAGACGGGAAGCTCTGAGAAAACACCAAGCCTATAGAGGCAGGTGTGACATAGCACTGATTCCTTCTTCTTCAGGGGGTTTCAAAATTTCTCACTTTTTATAAGAGAATCACCCCACATGGCAGATAATGTTTTGTGCTTGTTTCCTTTTCTTCCTGAGTGTATAGTTTCCAGCCATCATGCAGCCAGTTGGTGCCATGTGACTTGGTCTGGCCGAAGGGGCATGGGAGGGACATTCACCACTGCCAGGCCTGGCTCCTAAAATCTCCCTTGAGATTCTCCATTCTCTTTCTTCCCACTCCCCAAATCCACACTCAGGATATGCTGACAGGGTGGCGCCAGGGGGACTTGGCAGGCTCAGGAATCAAGCAGCTGGTCTCTAAACCATTCAGGAGAGCTGCCTGACCAGTGCCATCCATTGCATGGGATAAACTCTTATTGTGTTTTGGCACTGAGATATAATGGTTTATTTATTCTCAGAGCAAAGCCTAGTGTACCTGAAGAGACATCTCAAAATATCTATAATGAGTTAAAAGCTCTTTATCCACTAAAATCCTCCTCCTCCAGAAATATCTTAACAGAGAACAGTCTGTAGCCCTGCAAAGAACCACTAAATTGCTTAATTACTTAGAGATTCTTCCCAAGGAAAGACTGTGTGTGTGTGTGTGTGTGTGTGTGTGTGTGTGAGAGAGAGAGAGAGAGAGAGAGAGAGAGGAGAGACCAGGAATAAAATGGAAGGAATTGCATATGTGACTTGTGTCTCTTATGGAAAGCACCTGGAAAACCTCGTTTGCCTGTAGCTACCTTCGCATGCTCTCCACCAACAGATGGTTTATTTTTCCTTCTCTTCTTCCCTTTTGATATCAACTCTTAGTTATGAAGATATACTTAATCTCTTTCCTTTTCTTGTAAACCCTTTAACATCTTCCCTCTCCACTTTTCTTGGACTTTTTACCTTATCTATAAAAAAATGGAAACAATAAAACTTGCCTCATTTGTCTCATGTAATTGTTGTGAAGAGCAAAAATCATATTTATGAAAATATAAATTGTTGATTGTAAAAGTAATTAATGTTGGGAAATTACTAGAAGTTGTAGAAAGAATTGTACATATATTAATTATCTTTTAAAATCTTCACAGTCATCCTATAAAGCAGGTACTTTTTTTCTTTAAACCTGAATTTGTGGCACAGCCCTAGTTCATAGGATCTTGAGATTAATAATTTGAGAAAAGCATTAGTCTTCTCTTTTTCCCATAAACATGCCCTGGAAAAAATGGGAAGCAGAAATGTTATAATAAAAGAAATAATAGCAATTAAGACGATAACTTTTGAAAGACCAGAAGGTATATGCCTCAGCTTTCTGTCAGATAGCGCATTCTTCACATAATAGGGTGCCATTAATCTTATTTTTTTTCATTGAATACATGCTACCTCTTGGGATAACTATCTTCCATCCAGGACCCTGTGGCTCACCTCTGAAGTAGACAGACACACAGGGTCTGGGTGGGGGAGTTAGGGGTGGATTAATCTTTGCTGACTCCACAACAAGCTGCAGCATGTCGGCGACCTTCTTCCCTCTGAAGCTTCCTTCTTGGAGCACCTTGGTCCAAGTCTTCTCCCAGGGCTCATGAGGCTAGTGGAGCCCTGAGTCTGTTGCTTAGCAATCAAGATGATGTCACAGAGGTGGGTGTTTCCTGGTTCTGGGAAGGAATGAAGGGGAATGAGAGGAAGAATAAATCAGAATATGAAGCATGGGGCTTGAGGTGACTGGGTCCCTAGAAACAAAACAATATGGCTGCTTCTTATTTCCTCTTTCTGAAACCAAACCCAAGTTTGGCTGCCTGTCACAATGAAAGTCAAACTTGTGAGACAGGTGCTGGTGAGAAGGAAAGAGATTTATTCAAGTGCTGGCCACCTGAGAAGATGGGGGACTTATGTCCTCAAAAACCCATCTTCACATCTCAGTGCAGGCAGAGGTTCTTAAAAGGAAGGAGAGGGAAAACAGAACAAAGAGATCAAGGGGAGGGGGCTGAGTCATGACAAGTGTTGCTCAGTGGGTTAAGAGTCATCCCACAAACCAAAAGGTCACTAGTTTTGTTCCTGGTCAGGGAACATGTATGGGTTGCACGGCCCTCGTTGGAGGCATGCAGGGCAACCAATCAATGTTTCTTTTGCACTTTGATTGATGATTCTCTCTTTCTCCCTCTCTTCCCCTCTATCTAAAAATAAGTAAATAAAGTCCTTTAAAAAGGGTGGGAGGAGGGGTTGAAAAATTCTCTATGTGCAGACCAGCACAGTCCATTCCAATAAGGACATTGAAACTGGTCAAGCAATGGACTGGTGTGCATCATTCTGATTTTACGTCATTCTGGTTTTATGATTGAAGGTCAGCAAATCTTCCAGAGCTAGGATAATGGAAGGTCAGAGTCTGTATCTTTTCAAGTTAGTTCTTACACAAACATGCTTCTGTATCTATAAGCTACATATTAGTCAGAGTTAGCACTCAGAGAAACAATGTCAAAAGAATGGTTGGGGTGGGTTACAATTCCCTACTGTTAAATTTCTTTTCTCTTTCTCTTTTATTCTTGCTATCCTTCTGATTTCAAAATCCAATATATGAGTAATATTTTCCCTTTAAACAAACAAGTTACCTGGAGTTAACTGTTACCAAAGTCATACAATTTAGATAAGAAAATAAGAGAAGTGAGGCAATCTGAGAAAAGGAATACAAAAAATAAAAGACAATTTCAGTGATATTTTAGAAGTCTTGCCTAATGTGCAAGCAAACATTTAAGTCTTCTTTTTTCTGAAGGAAATGTAAGTTCAGATATGAGTTTCTCTTTAAGAAAAGAAATAAGCTTCTTAATTAATAAGCTCTTATGCCCTCTGGGTTTGTAAAGCTTTAAAAAAATCTCAACACCATTGCAATTTTGCTGTGACATCTTGACTGCTCTCCAGGTCTCTAGGCACAAGGGCAAAGTTGGATCACTTGCTCTGTCATCACAGGAAGGCTTTTTCTACTTGAAAATTATATGTTACATCTTATCCAATGATTAGTGTGAAAATTAATGCATGTTTAAAGAATACATATGAGTTGATGAAACTATTCGAGCCTTGGCAGGTCTATACGTCTTCATTCTGTCCTTGCGCTTGATTGATGATCTGGCTGAATATAACAGTCAGGATGGACTCTCTTACGCTGAGAAGACAAACCAACCCAGAATCTCAGTGGCTCAAACCAATAAAGCCTTTAAAAAAATAGCAGCATTACTGAGCTATAATTCAGACACCATAAATTCTGCCTTTTAAGCTATATAATTCAGGTAGTATATTCACAAGGTTGTGCAACTATTCTCATCTCATCACCCTTAAAAGAAACCTTGTATCTGTTAGCAGTCACTCCTAATTTCTCCCTTTCCATAACCCATAGAAACCATGAATCCCTTTTTTTGCCTCTATAGATTTGTTGATTCTGGATATTTCATACACATGGACACATACAATATATGGTCTTTCTGGTAGGCTTCCTTCACTTAATGTAATATTTTCAAACTTCATCCATGTTGTGTGTTTTTTTAAAAAAATATTTTATTTACCTATTTTTAGAGAAGGGAAGGGAGGGAGAAAGAGAGGGAGGGAAACATCAGTGTATGGTTGCATATTACGTGCCCCGAACCAGGGACCCAGCCTGTAAACCTGGCATATGCCCCGGACTGGGAATCGGACCAGTGACTCTTTGGTTCTCGGGCTGGCTCTCAATCCACTGAGCCACACCAGCCAGGGCCAAACTTCATCCATGTTGTAACATATACCAACTTCATTACTTCTTATAGCTTAACAAGTCCATTGTATAAACATACCATATTTTGTTTATCCATTCATCAGCTGAGGGACATTTAGGTTGTTAACACTTTTTGGTCATTATGAGTGATGCTGCTCTGATATACTTGGATATATGTTTTCAATTATCTTGAGCACACACTTAAGAGTGGAATTGCTGGGACATATGGTAACTCTATGTTTGATTTTTGAGGCACTGCCAGACTGTTTTCCAAAGTGACTGCATCATTTATAACCCAACCAGTGGCATATGAAGATTTTAATTTCTCCACATACTTGCCAGCACTTTTTATCTTTTCTTGTTGTTGTTGATTTTTTAGCCATCTTAGAGGGTGTGAAGTGGTAAAGATTTATTTTTCATCTTGAACTATGTCTCACATTGTTGTCAATCAGTCATCAATCGGTCAAAACAGAAACCATCTACTATGTCCTGAACTATGTTCTGTGAAGGATACAAAGAATCCCTGACTTGGAGGATTTCTGTTCTCTTTACAAAGCCAAGAGGAAAGTTAACACAGACCAGTCTATGGTCAGTACCAAAAATTTTTTTTTAAATTAATTACTATTGATTAGAGAGAGAGAAAGAGAGGAAGGGAGAGGGAGAAAGAGCACTGATTTATTGTTCCACTTATTTGTGCATTTATTGATTGCTTCTTGTATGTGCCCTGACCGGGGATCAAACCCACAACCTTGTGGTATCCGGATGGTGATTTGACCAACTGACCTACCCAGTCAGGGCCAGTACCAAAATTCTTACTGGGACATCTAAGGCCCTGCAGGCTCTGGCCTAAGTCTGTCTTTCCAACTTCGTCTCTCTTCACTGCTCCACTCACTCACCACTGCTTCCTAGATACACTTTTCTGATCACCTCCCTCTTTTCTTTTTCTTTTCTTTTTTCTTTTTTCTTTTTTTTTAATGTTATCAAGCTTCTTTCTACGGTAGAGCCTTTGTCTTTGTTCCTTCTCCTGGAGAGCTTCTCTCCCACCTTCGACCTTGTTACTTCATTCCCCTCTTTTGGTTCCAGCTTCAATGTCACCTTCACAGGGACACCTTACCCGCCACCCAAGCCAAGGCCAGATTACTGTTCTACTCGCTCTCACGACCTTGAACTTTTCCTTATTGCAATAGGAGTTGCAAGGGATTAAATGCCCGGGTTCTGGAGCCACACTGCCTGGGTACCAGTTCTGCCTTTGATACAAACTAGCTGTGTGACCTTGGGCAAGATACTTCACATCTCTGGACATGACTATAATAGAACCTAGTAGTTGAAAAGGTTAAATGAAGTAAATAATTTATGTCACTTAGAGCTTATTTGGCATTCTCTAAATGTCAGACCTTACTATCACAATTATAAATTAAACAATTATTTATGTAGATTATAAAGAAGTATGTTTTGTCAACACTATATCCTTAGCACCTAGCACAGTACTTATCACATAGTGAGAATTCAAGAAATATTTGTGAATAAATGAAGGCAAAGCGTATCTAACAGGATATCAGAGTAAAGAGAGGCAATGTGGAGAAGAGCTGGCCAACTCTAATCTATTGGATGTCTTGGATGGAGAAAATGATTGAGAAGTTGCATCTAGGTTTAGAGGGAGAGTGGGTTGTTAGTAATTAATCATGTCTGCCTTGGGCACAGGTAAAGAAAAGCTTCAGGACAAGTACGACAGTTTTAACATCCCCACTATAGATAAGACCTTTTGTCATGTTGGAAATAGTCTAAAATTGTGAAGTGAAAATTTGCCTTTCTCTCCTCTGCCCAACCTGACTCTCACCCCCCACCTTTCCTGTAGACAATCAGGACTCCCTGTGGCATTGCGCAAGCTGTCTGGAGGACCGTGTCACTTCCTTTGGGTTAGTCTCTTCACCCTATTTCCGTCAGCATTACAAGTCATTAGTCTCACTCCTGCCCTGGTAGGGCAACCAAAATGAACCCATCCACTAATCACCCTAAAATGATGGACTTGACCCCTGATGGTGTTTTCCATCCCAGGGACACCTGCATTTAACTCGAGCCCAGGGATGTTGTGTGAGCGTATGTGTGTGCAGGGGTGGGTGATGAATCAAATCTCCCAGGGGCCAAGGAGCCCAGTGTGGCTGCCCAGAGGGAGGGCATACACAGACTCTATGCCTGCCATCCCAGAAGGTGAGTCCAGTGCTGCCACAGACTCCAATTTTTCAAGAGAATTGGAAGTCTGCATCTTTATGTGAAATCTCCCAAACTTAAAATGTTTGCAGATAAATAAAATTTTATGAAAGTAATGTGAAGACCAAAGAAATGGTGTTGGGGAGTATGTGGCCCATTTGCTATCTTTGCATGGGCCTCACCAACCTTCCTAGTCCCTCTGCAATGGCCTGGTCCCACTGAGCCAGCCGCAGGTGACTTCTCTTTCACGAATGACCACCCGAATTCCCTCATCAGGAAATCTGTCTTCTTCTGGAACACTCTAAGGTCCCTCATGGTGATTACCACTTAAGTCTATTTGTGTTCTTTCCAGGTACCGTTATTATCCTGTTTCAACAGCACTCTGGATAAATGTTTTTCTTTTTCTTTTATTTATTTATTTTTAAAAGTTTGTTTATTTATTTGTTTGTTTATTTATTTATTTGAGAGAGGTGAAGGAAGTGTAAAAGACAAGGGAGAAACATCTCTGTCAGAGAGATACATCGATCTGTTGCTTCTCAAATATGCCAGGACGAACCAGCATCCCCAGGCACGTTCCCTGACCGGGAATCAAGCCAGTGACCTTTTGATTTGTGGGACAATGCCCAACCACCTAAGCCACGCCAGTCAGGGCCTTTTATTTATGTTTAATAGGCTTTTTTTTTTTTTTTTTTTTTTAGCAGTTTAAAGCTCACAGGAATTTTTATCGTTCTATTTACTTTCATCGTGGTTGTTTCTCGGGAGTAAAATTCCTGACGAGCCCATTCAGGGGTCCTAATCTGGCAGAGGTGACAGGCGTGGGAACATCACGGTGCGGGCTGGAGGACTGGGGCTGCACGGCCCAGTCTCCTCCTTGGTCCTAGCACTGCAGCTGAAAGTGCAGGAGGCAGATCCCCGGACTCGGCGCTGACCTGCCTCCCAGATTCCCGCATTCCCGATTCTCCGCTTCCCTACTTTATGGCAGGTCAGCGCCGAGTCCGGGGATCCAGACTCCCCGCAGGGTCATCCACTCCGGGTTTTACCGCTTCCCACCCGCCCTTCCCAGGTTATTGACCGCTTCCGCGTTTTGCTTGGAGCCTGAGAGCCGGGCGTAGGGGCGTTAACGCGCACGCGCTCTGGGAGCCTGTCCGGGCTGAGCGCGCGGCCCGCGGATTGTGGGTAAGAGAGAGTAGGCCTACTGGGGTGGAGTGCCTTGGGGGTCGCGATCTGGGGCGGGGACGAGTGTCGGTGCTTGGCGAGGGCCTAGGGGCTCCCCGGCATTCAGACACCGGGGGGCTCGCTGGAGCCCCGGCCGGGGCGGCCGGACGTGTTGGGCCGCGGGCGCCGAGCCGGGCGGGAAGGCGGACGGACGGGAGGCGGGTGCGAGGCAGCGCCTCTAGGTCGCGAACTCGGGGATTTTGTCCAAGTTGCTTCGTTCCTCCCCCCTCCTCTAACTGCTGCCTCCTGCGAAGTGCGAACGATAAGCTCCGCCTACTGGATGGTGCCGATTGGCGGTCCGGTGGGGAGAGCCTCAGGGGTGGCGGGAGTCCCGGAGGTTTACGGGAACCGCCCACCCCGGGATGAGAAGAGGTCCTCCTGGAGTGGTATTTGTTACCGGTTCGGGAAGGATCCCTCATTTGTACGTTTAAAAACTCCAGAATGTTTATGAAGTCGTTGCAAAACTTTTATTTAACCTCAAACTAGAGATTTAAAGGGCTTCCTTGAGGCCCACATTGCCCTGCCGGTACTGTGAAGCCCGATGAAGCTTCAGGGAATGGGGAGAACAGATCCTTACTTAGCTTGAGAAGCACTAAAACTTGTGGTAACTGTTGTTCTCCACAACCCTTCTAGCCCACATAGGGAATCGAGGCGCTGGCCAAGCAAGTTAGTGTCTGTCTGAGGGAGGCCCTTGCGGCCCAGCGGAGTCACTCAGCTCTCCAGTGAAAGAATTTTGTAGAGATTAAGTGTGGAAGACCTCGTGATCCCGGAACCTTTTTAGGGGAAGGTGTGAGATCTCAGGAGCCCTCCCTGTGGTGGGTGAGGGTGTGCAGTGTAATGGAGTTTCAGTTATGAATGATAGGAGGTCACAAAAGTAAGAAGCATATGAGATGTTTCAGGTTGTCAGAAATTTAGAAAATAGACTTAAACTTTCCACTGCAGGTGACTAGCATGCAGTTACTTATTCTCTGACTTGCTCCCCCCTCCAGTGACATGGCCCACCGAGGTGTGGAGAGGGACTTCCAGACTTCAGCACGGCGCATGGGCACCTCACTGCTCTTCCAGCTTTCAGTGCATGAACGGGAGCTGGATCTGGTTTTTCTGGATCATAGCTATGCCAAGCCATGGAGTGCCCACCCAGACGCCAGCAGTGCCCGGCCTACCCGCATGCTCTTTGTTACTCCGCGAAGGCAGCAGGAAAGTACCATGTGAGTTTGGGCTCCCCTCCTAAGGGCTGCGGTTGCCGAAACTGGTCAGTGATCAGATGGTGGGGATTCCAGACGACTTGACTGTGGAGGATTGTGTAGAGGTGGTAGTGGAGTGGGTGGCTTGGATGTTTACTTCAGGCGTCTCTGGTAAGCAGTGAGGATATCAGGCCTATATGGACATCAACATTCAAGACATCTGATGAGTTAGGAAAGCAAGGATGTTCAAAAGAAAACAAACAACCTACTCCATTTAGGTAATAGGACTTGTATGGAAGAGGATTATTTAACTGGTGAAGAAAAAGACTGAAGAGTTGACTTAAAACTGCCACGCAGGATTAGACATAATTCCTTTAGTCTAGTGTTGCTGGCTTGCCCGAACACTGGCAACAATAACCTTTTACTGGCTTTACCTGCAAAGTTTAGGAGCATATTTACAAGACCTTTCTTTCCTTTTGCCTTAGCTTGTTTCAGAACTCACTCATGGGTGATCTAAACCCCCTCTTAGGTCTGATTATATTTTCAACCACCCTACATTACAGGGTAAGGATTTTTTTCCCCCATAAATTTAGTGTGTAATAGGTGATACAATTACATTTGGCTTAAATAAACCTGTTTAGCAGTTCTTTTGAACTTTAAGGTATTATAAGTACTTATACTTCAAGATTTGTTGATATATTTTGATGATCAAATCACACCCTTATGTAATTTTGTAAACTGCTTTGGGGAGGAGGTTTTTTGTTTGTTTGTTTGTTTGTTTTAATTTGACTTAATGTTCAATCTTTCTTCTAGCACAGGTTTTAAATTTCTTGGGTAATAGAGATCTTTTATTTTGTTTCTTAGACCCCCCATTGAGCCTTAATGAACGAGAGGTACCATGATAGGCATATTTTAAACACATATAGAATAGTGGTTTTTATTTCATTTCCTAAGGAGAGCGGCATTCTGTTGACTTTTTTTGGTTGTACAGGGCACAGGACCTCTGACTTTAGGGAATATCCAGCATAATTCTGATGCTTCTGGCCCAGGGCATAACTGATTAGCTCCTTTAAATATAGAATTTGAAATCTTTTTCTCTAGTTATGTAATAACTTCTTGCTAATATTGAAACTCCTGTGTTTGTATCTCACATTTTTTAAAAGTGAGATTTTGTAGACAGTCCTTAGGAAATTATTTCCTCTTATAAACCATCTCCATTTATAGGTCTTGAAAATGGGAGTTTGGCATGTTCTATAAACTTATTGTAGTCCATTGTGTCTGGAGTATGGTTGTAATAGGGATGTAAGTGGGAGCTAGGAGAGAAGTGGGTAAGGCTCCTTCATGTAGGAATTTGAGTCTAAGAGTCATGAGAAATCATTGAAATATTTTAAGCTAGAGATTGGATTTATATTTTTAAAAAAATCACTTTGAATGTTTGTTGAATAGATAATAGAGTGAGAGTAGAATAGAGAAGACCTGCTAGGAGGCCATTATTGTAGTGGGGGCCAGAGATCATGATAACTTGCATAGGGGTGGGAATAATACAAATAGAGAAAAATGGATGGCCTTGAGATATATTTTGTAGGTAGAGTCAACAGGGCCTACTGTACTGAATTAGAAAGGGGCCAGGAGTAAGGGATAGGTGAAATTAGGGTGACTCAGATTTCTGGCTTGAGCAGGTGGTTGGTGCCATGAGTTGGGGAAGACTCAGGGAGGATATGTTGGAATGATGAAATCGAGAGTTCTCTTTTAGACATACAGGTCTAAGTGCCTCACCCAATGTCTAACCCAGAGGAGATAATCAGCTCTTTCACCCACCACTCAATCTAGCTACACATGATTTCACTTCTTTTCAGAATGATGTAATTATTCCAGACATTGGGAATGGTTGCAATAAAATCACTGAGGTCAGAAAAAGTTAAAATGATGTTTGGTAGAAAACCAGTAGACCAATTTGATTGGCATAGTATTTGGGGTGACAGTTGGTGCAATATCCTTATGGCACTAGGATTTCCTTAACAACATTTTAAATAATGAAAGATCCTTCAGATGTCCATTTCTGTTTGTTTCTGTTCTAGGCTCTTTTCACAGTGAGTTAAATAGCTAAAGTGTCTACATTCCATGCAGTCTGCCTGAGACAATCAGAGGCTTTATAATTAACTACCAGTTGACTAGACAGGGAAAGTTTGTTTGAATAGTTAAAACTCAGGATCAGTACTATCCAACAGAACTGATAGAAATGCTCTGTACCTGTTCATCCAGTACAGCAGCCACCAGCCACATGTTTGTTGCGCACTTGAAATGTGGCTAGTGTGATTGAAGAACTGAATTTTTAATTCTGTGTAATTTTTCTTAATTTAAAAAATTTCACATGGCCTATACCTGTTGTGTTGGAAATCAACTGTTTGCTTATGGAATATATTTGTCTTTTAAAAAAATAGCCATTTTTCATTTTTTGCATACAGTCGTTCTGAAATGACTTTGTGTCCCCTAGCATATAAGTGTGTTTCAGAGGGCAGAGGTCGCAACAAGTGTGGGAAAGATGACTTTGGACCATAATTTTCTTGTGGAGTTAATGTGCTTGTGCATACTTTAAAGCCGATTAAAACTAAAGAGGCATTTTTGGCAACTAGATGATTGTTAAACACTTGTGTAAACTACATGCCTCCTGGTCCTATCTTCTCTCCTGTTTACAGTGAATCAGATGTCCCAATAGATGTGGAGACAGTGACATCAACCCCTGTGCCACTCTACGACAATCAGAAGGCACGCAGTGTGATGAACGAGTGTGAACGGCATGTCATCTTCGCCAGGACTGATGCAGATGCCCCTCCCCCACCAGAGGACTGGGAGGAACATGTCAACAGGTAGGCCACCTCTCAGGAAGACTGGTCACTGCAGCATTAATGTTCATTGCACTGTAAATATTTTGTATCATCATCTGCATTGAAACTCATTTATTAGGCACTTACTTCATTTGCATCTACACACCTGTTCTTCTACCTCTGCATTATAAGTCTCAGCTCACCATGCAGTTGGCTTCATGAGATGAGGGCTTGCATCTCTCCCTCTTCGCATCCCTGATACCCAGGACACTGCCTGGCACATAGTAGTCATATGATAAACATTTATCAAATAAATAAATGAGTTAAATTTGATAGGTATGACTAACTCTGTAGCTTATATAGTACAAGATCTGATATGGGAGTTACCCAGACTACGAAAACAAACAAACAAAAAAAACCCCAAAAAACATTAAATGTAAATTTGTAAGATACTATTTTATATGGTCTATAACTAGGGTCATGAAAATATTTTGGAGTCACATGAAAAGCTAACAGATGTTTGATTTGAATGGCTTTTATATATAGATTTGCATTCCACGGTTTTCAGGGACTACTTCAGTCTATTTTTATGAGTCGGCTGACTTGTTACCATGCTTCCTGCTGACCTGGGAACTCCACTCTCCTCTCTAGATCATTTATTTGGAGAACATTTATCTTTTATTTATTGCATAACAACCTTATGAAGATAAAATTTATATACCATACAACTCACCTATTTAATGTGTACACTTTAGTATATTCATCACCACAATCAATTTGATGAACATTTTTATCACCCCCAAAAGAAACTTCATGTCCATTAATAGTCTCTTCTCATTACTTCCCAACCCCTGGCAACCACCAGTCTCCTTTCTGTCTCTTTAAATTTGCCTATTCTAAACATTTTATAGAAATGGAATCATACAATATGTGGGTTTTGTGTCTGGCTTCTCTCACTTAGTTTAATGTTCTCAAGGTTCATGCATGTTATAGCATGCATCAGTACTTCATTCCATTTTATTGCCAGATGATAGTCCATTGTATGAGTATACCACATTTTGTTTATCTATTCATCTGTTCATGAATATTGTGGTTGCCAACACTTTCTGGCAATTATGAATATGCTGCTGTGAATATTCATGTACTTGTTATTGTGTGGACTTATGATTTCAGTTCTCTTGCATATTTACCTAGGAGTGGGATGGCTGGGTCATATGGTAACTCCACGTTTAATTTTTGAAGACTTTCTAGGCTGATTTCCAAAGGGACTACACCATTTTACATTCCCACCAGCAGTGTAAGGGAGTTCCAATTTCTCTACATCTTTGCCAACATTTACTGTCTTTTTCTTTATTATCAACATTCTAGAAGTTGGAAAGTGACATCTCAATGTAGTTTTAATTTGCACTTCTCTGATGGCTCTCTTGTTTATTTATCTGCCATGTGTAAGGGAATGTTAAAAATCTTACACAGGCATTGGTAGCTGGTATGCCTGCCATAATGTTGGAGAGATCTTATTTTATAATAATGAAAGAGAAAGAAGACATTTGGTAGGAAGAAAAGTAGGAAAATTTGAGGCAATTGTCATGATTTATGAGCCCAGTCAAAGTTGGGAATAATATTGAGCAGATGTGCTTGTGTGATCAAAGTGGTGGCTGTTAAAAAGTGGAGCAGCTCTGCACTTTGATTGAAGAATTTGTGAAGAAATTGTTTGGGATCTCTAATTGGAATAACGTTGTGCCCTAAGAAGGGGAAATGCTCTCCAGAGCTTTGGATAAAGAAGAAAAGCTGCTACTAGTGAAGATCAGCTACAGGTATATTACCGGAGTCAATGAATTCAACAAAATGGTTTGCCATTGTTGTTACAGTTAATAATAAAAAATAGTGATCAACCACCATTTGTCAGGTGCTTTCTAGGTGCCAGGCATTGTGCCAAGCTCTTCATGTGAGTGATCTCTTAATCCTCCTAGCAACTCTTTGAGGTCTATCCCTTCTTCCTCTCTATTTTACAAGATGGAGAAATGGAGCTCAGGATGGTTAAGAAATCTTAGTTAGGAAGTGATGGAACAGAGATTTGTTCAAAGCAGGCAGTCTGCCTCCAGAGCCCAGTGTTCTCAACTCCTCTATCCACTCCTTAAGGGAAGTAAAATGGCAGTTGGTGGCTGAACAAAGTGAACCTTTGTGGTGTCCTCAGTGTGCAGTTGCATAAACTGCATGGAACTGCATGAAGTTTTTTTAACAGTTCACCTATGGGCATGGTCAAGAGTTTTTTGGGGATACTTTATACTTACCAAAGTCATCAGAAACTTAATAATACATATGAATACCAGTTTCTTAGTTTACAAGGGCAGGTATAACTGTAAGGCAGATGAGACACTGGGATGGCCTGGCCAGAGCATTGATTTCAGTAGGAGAGTCTGAGAAGCCATCTTATTCCAGAAGTGCAGAGTCTGCCCTCGAGGCTTCTGCCTTCAACTAGGTGGCTAGATACACCCATCTTTCCTCAAAGCAAAAGAGATCACAGAGTAGGCCTCACAGGGCACAGCTTCACCTGCCCAGTCCTGCAAGGAAACACTGACAGGCTTATCTTTCTCCATGAGGACCTCCATCCTCCTGTTAATGACATTACCATAGATTGATATGATTAATTAGCGCTCAGTTTATCTCAGACTATTTGTTTTTTAGTGTCTGATGAGATTTTGGAGGCGTCCTTCTCATTAGCAACAGGCTTACAAACCATCTCTTCAGGTAGGTCACTTTTGCACATAGCTAATTATATTATTTGATGATACTTAACTGGCTTCACTTTCAGAGGTCACCTTTTATGACCTTGTCCCCAAACTCTGGATCCATAATCTGTTGGAAGCTTTCAGTTAGTTCCCTCTGCTCCAATTATAGTCATCTTGTTGCCATTCTTTCCCTTGACTTGATTGTTAAATTGCTGCTTCTTTTCTTCCTGTATAAAATCATGTAAAATTACAGTTTTCCACATCAAAAACTCACGGATTGTAGGACTAGAAATTTGTTTTTCCTCAGAGATCTTTCAATGGAGTAAAAAACTTAGTTTTCTTTGTTTGAGTTTTGTTTTCCCCTCTTGAATTATTTCAGTAGTAACTGTGTTCAGATAACTTTCTGTGTAATAGAAAATGAAGCCCCCTCCTCCCTCAACTGACTCTGACTTTCTGTAGTAATGCCTGATAATTTGTGAAGTAATGTAAGTCTCCTTCTCTGACTGATGGAATTGCCTAGATCAGGGGTTAGCAATCCATGTCCTGTACACCAAATCAGGCCCATTGCTTGTTTTTGTAAGCTGGTGAACTAAAAATGGTTTTCACATTTTAAAATGGTTAAAAAAAATATCTAAGGAAGACACATGGAACTTGGATTTCAGTGTCTATGAATGCAATTTTATTGGAGCATGGCCATGCCCACCCTTGTAGGTATTGTCCATGGCCGCTTTTGCATTACCACTGCAGAGTTGAATAGTTGTGACAGAGACCACATGGACCACACTCAAATATTTACTATCCAGTCCATTGTAGAAAACATTTCCTGACCTCCAGTCTAGATCATTTTCCTGTATCTGCTTGCCAGAGTTGGGTGACTTGAAGAGCCTTTGAAAATGATTTACACGTTGGCGGAGTAGCTCAATTCATTAAAGCGTTGTCCTGATATGCCAAGGTTGCAGGTTTGATCCCTGGTCAGAGCACATACAAGAAGCAACCAATGAATGGATAAATAAGTGGAACTGGAACAACAAATTGATGTTTCTCTCTCACTTTCTCCAAGATTAATTTTTAAAAAAGAAAGAAAACTTTATTTAAAAAAAAAATTTACATTTTGCTGGAGTAATAATGTTTTCCTAAAGAAGTTGGATCAGCTTCTTTCCCCTCAGATGTTTCTCAAATGTCAAGTTTAATTAGATGCACAGCTTTTGAAAACATTCAGTAAAATACTCTTGATACATGATATGTCTCAGCATTGTTCAAATGGATTTTAGGACATTTCCAGTAGTTCAGTAAAAGAGTCTAGTGTCCTAAAGCAGGTTGTCTTATCTTAGAAATCAGAACTTCTCTGAATTCAGCCAAAAGAAAGCCATTCTCCTTTCTAAATATGCTCTAATGATCTCTCTCAAGGTTGTATGTGTTTGTGTATTAATCTTAGATTGGATGTTTGAAATTTTGAGTCCAAGATCTTTGTGTTGTTTATTTCCCCTCTCTCCTACCCATCCTCTTCCCCCTCTCCCTCTCTCTCCCCTTCTTTCTTTCCTTCTTTTCTCTTGGTGTCTCAGCGTAAAATTTTTATAATCTGAAAGAGTCAGTGTGACCTGTTTCATCTCTCTGGATGTTCTTTGTCTCTCCCTGTTTGATTTCTGGTTTAAAAAAAAAATTCCTGTAGACATTTTAATATTGAGTTAGTCTCCCTTGAAAAATTAGTTTCTGTCAGAGAAAGAATAGTTACCTTTGAAAATATTAGGCTTTTCTATGGCCAATGTGACTTTTTGGCTCTTTTGGATAAGATGATCCAGAGGTCAAAACATCATTCAGGTTCAGTCAAAGCATGGAAAACATAAGATTACCTGATCTCATCCAAGAAATGAAAAATAGGCGTTTTGCACTCCTGAAAATTGAATAGATTTAGATAGGGGGACTGTGTTGACTCACCGCAGTTCCCATCAGCTATTTGACTGTTTAAACTTGTATTTAAAATTCTGTCTCCTGTTTTTAAAATTTTCCTTAATTATATCCTTTGCATGCTCTTTATCTTAATCTTAGGTTAGATCTTTTTTTTCCTGCCCACTTAATTTTCCAGCCTTCCACAAAGCTGACAAAATATAGAGGACATATTTCAATTCTTGGAATCACTTTGGTGTATATCCATCAACAATCCTAAGAACTCTTTCTGGGATTTTAGACTCCCAGCATTGTGGCTTTTAAATTTAATTTTAGCTGTCTTTGATGCAGAGGAGTAATTTCTAAATAGCTTTCTAACCCCCTACCCATTTTGTTCACTTCATCTTCCTTGCTGCCATCATTTTTGGTTTCAGAATAAATATAGAGTAAGAAAAACAAATGGAGAAAACATCCTGTTATGTAATGAAAAAGAAGATAATTTTGGAAATGCTGTTGGTGCCTCATAAATAAATTATGCCTCATTCGCTGTCCTTGGAATTAAAGTTTGCAGCACGATCAATCAGTAGACTTTGAGAAAGCTTAAGAGATAGTTGGACATATAGAAGTTGCATTTGTTGCCTAACCTATAAATGTGCATTATTGCTGGAGGCTTTCGAGATGTCACAGGCTCTTTATACATTTTTTCACAGAAATAGAAATTAGAAGATTTTAACAGATAGCCTTTGATCTTTCATTTCCACCTCAAGAAATTTATCCTTCAGAGATACTTGCACAGCTATATAAAGCTGGAGATAGATGTGTGCATGTGTGTGTTATGGGGAAAGGAGAGGTGGTCACTGCACCTGTTCATAAGAGCAGTAAAAGGGACAGAGCCTAATAAATGCGCACTGATAGGGCAGAACCAGCCAATAAAAACAAAGAGGTGTATTAACATGGAAATACATCCATGTATCTCCAGAGAGCTTTTTAAACTACTTGTGAACATCCTCTGTCCTTCCACCACCATCAGATCCCCAAGCTCACTAGACACTCACTATACATGAGAGAGATGCTACTCATGTGAGTGTTTTGTGCATTTAAATAATGTGAACAGCTGGTTCCCACAAGCCTTCTAGACCCATGGTGTCCTGTGTCTCAACACTTGAATTGAAGCTCCTACTCCCACCTCCTAAATCCAAAATCTCTGAAGACCAAGCTACAAGAAAGCCTAACAGGATCCGATGAAGTAGCAGGAATAAGCCAAGAGAATTAGGGGAAAATAAGTAAAAGGACAATTTTCAGAAACCTGAGACTGTTTCTGGTACCCACAAGTGTGTTAAAAAGGAGGTTTGGAGGTTGAGAAGGGAGTTAGTGTAGCAAAGAAAGCTTCTGAAGAATTCTGTGATTGTGGACTTCTGCTTCTTTCTTACAACTGTTGTTTCCATCGGTAATTAGAGCTAACCTGAGTTTTTATTGCTAGAGAAACCTAAGATCCATGTCTGTTTTACAGTTGAGGAGACTGAGGCCACACATCTGGCTCTTCTTTGCAGAGCTGGTTAGAATCATGGCTCTGAGTTAGTGTTCTTCTGGACTGTGTAACTGGGCAGTTGTAAAACACGTAAGTGAGATTTATTTTACAGAAGGAAAAGAAGTTGGACCATATTTTCCTCCTTTCTAGAGGGTGTTTACGCCTTTCAAGGACAGTGGGACATTTGTAAAAAGGGAATTACAAAGGATAATTTATCCTCCCTTTTATAGTGACTGGGCCATGTTATTAGTGTTCTTAGAAAGATAAACTGTAGAAAATAGGGTACCTTCTTGGTGGGGTGTGATGGGAAGGATGCTGGTATGCAGTCAAATAAGAGGTTTTGAAATTGTTTGACCACCTTGGTATGGGGAAAGGCTCCAATTACTTGCCCTGAAGTCAGGTTTCATTGTCTTCTGCTGCTTGGTCCCTAAGTGCCTAATGTGGTGAGGAGTGTGAGGGTTTGAGCTTATGCTCATCTGTTTACAGGACTTAGAATGTCTTATGCACACAACTTACCCTTATTTGTTCAGCAGATGCCAAGTTCCTACTATGTGTCAGATACTGTTTTATGTGCTGGGGATCTAGCACTTAAACAAAACCGACTAAAGTCCCTGCTGTCTTGGCCTTTATATTCTAGCAGAGGGAGACAGACTAAAGAAATAAATAAAATGATAGAATGTGAGATGGTGATATGGCTGGAAAGGGGATAGGGAAGCCAGGATGGGAGTGTGGTATTGGAAGTTTCATAAATAGGGGTGAATTAGAGAAGCCTCAGTAGAGGTTACATCCGAGCAGTGACCCGAAGGAGGTGGACACAGAGCCATTGTTCGAGGGAGAGGGCCTGGAATACCAGGCCCCTGGCTGTGATATGGGAGCCTGCAGAATGGGGGGTGGGGGAGCTATGTGGGGAAGCACAGAAGTCAGGGGCGGTTGTGAACTTATTCCTGCTACTTTACCAGGGTCTAGTCAGGTTTTATTGTAGTTTGATATTCAGAGATTTGGGACTTGGGAGGCAGGGAGTGGGGTCCAGATAGCCTATGGCAATAATGTGGACTTTTAACAGATTGAAATGGGGCCTTTGAAGGGCTTTGAGCAGAGTGACATGGTCTGACTTAGGTTTTTTTAATTGATTTCTTTCCAAAAGATTGTGCTAATTTATATTTCCATCAACAAAGTAAGGAGACACCTATCTTCTTACATCCTCACAGCACAGAATAGTATTAAACTTTTTAATTTTACCCACTTGATTGGCAAAAAGTATTTTATTTTTTTAATTGCATATTTGATTTTGAACAGGATTAACTATACTTTTTTGTGTGAACTGCGTTTTCATGTTCCTTGCTCATTGTTTTTGTTTTGAGTATTTTGTCTTTTTCCTAATTTTCTAGCAGTCTTTCTATTTTAATAAAATTGCAGGTGTTTTGACTTTATGATACTTCATTTTTTTCCTTTACAGAAGTCTGAAATCCTTATGTAGTACATTTATCTTTCTTCTGTTTAAGGCTTGTAGGTTTTAGGTCATACTTAAGAAAGGCTTTACATATTCTACGATCAATAGATAGATAGATGCCACTGTTTCTTCTAGTACTCTGCTAATTTTATTTTATTAGTTTTTAAAGAATTTATTTATTTTTAGAAGGATGGGAAGGGAAGGAGAGAGGGAGAGAATCATTGTGTGGTTGCTCTCACGCGCCCCCTACTGGGGACCTGGTCCATAACCCAGGCATGTGCCCTGACTGGTTTGGTTTGCAGGCCAGCACAAATCCACTGAGCCACACCACCCAGGGCATGTTTTTGATATTTAACTTTTTATTCCACTTGAAATATATTTTGTATGGAGGGGTCCAGGGTTTCTTTTTTCATTTGGCTACCAGTTGTCTCAGCTCCACTTCCTTTATCCCTACTGGTTTGAACTACTACTTTGGTCTTATTCCAGGTTCTTATTTGGATCTGGCACCTGCTTTTAAAATTTTTTTTAAGATAATCTTATCGCCGGTTTATTTTTATAGCTGGGAGATTTGGTAAACAAGTATTAATTGGGTATCTTCTGTTACATTTCTCTCAATGTCTTTAGGAAAAATACTGCCCAGAGTTGGGGTATCAGAGTAAATAAGGTCGACTGGAGTGGAGGGGGACTTCAATAAGTGTCGCTTCACTGTGTAGGGTATGACTGGTGGGGACAGGGTAGTGGGACATGTTTCTAATTTCAGAGGTTCACAGCTGAGTTGGAGGAGGACACATCCTGCTATCCACAAACAGGATAGAAGTGTGTATACCTGTGTCCTGTGCTGATGACACAGTGTTAACTAACATGGAACAGACATTCAAAAGTAAATTTGTTAATTGTGTGATATACAGAAAAAAAAATACAGGGTGGAAATGGAGAGGTTAGTGTAGGGTAGAAGATCAGGGAGTGGGAGAATAGCCACTTTATTTGTTATGTTTCTGTTCTATTTTTGTTCTTGAAGCTAATTTAAATGGACCTCTTATCTTAGTCTGAGGTTCCAGTGTACTAAAAGGCTTGCTCATCTTGTCTGCCTTTTTGTGTGAAATATTAACCTTGTGAAATTCAAATATGCCTGTGCAGTGGAGCCATTCTTTATTTACTAATGGATTATTTTAGCCACTACTAGGTAAACAATTAGCTTGGGTAGCACTATAAAGACTTCATTTTGACTAATTTTGACTTGTAGTGTATGTATTAATACAACTGTATGCTAAGGTGGCTTATTGGCAGAACTGGGACTAGAATCTTGGTCTTGTGCTTTAGTTCGGTGGTCTTAGACTAAGCTACGTTGAGTTACGCCGTTTTACAGTGGGAACAGAAAGACATGGCATAATCTTTGTACAGTGTACCTGCATGGGGAGTGTTCCTAGGGTTTGACTTTAACTCCTCAGAGTTTCCCTTACAGAACGGGCTGGACAATGGCCCAGAACAAACTATTCAACAAGATCCTCAAAGCACTGCAGTCTGACCGGCTTGCTCGCTTGGCCAACGAAGGGGTGAGACTCCCAAAGCCACCCACAGTGCGCCCACGCATGCCCCGCCACCCCCGGTTGCTGACAACGTGGGCCTCATGTTTTATTGCTCCATGTGTGTCTTCCAGGCTTGCAATGAGCCAGTGCTTCGCCGCGTTGCTGTGGACAAGTGTGCGAGGAGGGTGAGGCAGGCCCTGGCAAGTGTGAGCTGGGACACCAAGCTGATCCAGTGGCTGCATACCACCCTGGTAGAGACCTTGAGCCTGCCCATGCTGGCGGCCTACCTGGATGCTTTGCAGACGCTAAAAGGGAAGGTAAGGCTAAGATTGGTGTCTGCCTTGTGATGGGTAGCCAGCCTCTGCTGTGGGTTCAGGAAGTGGGGCTTGGCAAGGTCATTGCTTGGTCAGCCAGGAGGGCATGACTGAATCTGCCAGGTTTGCTATTAAAATAGGAGACATAGTATCATTTCACATTTTCGTCTGATGTAAATGTCTTCAGCCTTTCTGACTCCAGGATGAGGTGTGGGCTCGAAAACCAGAGTATACATATAGCCTCTCCAGCCCTGTAGCTTGTGGTTTGAGTCACTTCTGAGGTGAGCTGAGAAAGGAATTGAATTATCAGGGAGAAGATGAAGTGTTTACCAGGCAGGAGTGTTGAGATGGGGCCAGAAGCAGATCTGTGAGCTCAGAGTGCAGGAGTCAGGGATGGGGAAGTATCCATTCATGTCTTAGTCTCTCATCATCATGGTATGAGCCTTCAGTAGCAACACTTTGACTATAATAATTCTCTAAAAGACATATCTACATTTTTCTGCTTTTTCACTGAGATAGTATTGCACAAACTTAAATTATTTGGGTTTTTTTTTTACATTATATTTTATTGTTTATGCTCTTACAGTTGTCCCAATTTATCCCCCTTTGCCCCCTCTACCCAGCACTGCTCCAGTCCCTTAGGTAATCCCCACACCATGGTCCAGATCCTTGGATCATGCGTATATGTTCTTTGGGTACTCTGTTCCCTATGTTGTACTTTGATCACCATGACTATTCGGTAACTACCAGTTTGTACTTCTTAATACCTTCACCTTTTCGTCCGTCTCCCTGACCCCTCACCCATCTGGCAACCATCAATATGTTCTCTGTACCTATGATCCTGTTTCTGTTCTGCTTGTTTGTTTATTTTGGTTTTTAGATTCAATTTTTGATAGGTATGTATTTATCGCCACTTTATTGTTCATATTTTTTATCTTCCCCTTAAAGAGGACCCTTTGACATTTCATATAATTCTGGTTTGGTGATGATGAACTCCTTTAGCTTTTTCTTGCCTAGGAGACTCTTTATCTGTTCTTCAATTCTAAATGATAGCTTTGCTCCTCAGCTTTGCTATCATTTAGAGTAATCTTGGTTGTAGGTCCTTGCTTTTCATGACTTTGAATATTTCTTGTCTGCAAAGAAACCTTCTAGCCTGCAAAGTTTCTTTTGAGAAATCAGCTGACAGTCTTTTGGGAGCTTCCTTGTAGCTAAGTAACTACTTTTCTTTTGCTGCTTTTAAGATTCTCTGTTTGTCTTTAACCTTTGGCATTTTAAGGATGATGTGTCTTGATGTGGGCCTCTTTGGGTTCATCTTGTTTGGGACTCTCTCCTTCCTGAACTTACATGTCTATTTCTTTCACCAAGATAGGGAAGTTTTCTGTCATTTTTTCAAATAGGTTTCCACTTTCTTGCTCCCTCTCTTCTTCCACCACCACCATGATGTGAATGTTGATATGCCTGAAGTTGTCCTAGTGGCCCCTTAACACTATCCTCATTTTTTTTTTGGATTCTTTTTTCTTCTTGCTCTTCTGATGGGCTGTTTTTTGCTTTCTTATATTCCAAATTGTTAATTTGATTCTTAGCTTCATCCACTCTATTGTTGATTCCCTGTAAATTGTTCTTTATTTCAGTTAGTGTTTCTTTCCTTTCTGATGGGATTTTTTTATTCTGTTGAGGTCCTCACTAAGTTCCTTGAGCATCCTTGTAACCACAGTTTTGAACTCTGCATCTAGTAGATTGCTTATCTCCATTTTGTTTAGTTCTTCTGGAATTTTGTTCTGTTCTTTCATTTGGGCCATGTTTGTCTCCTCATTTTGGCAGCCTCCCTGTGTTTGTTTCTATGTATTAAATAGAGCTGCTACATCTCCCAGGCTTGGTAGAGTTACCTAATGTAGTAGGTGTCCTGTGGAGTCCAGTGGCACAGCCTGTCCTATTACTCAAGCTGGGTAATCAAGTGGTACCCACCATGTGGTTGGTGTGCACCCTCCTGTTGTAGTTGAGCCTCGATTGCTGTTAGCATGTCCAAGATAAGCCACCACCTGTGTTCTGTGCGGGGTCACAGCATGAACTATAGAGCTATCTGCAGATGGCTGCTCCTTGTGCTGGACTTGGAGGTGCCCAGACAAGGCCAAGCTGTGAACCAGGGCCAACTGCTGCTAGTGCTGGGGTTGGGGTAACCTAGCGAGAGGTACAGGGCTCACTGAAGCCAGATGTTACTTGTTTCAGAAAATTTAGGAAAATCTGAAGCATGAACCAAGACAGGCCATTCACATGGAAAAGCCACTGGAGACAGCTTGGATGAGCCTGAAAGCTGGGTTTGGCAGAGCCTCTGGGAATCACCAGGGCGGGGCAAACAGTGTGAGCCAGGGTGATGGAGTCTCAGATATGGCACGTGCCTGCCCCCTCTTTGGTGGTGGAGGGGTGGGGTGGACTCAGAAAAGGAACAGTGGCCTCTGTCAGCACTTCTCTCTGGAAGAAAACTGCCTCCCAGCTCTCACCCTGATGCTGCACAATTCAGTTCCTCGCTGTGTGCCTCAGGTGCCTTTCAGTCTGCTGTTCCTATGCTGGAGCTCAGAGGGAATGAATCAGTAAGTCTGCAGGCCCTTTAAGAGGAATTGCCAGGGAGTCTAGAGTTTCTTTCTTCCACAGCCTCAATCCCCACTAGCTTTTTATGGCCAGAAGTTAGTGGGACTTCTTGGCACTGGAACCCTAGGTTGGGGAGCCTAGTGTGGGGCTGGGACTCCTTGCTCCTAAGATCTCCCTCCTGATTTTTATCTGCCATACATGGGTGTGGGACCAGCGTCTTTCATGTCTCTGCCCCTCCTACCAGTTTCAATATGGTTTCTTCTTTAGTTTTGTAGTGGTAGGACTTCCACTCAGCTCAATTTCTGATGGTTCTGTGTGATGGTGCTCCTATAGTTTAGTTGTAATTTTGATGTGGTTGTGTGAAGAGGCAAGCTGTGTTTATCTACAGCTCCATCTTGACTGGAAATCTCCCCCTAAACTGTTTTTTTTCTTTCATGATTCCTCTTTATTGCAATTTCAGTTACTGCCCTGGGCTGTGTTCAGTGTGGTACAGTACGGGTTCTGGGGGCGTATTGTCTGGCTCATGTCATTGTGATCACTAACAAGCTATGTCATCTCAAATTAGTATCTCAGTTTTCTCATTTGTAATACATGGCTAATAATAATACCGACGTAGGATTTTTGTGAAAATTAAATTAGTTGATCCAGATAGAATGCTTGGCATAAAATTTGGCCAAGTAAACGCACAATGACTGTTAATAATTATGTAAGTTCATAGGTGCTTGACATTTTTAGAGCGTTTTGCTCTAATACAAACGGCCTCAGACAGCTTGGATTAGTTCAATTCTTGACTTTATTTTTTCCTTAAGTTTTTCTTTCTTCTCCTTTGTGGTAAGGTGGCCTATTTTGTTGCTATAATTACCCTGGCCAACAGCTTCCCCCCAGCCATATCCCCAAATTTTCAGACTCATTGTTTCCAACCTGTTCTTCAGTTGAAGGATGCTGAGCTTGCTTGAAAGCAAAAGCAGACTGGCTTAGTGCAGAAATAAAATTCAGGACTAGATGCAGTAATTTATGCAGATATTCATGGTAGGAAGTTTGATATTAATTTATTTATTCAACAATTTATTTAGTGCCTGTAATGTGCCAGGCACTGGGGTGAGCAAAACAGAAATGCCTCCCACCCAAACTCTGATAGAACCTATTTTCTAGTGGAGAAAGAGACCAATGAAAAGAGAGGCCCAGACTACCCCTTTGTTGCTGCTCTGCGATAGAACCCTGAGCCCAGAAGGTGCGTGGTAGGTAGTGTGGGGCCAAGATAGACTCAGCAGAGAGTGGCAGCCTGAGAGTATTTCCAACATTTTAAATGTTGTCCACATCACTCTACCCATGGTAAAAGAATAACACTGGTATGTATGCTATGCAGATGAATGCTGATAGTGTGCAGAGGCCCACTTCTCTAATAACGACTCTGCTTTATTCTACATGGCCAGCATGACCGCAGTGTAATTCCCCTTGTAAGAAAGTTTGCATCACTTCCCTACTTACCAGGTTACTCCTGGACATGCTTAAGTGAATGAGGTGGTGTCCAGGTTTCAATGAGTGTGACAGATATCTGGGGGGACTCCACAGGAATGCACAGTTGCTGCTGCCAGGTCCTAGCACAGATTAGTGGGAATGGCTGAGGACATGCTAGGGTGTCAGTCTGCAGTGACCCCAGCTGAGGTGCTGTCCAGTCCAGGTTGTGCTCTCAGCAGTGGTTCCACTAGGCTCTTATAATATTTTCCCATAACTGTCAGATTTATAAGAATTACTTTGGTTGTTCCCCAAAAGTTTTCCTGTTACCTGCTGAATGAAAATGTAGGTGGGTGATTTCATGCCCTTGGCCTAGCTGCTTTTCACCCTTAGATCCCTTATAAAGACAGCAAGAAGGTATAGATCCAGCTTCTGAATTGTCTCTTGAGAGAGATGCAGTGTTGGAAAGACCGAAGAGCTTGGCCAGCCTAGCTCCCAGCAGAGAAGGTGGTTATTAATTGGTCATTTCTAAGCATTCTGTTTTGAGAGAAGGCTTTTTTGTTTCAGGGGTGTATTTTACTGCCAAGTAAAAGCTTTTAGAGTCTAATTAGATCAGATCCTCTGCCTCAAGGTGTTGAGTGGCTTAGAGTATAAGTTACAAAGAAATGGCCAGGTTGGGGTGAAGATCCTTTTCAGTTTAGCGCTGGCCTTTGTTACGAGCCCTGCATCCTCCTTCCTTACTGGAATCCTTGACCTCAGGCCATCTGTGCCTAGAATAAGCCCTTCACATTTGTATTTGCTGCTGCTGTTAACTATTATTTTTATTATTTTAAAAAATTATAGTTGACCTACAATATCATATTATTTTCAGGTGTACAATATAGTAATTAGACATTTATGTACTTTCTGAAGTGTTCACCATGAAAAGTCTAATACTACCCATCTGACATCATGGATAGTCATCACGATATTATTGACTATATTTCTTATGCTCTGCTTTACATCCCGTTACTGTTTTTGTAATTGTCAGTTTGTACTTTTTAATCTTTTCCCCTTTCTCATCCATTCCCCAATCCTCCTCCCATCTCGCAACCATCAATTTGTTTTCTGTATCTATGAGTTTGTTTCAGGTTTGTGTGTTCATTTATTGTGTTTTTTAGATTCCACATATAAGGGTAATCATATGGTAATTGTCTTTCTCTGATTGACTTATTTCACTCAGCACAATACCTTCTAGGTTCATCCATGTTTTGCAAATGACAAGGTTCCATTCCTTCTATGGCTGAGTAATAGTCGATTGTATATATGTACTACATCTTCTTTATCCATCTGTTTATCAGTAGACACTTAGGTTGCTTCCATATATTGGCTATTTTAAATAATGTTGCAATGAACATGGCAGTGAGGGGTGCCGCATATATCTTTTTTCAGTTTGTGTTTTGGATTTCTTTGGATAAATAGAAGTGGAATTGCTGGATCATATGGTAGTTCTGTTTAATTTTTTGAGGAACTTACATACTGTTTTCCATAGTGGCTGCAACCAGTTTATAATTCTACCAGCAGTGCACAAGGATTCCCCTTTCTCCACATCCTTGCCAGCACTTGTTGTTTATTGATTTACAGATAATAGCCATTCTGACGGGTGTGAGGTGATATCTCATTGCAGTTTTGATTGGCGTTTCCCTGATGATTAGCGATGTTGAGCATATTTTCATGTGTCTGTTGGCCATAACTCCATAAAGACCACTATTAACGTTTTGGCATATTAACTTTTTTTCCCTGAGTAGAGATAATTTTTACATTTTCTGCTTTATCTTTAAAATTTTTGCAAAATTATTTCCTTATGTTATTACAAACTTTTAAAAACATTTAAAATTAACCTTAATACTGAATTATGTAGATAATTTGCATAACCATTGTCTTATGTATGTGTTTAAGTTGTTTCTGATTTTTGATTATTTTTGAGAGTCGAATCTGTCTTTTGTGTAACTCCCACCCCATGTGTGTGTGCATATGTGAACATGCATGCATGAGTGTTGCACACACATATCTATCTGTGATAAAACTTTTAGGAAAGGTTCTTAAGGGATAGGAATAAATTTAAGTTTTTTGATACATGTCACCAGGTGTCTTTTCAAAGGATTGTACCCACTTGCTTTAATGGTGGGAGGCATACTTTTCAGCCATCCATTTTTGTATTCTTGTTCCTGAATGAAGTTCAAGAGGCATAGCAGAAGTCTGTCTGGCTCATAGTGGGGCTCTGTGACCCCCCTGATTGCTGCTTGTGGGCAGGTCTCTTGCTTCACACCGGAAGCACCTTTGTTCTTCCTCCTAGATCCCTACCTTGATTGACCGGATGCTTGTGTCATCCAACACGAAGACCGGGGCTGCAGGAGCTGAGGCCTTGTCCCTTCTACTGAAGAGGCCCTGGGACCCTGCTGTGGGAGTGCTTTCTCATAACAAACCAGTAAGTTGGGTGGCTCAGGATTGGCTATGGCCTGTGGGTGTTTAGAATCTGGTCTTTGAACGTTGGCAAGAGGATAGTAAGTAGCTTGTTTAACTTTTTTCATTGATAATTGGTCGTATATAGTGCTTAACATAGTTTCATAATCAAGTTAGCATTGGTTGGGATAAAAAGGTATAGGGACACTTGGGATTTTGTGGAGAAACATCTCTTACTCCCTGGTTCTCTGTTGGCATTCTTCTTCCACAGAGCAAACTCCCTGGCTCGCCACTCATTCTCATTGCCTCCTCCGGGCCCTCCAACTCTGCATTTCCCACCTCGCGCCGCCACCGCTTCTGGCAGTCTCAACTATCCTGCTTAGGCAAGGTACGTATGGGGGACAAGAGGAATTCTGTCATGGGTGGGAGTATAGACGAAATGCAGCAAGGGGTCAAAATGAATGAGTTTAAATGTGGAGCTTCCCCAGCTCTCTTTTCTTTCTGAATTCAAGTAGTGCTTATCCAGGGTGATGGAATCTAGGGTAGGTTAAGATTTGAGAGAAGACTTGAAACTGACCTCTGCTGGCATGGCTGCCACTTCCTTCCTTTAGGTCATCCCTGTAGCCACCCATCTGCTGAACAATGGAAGTGGGGTAGGCGTTCTGCAGTGTCTTGAGCATATGATTGGGGCAGTGAGAAGCAAAGTGCTGGAGGTGAGACTGCCTCTACATGAGTTCACTGAGGTACACCCAGCCTTCTGGGATTTTTCTGCATCCATCTTTAACCTCCTATCTAACTATCTTCTTTCTCTTTCCACAAAGATTCACAGCCATTTCCCCCACAAACCCATTATCTTGATTGGCTGGAATACAGGAGCTCTGGTGGCCTGTCATGTAAGTAACACCCACCTTACTTGGAGGTTATCCTGGGATAGACTATTGCTATTACTGCTGATAGCCACCATGGAGTCCTCTTTTATGTTTCAGGCACAGTGCTAGATGCTGGAGCTACATAATTACACTTATAACTGTAAAAGACAAACTTTATTTATAAAATTCACTGTGGAAAATTTTAGACAGAAACGTAAAGGGCTCTCACTGAGCTTTACCAGTGATCAACTCATAGCTAGGTGTTTCTTCATGTTATCCCTGCCCATTTTCTTTCTCTGCTGATATTTTGAAGAAGATCCCAAATATCATATCATTTCACTCATGTATATTTCAGCATGTATCTATGAAAAAATTCCTTTTTTTCCCTCCAAACACAAGTATTATTCCCCCACCTAAAACAAAACAATTCTTGTAGGCAATATATTTTTTTAAAGATTTTATTTATTTATTTTTAGAGAGAGGGGAAGGGAGGGAGAAAGAGGGGGAGAGAGACATGGATGTGTGGTTGCCTCTCGTACGTCCCCAGTTGGGGACCTGGCCTGCAACCCAGGTATATGCCCTGACTGGAAATCAAACTGGCAGCCCTTTGGTTTGCAGGCTGGCACTCAACCCACTGGGCCACACCAGCCAGGGTGGCAAAAATTTTAATAGCTCCGGAATTTGCTGTTGTGTTCATGTTCTGCCCCTTTCCAAGACATTCCATTTGTGTGAATTTTAGTTTGCATAAGGGTCCCTGACCTGTCCAGAGCCCCAGTTCTCAAGTGAATCAAATAAGTGAAGTCTGTGCTGCCTCCTGTAAAGCTAATCTAGTCAAATATGATATTTCGGGCCATGAGAGGAGAAGGTTATCTCCTCATAGCCCTGCCCACAGGACAGCAAATTCTCTTAGAAATTTGGGATGTCTGGAAGCTACCCAGTAAATTCAAGATGGGGAGATTTTCTTCACCTATGGAAGAAGAAAAGCATTTGTGTTCTGCTGATAATATTTGCTGTAAGGGGGGGTGGGCGGAGTGAGCAAGAGACCTCTAGTCTAGGGAATTGACAGGATGGAAGTATTAAATCTCCCATCCTGTGGTGCAGTCTGGGCTAGGGTCCTCTCAGGGCCCTAGTTTTCCAGGTGGTAGCTGCTTGTGGAATGGCACATCTGTGTTCTGTGCTCTTATTGCTGCCACCGTGGCTAGTATTCCTGGGGAGTCAGGACAGGGAGGGGTAGATGAGGCTGGCTGTTAGATATGGACTAGCACTGGGTTCTGGATAGGAAGGCAGTTGACCTTGAGATAAGCCATTCCATTATTTCTAGGTATCAGTGATGGAGTATGTCACTGCAGTTGTCTGCCTTGGGTTCCCTCTGTTCACCGTGGATGGCCCCAGAGGGGTAAGCATGGGGTGCCTCTGATTGCTGGGCAGGTAAGAGTAGGGAGTGTGTGCCTCACTCAAATTGGTGTGCAGTGACTGCAGTGGCCCGGTTGACCTCCTGAGCAGACTGACCAGGGTAGTGCTCAGTGAATGTGAACTAGCTGATTGTAAACCCTGTACCTGTTTTAGGATGTGGATGATCCCCTCTTGGATATGAAGACTCCGGTCCTCTTTGTTATCGGTCAGAATTCCCTGCAGTGTCACCCTGAAACCATGGAGGACTTTCGGGAGAAGATTCGGGCTGAAAACAGTTTGGTGGTGGTTGGGGGAGCTGATGATAATCTCAGGTGGGTAGGCCCATTCCTGTGAGGTGGGGAGGTAACTAGCTATAAGCTGATCTGATTCAGACTAAATATGAAAAGGGGCATTAAAAAACATATTTTTTACATTTTAACTAATTCAAATTTATAAAATGTTGCAAAAATAGTACAAAAAATTCCCACATAGCCTTCATCCGGATTTCCCAAATATTAGCATCCTAAATAATCAATGTATAATTATCAAACTCAGGAAATTAACATTGATATGATCCTATTGTCCAATCTACAGAGTCAGATTTCATCAGTGTCTCTGGTTCAGGAGCCAATCTAAGATCACATACTGCTGTCAGTGCCATGTCTTCTCTCTCTTACTTAACTTGGTACTGCTTAGTCCATCATTGTCTTTTATCACCTTGACACTTTTGAAAACTTTTGGCCAGTTATTTTGTCGACTGTCTCTCAATTTAGGTTTTTGACTTTTTTTTATGATTAGGTTGAAAATACATATTTTTGGCAGTAAGGCCACAAAGACGAGGTACTGTCAGTGCCCCCTCCCCCACCCAGAGGATACGTGATGTTGACATGTCTTATCAGTGGTGAAGTTAACCTTGATCATAGGTTAAGGTGGCATCTGCCAGGTTTCTCCACGATAAAGTTACTATTTTCCCTTTGTAATTACTAGTTACCTTGTGGGGAGAAGATACTTTGAGACCCTGTAAATACAGTCTTTGTCATCACGGTTTCACTGGGGTAGGCATTTCTTTACATTTTGTTCCTTACTGAGGATGAATATGAACACATTCCATTTGTATTAAACACCTTTTATATATTTTGGAGGCTATACAGGCAAAGTTTGAGAGGGTTTTATTAAAGCACCATTAGTTATTAAGGCGGCCTCTCCTCTGTTACAAGACCGGCTGCTTGCAGGGCCTTGAGTTAGGTTTCTGTGAAATGTACTGAAAAAGATGTGTTATTTATGGGGCCTCCTTTTTTTTTTTTGTTCACTCTTAGAGATTCAGTCATTTGTTTGCTTACTTAACTAGAGAGCTTAAAGTGGGTGCTTGCTCACATCTGCCTTGTTGTTTTCTTACTCAGACATTTGAGAGAATTCCTTCTAGTCATGGTTATTTGACAGCCTGTTGGGATTTGGGCCAGCGTTGGGAGACTTGGGAGATCTTCAGTCTGTGAGGCCATAGGTATAGGACTTTCGGAATGTGCAGTTCCAGCACTTCCCATATGTTCTTTTGTGCAATCATCCAACTCCACAAGTGAGGCAATATGGTTCCCTATTTTGCAGATATGGAAACTGAGGTTCAGAGAGGTTGCAATACCTGCCTAAGGGCTAACATAGTCTCTCCCAGGCCTAGAAAATAACCTACAGAAGAGAAATTCATTCTTCTCTCCATCTGATGCCGTGGAATATTTAGAAGGTTTCCTCCTTTTTGTCTCTCAGAATAAGCAAAGCAAAGAAGAAATCAGAAGGGTTGACTCAGAGCATGGTGGACAGGTGCATTCAGGTACACGGTTGCTTTCTGTGTTTGCTCAGCTAGGCTTCCTTTCTGCAGCCTTTTAGGCTTAGGCTTATCAGCAGTAGCCTCTGTGTCTCTGAAGGGTGAGGGGTTATCCCCCTGGGGCCTCTAGTAGCCCTATATCATAAGCAAAGAAAGAGGGAGAAAAAGAGGATAATAATGAGCTAAGATAGGGGAAAAGCACTGGGATGAATGGGTTCACTGAGGGAATGGTGGTGCATGACCGCCCCAGGTCACCACCTCACAGAAGTTCCTACTGGTTTCTGGCTGAGCCTGGGTTCGTGCCAGGTTTTGTGCACATTGGGAGGGCCTAGCACCTCTGACACCAGAGCCAAGGTACTCAGTCTTAGTTGGAACTGTTGGGAAGGTCCCTACTCTCCAGCCGAGGACTCGGGTCAGCCCCTCTTTACAACCAGGATGAGATTGTGGACTTTCTAACTGGCGTGCTCACTCGCGCTGAGGGGCATGTGGGCGCTGAACCTCGGGACCAGGATGCTGAAAAGAAGAAGAAGCCCCGGGATGTGACCCGCAGAGACCTGGCCTTTGAAGTGCCCGAGAGAGGCAGTCGACCTGCCTCGCCAGCTGCCAGGCTGCCTGCCTCCCCTTCAGGCTCTGAGGTAACATGGGCAGGGAAGGGGCACTTTTGCTGGGCAATGAGGACCACAGAGCTGGTGCCTTGGCTTCTTGGGGACTTTTGTATGCTGCACCAGTGCTGTAGGCCTTTGAGTTCCCCCAGGGAGAATCCTGACCAGGGAATTCTAGGGGACATGCTGATTGGTGGTCAAATGCAGACAATGTAGACTCAGCTCCCATCCTCCTCTCCCTGCTCAGGATCTCTCCAGTGTGTCCAGTAGCCCTACGTCCAGTCCTAAGAACAAAGTGACCACAGTGGCCTCTGCCCAGAAGTCCAGTCAGACCGGGAGCTCTCAACTGCTGAAGAGACACGTGCAGCGGACAGAAGCTGTGCTGACCCACAAACAAGCTCAAGGTACAGATTCCTGGCCCAGTGGCCTCTCTTGGGCTTCGTCCTCTGCAGTTGACATCATGTGGCAGTTGGAAAGTATTGGCATCTGAAGCTTTTTCCCAGGGCATGTGAGAGGCTCCTTTCCTGCATTTCTGTCCTGGCAAAATTAGGTCGAAATGAATACCAAGGGCTGTTTTCAGGGTAGAATATCACACGAGGTCTGTGTCTAGGGAGCTGTGTCATCCCACCAGTTATAGCTTTGTCTTGGTGTTCTGGGCATTTAAGCTTTCTGAGCTGGCTACATGTATATTGGCCTCAAATATTTTTCTGTCTCCCAACTGGGGAAGCTATGGCTTCTGTTTCAGGCCCTGCCCAGCCACTCCTGCAGTCAGGGAGCTCTCCAGGTCATGTTGGAAGGGTGATCGGCTTATTCATCAGATTCTAGGGCAACTTAACCAGCGTCGTGCCTTTTCTTTGTTTGCTTTTGAAGAGTTAAATTTCCACAGTGAGGCTTTTGGTGAGGGTTTTTGTGGTCTCTGCAGATAGGTTTTAGATTAGGCTGGGAAATATATTGGTATGATTGAAATTAGAGTTTGGAGGTCAGTAAGGGCTACATAGGAAGACCCAGCAAAGGGAGAATTCAGTGGGTAGGGAGAGGAGAAACATTGGCTTGACCCCTCCCCCCACTTTGATTCAGTTGTGCAGCTCTGAGATGAGTCTCTTGGGCACTGGTCTTAGCTGTATCCAGGAGCGTGTATCTTGAGGTTCAGGGAAGAGGCAGCAACCAGAGCTGGCTGTGAAGTAGAGAAGGGTGGAGATGACAGGAGGCTGACTTGTTCACTTCCCCTGGGTTTTCTTTAGTGGAGCCAAAGGGTGAAAGTGGAAAGATGAAGGCAAAAAAGAGGCCAGGCCCTCAAGATCCATATGGATGCCTTGTGACCTGGGCTTTCTTAAATGGTGGCCAGAGCCAACTTCTGGGTGGGTGCTATCCCCTTACGCTTTTGATGAAGACGGAGCCAGCTGTGTGCAGTCCCTCTGGAGAAGAAAATTACTTGAGAGTCTAAGGAGTCCTGGAAGGCTGATTGGTGAGCTGGGTTTGAAATGGGACCCAGAGTATCATGGGGGAAGCAGCAGCCATAGCACCTGGCTTTGCCTTCGCTTAAAGACAAAGGGGACAGTGATAGCCAACACTTACGGAGCACTTACTATGTGCTAGGGTCTCTTCCTGGTGCTTGACTTGCTGTGGCTCAGTGAATTTCTCAGTGGCCCCATGAGGCAGATGTGTCTATATTTTCATTAATAGATGATTCCATGGAAGTGCTGAAAGCAAAGTCAATTCAATAAGTCCAGAAAAAGACCCTGTTGACCATTTTCTAGAACTTTTTCATATCTTTCTCTTACTCCCTTTTTCTCCTTTCTCTGGCTGGCTATGATTCTATAATTCTTTCTGATTCATTCCAGCACAGTTTGCTGCTTTTCTGAAACAGAATATGCTGGTGAGGAAAGCTCTTCCTCCCGGCACCTCCTCCTGTCTCTTTGGTGAGTATTGCTCTCTGCTGCTTCCCCACCCCAGCCTCTCATTTGTCCCTGTTTGGTTTCCTCGTGCTCTTTTGTCTCTGCCTTTTTTTGTCTTTTGATTCTTTTTGTTTTTGCTGACTCCTTTTGCTTACTCCATTGTCTTTGCTTTTTCTCTGTTCTTTCTGTTTGCCTCTCATGGTGTTTTTCTCTTTTTGTCTCTTATTGTGCTTCTTGGCTCTGCTTCTCCATGTGTGCCTGTGGCCATTGCCTGCGAGCCTGAGTTTCCTTAGTGTTTTTCTCCTTGCCTCTGGTTTCCTCCCTCTATCCTGGCTGCTGCAGCCACTTCCCAGCATAAAACTGTAACTCCTTTCCCTTTTATTACCTCTTTTCAATTCTGATTTTAGTTGATGTCTTTATTCCCTGAGCAATTCTTCCAGCTAGTTATGCCCTGACTATGGTCTGTGGCCCATGACAACTCCCTCCTACTGTCACGGGATTGCTGCCTTTTCCCCCACCCTACCCCACCCATGATTGACTATGCTAAGAAGGACTGGGGCTGGGGAGCTTCTGGGTTTAAAGAGGAGGGGAGCGATGAGGTAGCCTGAGCAATAGCAAGGCTTGGCCTTGTGCTGGATGAGTCTGTTTGATTCAGTAGAGGGTAAAGCCTGTGTGTGAACAGGTAGCCTTTCTCTGTACTTAGTACAAGGGACCTGGGGACTAGGTTGTGACATATGCCACTGTTGCCCTGTTACTCTGGCACAGGAACTGTAAGGGTACCTTAGCTGAGATGCTCCCTTGCCTAGGAGCTCCTAAAGCTAGCCTGAAATCCTGGTGGCAGTCTTCATTGCCTCCATGCGTCAAGCGGACCCTCAACCCTGGGCTCCGAGGGCAGGGGATACTCAGAGCCCTGTGAAAATCTCCCATGTAGGGAAGGCCGTGCAGCCTGCTCCTCCATTGCTTCTTCCTAGACTGTTTCCTCCCTCCAGCTGTGTCATGTGAGGGAGGGCTTGAAACAGGAAACTGATCACATTGTTTGAGTCTGGGAAGCGCTGTTGAGATCCACTATGGTGAAGCCTCTGTGGGGTTTTTTTTTGGCTTTTGCTAGACTGGGTTGGGGTGTCTTCTTTTTTCCTGTTCCCACAACTGAGAACCCCCTTCTGCCCTACCCCAGGACAGAGTGAGGGATGGGGATGGCGCCATTCTCTGAGAGGGGTGAGGTAGAGTTCCACCACAGGTGGGGCTGAACAAGGTGACACTAATGCCGTGGCTGTCATCTTTGAAATGTGACTCCATGCGTGGCTGGTACTCCTGTGTGTCCCCACACACAGCCGTACCCATACTGGTCCCGATTCTCACTGTTAGTTGGGACTGTGGAGGACCTTATCCCAGCTCTATCTCTTAGTTCCCATTTCATCAGAACAAACAGAAGAAGCAGAGAAAGAAGACCTTAGGGTCCAGCTGAAGCGGCACCATCCCTCCAGTCCTCTGTCTGGCAGTAAGACTTCCAAGCGACCTAAGATCAAGGTGTCCCTTATCTCCCAAGGAGACCCAACCGGAGGGTCTTATACCCCTTCCCAAGGAGGAGCCCCAGAAGGTGAGTTTCCCTTGACCTGTTTTAACAGACACTGACTGAGCTCTCCCAGGGCACATAGCATTGCCATCTTGAGGCTGCTTGCTGGAGGTTCAGCCTCTCCTTTAGTGTGGGAGATGCCTGGAACAGAGGGCTCAAAGTGGCCCGTGGGGGGAAGATGGGCAGTGACTTGGTCTGAATTAGGATCAGGGAGGCAGAACAAAGATCAGAGGAAGCTCTAGGATCATTCAAAGCATCATATATTTGGGGTTTTATTGTTTGTTTCAATTTAAAATAAAACATTCCAGAAGGTTTAGAAAAATGGGAGGAAAACAGTAGCTCCAACCCTTCGTAGTCTCATGTAGTTATTCTTCATTTTTCACCTTCCAGTCTTTGTCCATGATACTTTGCATTTAGCCTGGCTGTGGAATCTGAAAGGCAGGCCGAACAGGACTGACTGGCAGCTTTGGGGCTTTGTTTTGCAGCCACAGGAGGGAAGCCCATCACGATGACACTGGGGCAGGCATCAGCAGGGGCCAAGGAGCTCACAGGGCTTCTCACCACAACCAAGTGAGTCCACTTCTTCGTCTGTCTGGCTCTGTTCCCTTCTCTCTCTTCACCCTTTTCTCTGGTACACTTTAATGCTTTGGGGAGATGACAGATTCTAGATTCTGTAAGTTTGAGGAATATGACTTCTTTTCAGGTAGGATCTTTATTTTTATTTTGGGTCAACTCAGAGTTCAGTTTATTTGTACCTAAAGTTTGCAAAGCATCCCATAGCTCTTGCTTCAAGGCTTGAAGTCTTTACTTTAGGTGTGACTTCTAGAAGGACTAGAGGCTGGATTCAAAAGGTGGGAGGAAGAAACCAGAGGTTCTAGCACGTCCATTGCTGAAACCTTGCTGGGCCCTGCTCTGGACCCTCCTGGTGTTGCCAGGGTCTGCAGCCCTCCAGCCTTTGAATAATGGAGCTCCTGTCTTTGTGTCCAGGTCCAGTACTTCTGAAGGGGGTGTGTCAGCCAGCCCAGCCTCCGCCGTGGTCTCCAGCAGCACTGCACCTAGTCCCTTGCACACACTCCAGAGCCGCCTAGTGGCCACCTCCCCTAGCAGCTCCCTCCCAGGTATCCGGGGGCCCAGCATCCCGGCCCTTCAACTGAGTCTGGGAAGTTGCTGTTGGGTAGTCCTGGGAAAGCAGCCTGGAGCTGAACCTCAAGAACACTCTTTGGGGACTTGGGCTTGTCAGGGAAGCTCGACAAGAAGCTGGAATTAGCTTCAAGGGGCATGAAGTTCTTGGCCTTAATATGCCCAGTGAGTAAACAACCCAGTCTATGGGCAGTGTATCATGCACTATAAGGAGGAGAAATCACTGGTGGGAGATGTAGGTATTGTGTTTCATGTTGGTGTTTATAAACACATCCGACTGAATAAAACCAGATATGATGCTATACTGGGCATTAGTAAACAAGACATTTCTGCCTATGCATGTCTCCTCACCTTTCCCAATGCACACCAGACACTGAAAGGCTAGTTGCTTGAGCCCAGCAGGGCCGAGGCACATGCCCTTCTCCTTCAAGAAGACCTTTCTCTTACCCTTGAGGCCACTGGGCTGTGTGCCAAGTGAGGTATACGTCAGGTACCTTGAATTCTTTTGGCTCAAAAAGTCCTTTCTCTTCCCTGGACAGAAGTGAGGGAATTTAGAGTTCTGAAAAGTGGGATTCAAGCTCTTTTTGGTTTTCCTAAAACTGTCCAAAACGTAGGGTGGGTGGTTTGGAGCAGGTTGGGATGTACAGAAAGATTCAAGGCCATGGATGCGCATAGCCTCATCCTTATGTGAGTGCTCAGTAGGTGTGCTGGGAAGAAGCCCTGGCCCGCCTCCTCTAGGAGCGCTGGGAATGTCCAAGGGAAAGAACATAGGTGTTTACTCGGTTATTGAGATTGGGTGGGATGACTGCTCTCAGGTAAGTGGTTGAGTTTGTGCTGATGCCTGTCACATCACCTCCTAGGGGCCACATCAGCCAGCAGCCTCCTCCAAGGCCTCAGCTTCAGCTTGCAGGATATCAGCAGCAAGACCTCTGGCCTCCCAGCAAATCCCTCCCCAGGACCATCCCCACAGGTGCACATCTGCCCTCCTCTGGGCCAGGCAGGTGTGGGGAGACCTCCTCAGCTTGGTTGGTTTTGGTAGGGAGTCTGGGTCTGGGATCTGGATCAAGGATAGATAGCCTCTGACTTCCCCACTGGGAGCTGCCAAAGGTTAAGGCTTCATCACTTAACTACTGTGTGACACTGGACAAGTTTCTTGACCCCTCTGTGTCTTTGTTCCCTTGTCTATAAATTGAGGATAATTGTCCTTTCCTCACAGAGCTGTTTTGAGGACGCAGTAAGACAATATGTGAGGAGTTACTGGAAGAGTACCTTGCGTGTGGTGGGCACTCAATACATGGTAGCCTTTAATAACATGCTGTGGGCCCTCCACACTCGAACGTGGCCGTTGGGCAACAGCTTCTGATCAACTCGGCTTGTGTGTCCCACAGGCCACCAGTGTGAAGTTGCCCACCCCCATTCAGAGCCTAGGTACCATCACCACGGGCACCAGCACCATTGTCCGTACCATTCCTGTGGCCACCACTCTCTCCTCCTTGGGTGCCACTCCTGGTGGGAAGCCCACAGCCATCCACCAGCTGCTGACCAATGGGGGCCTCGCCAAGTTGGCAAGCAGTCTACCTGGCCTGGCTCAGCTCTCTAACCAAGCATCAGGTGAGTCTTTCTTGAGCACCATGGGGACTCCCAGATATGGGATTTCCCCCAGAACCTTCCCTTCTCACATGGGCAAGGTATGCTGTTGGACCCGACCAGGGTCTTGGCATTGACCTCCGGGTAATTGAGCTTCTGGGGGTTCATCCCCTAGAGAGGTTGAGAGAACACTAGCTGTTTCCTTTTGTTTTTCAGAATGACTGGTAGGGTGGAGACAACTCAGCTGGGGAGGAGGTCGAGGAAGTGGGGCAGAGGGAGGTGTATTAGGTGGGGAAGAAACTCCCAGGAAAAGAAAGTGGGGATGTAACAAAAAACCTCCCACTCACTTGCTCTCTCTTTCTTTCTCCCCTCAGGTTTGAAGGTCCCCACCACCATTACTCTGACCCTGCGTGGACAACCAAGCCGAATCACCACACTGAGCCCCATGGGCCCAGGAGCAGCTCCATCCGAGGAGCCCACCTCCCAGGTGCTGCCCTCCAACTCACAGGTGAGTCTGCCCAGGAAGATGAGGACACAGGCTCCAGCATTGGCAAGTTTTGATGCACGGGGTTTGTAGGCATAACAGATTCAAATCCAGACTTGGGGTTTGTAGTTTTGGAACTGTGAGCAAGTTATGGACCTCTTTGAGCTTCCTTTTCTGTCACACTCCCTTGGCTGTTGTGAGGATTAACTATGTAAAGTGTTCCCTTGTGCCATGTGTGTGTTGCAGTGCCTGGTGTTTGATGTGTTTGTTTACTTTCCCCCTCCATCCTTTTTCTCCCCCCTTCTTGGTGTCACCATGCAGAGGTTGGGGCAGATGCTCTCCAGCATTGAACCCTTCCACACCTTGGCACTAATTATCTTTTTGGGGCACAACTAGGTTTTTTATAGCTCTTAGTCAGGAGTCACCTTCAGTTCCTCTCTCAGCTGATCTGGTTTCCTTTATGATCTTTGGAAGTGAAATGTTTCTACTCTTAAATGGTCATCTGAGAGCCACACAAAGATCAGAGATTAAGGAAAACAGTTGTTTATGTCCAGTATGGAGTGTGCTTTTCCTTCAGTACCCACTATTTCAGCCAAGGCCTTCCATGCAGGAAAGGTGTGCTGGCTACTGTGGTGCAAGGCTGGCCCTGGTCCTGGCATTCCCACCACCAACTCTACCTGAGAAAGGGGGCTGGGCGTGATTGGCTCTTGAACGGGTCAGAAATTCCTTTGCACGGAGGTTGTTTCCTGGCATCCATTGGGATTATAGCCGCATCCCTTGCCATTTTGCAGAGAGGTGGAGGTGTTCTCATTTTTTTTATTCTGTTCATTATTTTTTCAATTACAAAAGTGATTGCTTATTTTCAATAATATGAACATTACAGAAATAATGCATTTAGTACAAATTTCCCATGATACCACTCCCAGAGGTGATAACCACTGTTAGTGGCTTGAAATGCATCCTTCTAGATTTTTTTTATTTTAGTTTTTGACAAAAATGGAATCACAAGATACAGACTTTTGTAACTAGCCTTTGTTTATAAAATATGTTGTAGCATGTTTCTCTGGTGATTACAGAGAGACCTATCTATGTCTTATCAGTGACTATCTGACAAGAGGCATTGTAAGAAAGCGGGTTTTGCCCACCTCCTGATGGATAGTGAGTTAGGTTATTGTTTTTTGATATCATAAATAATGGTAACATGGATACCCTCGTCATGATTTTTGCTTACCTCCGGGAGATTCCTGTAGGCTGGAGACCAGTAAGTAGAGGGTATATGCATCTACGACCTGCAAGCTGCTGAGTAATTGTCCTTCAAAAGGTTTTGTTGATCTACCGTTCAAGCCACAATGATGAAAATATGTTTGTCTGTATCATTGCCAATTGTGGAAATTAGTATTTTTAATTTTACTGATTTGATGGGTGAAAAGTGAAATTGTTTTAATGTGCATGTTCCTGATTATTTATGGGGTTGTATGTCTTTTATGAATTGCCTGTTATATTCTACATCTGTTTATTTTATAGCAGCTTTATATAGTCAAGTCACATATACTTTATTCCAGTCAGTTGCTTTTTTTCTTTCCATTGAAGTATTAAGTGTATGTCTTTTAACTTTTGTTTCTGGATCTTTTATCATACAAACATTAAAATTTTTTATACAGTGGAATCTTTTTCCTTATGCTCTTTCCATTGCAAGAGTATAATCTTTTTGCATCTTCTTATTTTTAAGATGCAAAAAAAATGGTGTACATACATACCATTTACCATTTTTATCCTTTTAGGCTTACAATTCAGTGGAATGACGCACCCTCGCATTGTTAGGCAGCCATTACCACTGCCCATCTGTAGAACTTTTCCTTCATCCTATATTAAAACTGTGTTTTCTTAAAGTGCTTCTGTTTGTTTGTTTACCTTTAGCTTTTCAGTCTACTTGGAATTTGTTTTTATGTGCTAAGTGAAATGAGGCCCTAACTGTCGAGCCCATTCATCCTTCCTTCATTCATTTGACATCACTGCTCTCACATTCTAGATTACTCTGCACACAGTCACGTGTTTCAGAGTAAAAGCACTCTTCTGATTTGCTTTTATTTCACTTAGGATTTTGGTTTGTGTGTTAATTAGTGAGATTGGCTTGCAGTTTCCTTTCAGTCACTCCTACTTGTGTGTGTGCGCGCGTGCGTGTGCTTTTCTTGTCCAGTTGTATAAAGAGGGTAATTCTATCTTTATAGGACAAGATGGGAAGTATTTTTTGTTTTTCTCATGCTCTGAAACATTTATATAGCACAGAAATGACCAGTTCCTTGATGGTTTGATGGAAATGACCTGTAAGCCATAGGGGGTCTGTTTTCAGGCTGTTGTAACCTTCCTGATGCCCATTGATGCACAACAACCCTGCCACATGATGCCCTCCTCTCTTCAGTGGTCCTTCGGGCCTGCTGTGGCCTGGGGGAGCTGGTTAGTGCTGAGAAGAGACTAGAGGTCTTCGAGAATCCTCATTCCTGGCTAAATGGAAGCACAGAATAAAGATAACATCTGACTTCTACCTGAGGGAATTAACTCAAGAGCTTGGTTTTTATCCTAGTAAAATAGGTGTATAATTACTAGGAGGGTTCTAGTGGTGATTCTTTTCTTACAGACAAAGGAGGTATTATTAGATTAAGACTTGCTGACTTGAAACCTTGTAACAGTTACCTTACAGTGTTCAGACTGCCAGACAGTGTGATACCATGGAACGCCCTGGGCTGTGGTTACGCCCTCTGTCTTCAGCAAGCTGTGTCATTTCAGGCAAATCACCCAGCCTCTCTGGGCTTTTGTTTTTTCATCTAATTTTCTGAGGCAGTGATTGTTGTGGTGGGATTAGTGGAAGCTGTCTCAGAATCTCCGCAGGCTTTAGAAGGTGAATTTTTAAAGGTTGAAAAACAAGCTACCCATTTATATCATTTATAAGATATTTGGACATTTGAACACTGACTGGATAATTATTGATGTGAAGGAATTATTACCCTTTTTATGTGTGATAATTGTGTTTAAAAGTTTGAAAAAATAATCCCTTTCTATTCCGGAATTACATATTGCAATATCTACGGATAGAATGAATTTAAAAATAAAAGACTTGTGAACACCAACTAGACTTCTCTTGAGGTCTCTGCAAGCACTTAATTACCTGTTTTGTTTCTAGCACTGATGGATATTTGCTGTGTGTTTCCTTTATGGAGCTGGACTATTATGTCCTCCCTGCAGCAGAAAGGCTGAGGAGGAAGAGTGAACATTAGACCTGAGAACAGATCCTTGCCTGTGGTCACCAGGTTCTTCTCCTCCCTGGCCACACCTCTGGCCACCCTGTGACCTGTAGTAGCCCCTGGGAGTGGGCTCATTGTCAGATGTAATCCTAACCAGGACAGAGTAAGCCTCTATGCACAGCCTGCCTTTGGGTGGGGTGGGCACATGGGAAGTGCATCTTTTGAGTTTTGATTGTCAGACCCTCTTCTTTGATTGTCGTTCCTCCTCTTCTGGGCCCTCTGTCCTCCCCTCTTTACTGCACTCTCACAGACCTCAGGAGCTTTCCAAAGGTGAAATCTAGAGAAGTAGGGGAACCTTGGTGAGAAAAGGCCAGCTCTCTCAACCTTGCTTCCTTCTGTCTGAGCTGCTGGGCTCAACAATTCAGGGCACCTTCCATAATACCTAAAAAATGGATAGACCTAAAGAATGACATCATCACACATGTATTGAAAACCTCCCTTCAACAGTGTCACCCTTAAATGCACCTTGTTCCTTCTGCATTTTTTCCTCATTCTCATATATAATAAGAGCTCACCTTTGTAGTTAAACAGATGCTGTCATCTTACAGATGAGGAAAAGGAAGCTCAAAAGGCACTGGCCCTAGAAAATGGTAGAGGTGGGTCTCTGAGTACAGCATCCACATTCTGGGAACCACTTGGCTGCTAGAACACAAATCCTTGTGCGCCCGGCTTTTTCCCCATTGAAAATTGCTTTGGTATAAATTCTCAGGAGTGGGAAGAGGGGCCGGAGGATCTGGATGCGTTAACCTGGTAAAGTTCTGACCCTTGTTCACTACTTCTCCTGCCATAGCGCCTGCCTCCAGCTCCCTGAAGATGCCATGGGATGATCTTCCTTTACCAGATTGGCGATGGCTGCTACAGTGAGCCCTGGGTACATACGCTGTCCTGCTGAGCTGTCCACTTGTCTGAAGACATCTTTAAGACACTCATTTTTGTCTCCCTGCCAACTGTCTTCAGGGTTGGGCCTCTGGTCTTGTGAAATTGTTAGGCTAAGTAATATGGTACCAGCAAGGGGAGCATCATCCTCCAGCATCTATAGGTCTGGTTTCCAGAATCCCCAGGCTCCTCAGCAGATTTGGCTTTTCATGGGTCACCAGCACCAGCCATGCCACTCATTGCATTTCATAAAGGAGCTCCTTTTGGCAGTCTGTGCTGCCCCTGTGCCAAGTTTGGAGGAAACGTCCACATGGTGCAGGGCTGCTGGGGTTCAGGTTGAGAGAGAGCCCTTTGCTGAGGACCAAGGTCATCCTGGCCTACCCGTCGGCAGGTCAGCATTAAAAGGGCTTGTTTGAGACATTGCTGCTGCCTTCACTGAGTAGCATAAGAGAGTGCTCCTCGTGCAGCTCCCTCTGAGGAACCACAACAGAGTAGCCTGCTGAGACTGAGAATTCCTCATTTCAAGTCCATGAAAGAGCAAAGAGAACTAACCGGGCTGCCATCTCTCAGTCCCTTTGGGCACTGTACATGTGAAGAGTAGCAGTTGGTAGGAAGTGAACGCTGGCCCCTTTCTTTTTTTCATCATGGTTAGCAGAAAGCCTGCGGGTCCAGAAGGTTGAAGAAGAGCAATGGAACAGCAAATGAAGTAGCTTCAAGGATGTATCAGTAAGTCCCACGGTGAAAATTGTTTGGATTTGAGGTTTTGCATCTAGTACCTAAGGAACTGCTCTTCCACTGGAGATGAGAAGAGTTTGCAGGGTCAGTGGGGCACAACCTCCACCCCTAAAACCTCTCCTTCCAGCGCTTGAAGGTGAAACAGGGATAACCAGCTAAGTTAACACCTGGGCCATCTCAGGAAACTCGAGCATCAAGACAACGAAGGCCATGCTTCATTGCTTCTGTTTCTATTCCATGTGATTTGTTTTCTTGCTTAAAAGTGGGGAAATTCATTGGCACTGACACTACTGTGCAGGGCTCTTGGTGATATCTTGAGCCCAGGAAGTGGAGGTTCCTGAAGAAGTAATCACTGGTGATGGAGCTTGGAGTCCCTCTTTCCCTTGTCACAATACTTGTGTTCAAAGGTAGTTTTAGATTTGGCTTAGAACTCGTCATTCACAGCGGCCTCCCTTCCCTTCTGTACTCTAAAATGTTTCCAGCTGTGGTGATAAGTCAGGCAACCCAGTGGACTCAGTTCAGTATCTGTAGGCCGAGAGGGTCCACAGTATGCCATGGCCGAACTGTGGTCCAGGGTTCTGACCCACATACAGTGTCCCTCCAAACCAGGCCACCTGCATTCAATTCCGGAGCCTCACGTTCCGGTCTGAGTGGCAGCTAGGGGGGTGCCCAGTGTACGCAAGTCTCAGATGAGACAGATCTGGGGATGTGTATGATAAGAGTGGAGAGGGCATCTTAAACATACCCTTCCTCCCTGACTGCTGCAGAGCTGGTTTCAGTGGTGATGATTTGCACAGAAATACGCTGTATTCCTTTTTTTTTTTTTTTCAGATTTATATTTTATTTTGTTTTTTAATTTAATCTTTATTGTATTTTTCTATTACCATTTAGTCCCCTTATACTCCCCACCCTCCTACACTGTATTCTTGCATTAGCTGGTGGGTAAACTGCTTTTTGAAGTTCAGGGGGCAGTGAGTAAGGTTGAAAAAGATATGAAATCTGAAAGAGGCATTGGTGGGGTCAGGGGATTGTCAACTTTACAGGCAGGATAATCACATACCAACAGGACCTGGGGAAAGGAGGACTGTGAGACTATGTGAAGTTTTAGGAATCATTTAGGACAGGCAGGGGGTCCTAAACAGCCATTCATAGCTTAAGAGTACAGCCTAGGCAGCGCTGGCAGGGCTACTCCTGGAAGATGCTGGCTCGATGTGTGCTGGGGCCAGAGGAACAACTAACGCATCTTCCTGCTTTCATGTAAATCCTAGTGTGCTTCCCATGGACGACTTCCTGAAGCTTAAGTTGTAACACCCTGAAGAATGCCAAACTGGAGAAGGGGGATTGTGAGAACATGGATTCTGCACCTTGGAGGGACAGGCTAAAGGGGGAAGTCGTTGAAGTCCATAGAATCATGTTCCCCAATTCCACATCTCTTCCAACCACACTGTTTGAAATGTAAAAGGAAGCTTTCTTCTCTCTATCACATAGCCAACGTGGAGTCTATAACCCTCAGCCTGTTATACTCCTGGCCAAAATGTTGAAGGATGAAGAAGGCTTTAGTTAAATTCTTGGATGACAGATATATGTTGATGCCTTCTGGGAAATGTCCGTGTACTTTGAGAAGATGGAGGAAGATGTATCTGTTCTTGGTCTCACCATAAGAACAATATTGGGCTGAATAGCAGTCTTGGGTTATAGACTGAGCCACTGCAATAGTTTTGTTTTTACATTAACAAAAACGAAAACATAAAAGCAACTTTGCATCGCTCCAGCTTATTTTCAGTTGACTTCTTGTGTTTATTCTGGTAATAACCCAGTGAAGTGGCTCAAAAAATAAAAGCTAAGATACTGTGGTAATGCCTTTGTTCATCTCTGATGCCGGTGCCATGAGGTAGGTACTGTAATTCCCTTTTCACAGGTGCGGGAACTGAGACAGGGATATCATTCCATAGGAAGTGGCAGAAGCAGGATTAGAACCTAGGCAGCCTGATGCCAGCGTCTGCTCCACTCTGCGCTTGCTGGAGTTCTGAGGTGGGAGACCAGAAGTGGAGATTAGCCCAGGAGGTGAGAAGTTGGTGGCTTGGCCTTCATGTGATCCTTTTCAGTTTGCGTCCCACCTGCCTACCGTGATTGCTGCTGCCATGCTGACTCATGCTGGGCCTGAGTCAGTAGGTGGGGTCCTGAGAAATTAAAATCCCTTTACATATCCTATTATCTCCACCCTCTTTGATAAACAAAGAGAGGTGAGTGAATGAATTCCATTCTCCAGGTTATTTGTGAACTATTCAAGAGGACCTTCCTGCCTATCCTTGCATTCCAGGTCCCTATACTTGGCATTGGAACCCTCTGTGGGTGGAAGCCACAGTTGTGATAGGCTGCCTGAGGAATCCTGTACAAGTGGGCTCCTTTATCACCATCCATAATGCAGACCTGACATGTTCTTTCCCTCCCTTCCAACTCTACTCTCGCTGACTTGAGGCCGGGGCTGGGGCAGGGGGTTGGGGGGGAATCAGATGAAGTGAAAGATGAGGATTAGATGGTTCAGATGATAACTGCATTAAACTTCAGGAGCATATAGGGCCATGGCAAATTATAATGCAGAAAAATCTTTGGTAACTTATTAGCTTTCTTTTTAAAGCTTGGGTTTAAGCATATGTTAAATAAATGAATAAATAAAATCTTAAAAAAAAAGCCCCAGCTGGTGTGGCTCAGTAGATTGAGTGCCTGCCTGTGAACCAAAGCGTTGCCGGTTCGATTCCCAGCCAGGGGGCATGTCTGGGTTGCGGACCAGGTCCCCAGAAGGGGACCCACAAGAGACAACCACTCATTGGTGTTTCCCTCTCTTTATCATTCCTTTCCTCTCTCGCTAAAAAATAAAACCTTTAAGGCATATGTTATTCAGGATTGGTGGTTGCAAGAAGCAGAAACCATTCATCACCCAAATTGCTGTATTTTGCTGTGTATAATGTGCACTTTGCCCACATTTTTGAGGGAAAAATAAAAGTGCACATTATATATATGTAGTATTTGAAATATCTTGTATCTGTTCTTGTGTTTTACAATTATTTGTTACATAAAATTTCTTGTACCATAATATGTTAAAAATAAATGCTAAAATTCCTTTATAATACAAAAAACAAGTGTCTAAATATAAATAAATACAAATTGATTAAAAAGTTAAATGCTGCCCTGGCTGGTGTGGCTCGGTGGATTGAGTGCTCCCTGTGAACTAAAGGGTTGCTGGTTCAATTCCCAGCCAGGGCACATGCCTGGGTTGCAGATCAGACCTCCAGTAGGGAATGCATGAGAAGCAGTCACACATTGATGTTTCTTTCTCCCTTCCTCTCTAAAAATAATTTTTTTTTAATTAAAAGATTTTTCCTAAAAGTTTGGGCCCAAAAGGTGGGTACACATTACACATGGGAACACATTTTACACGACAACATATGATAGTTTATAAAGGGAATCTTCTCCCACTAGGTGTTCTCACAGGTGGAACCTGATAGTTTCTGCTGCTTGTCTCATGACCTCAACTGACTGGGGACCAGTTTTGATTCTTTAACAGGACTTTTCAGCTTCAAAGCTGTTTGTGGATGACTGATCTCTGTCTTTCAGTTCAAGTTTTGAACACAGTGACCCTGATTGCTTATGGTTGGTAATTCTTGCTGAATTTTTTTCTGTCAAGCTGTTCTTGACACTTATTCTTGGAAAGTGGTGTTGAAATTTCTCACACTAATTGTGGGATTACCTGTGTTTCCTTTTAGTCCTATCAGTTTTTGCATCACATATTTTGCAGGTCTGTCATCTGGTGCATAGACATTTAGGATCCCTGTGTCTTTGGTGGATTGTCATTATATAATGTCTTTCTTTACCTGCTAATTTTTATGGCCCTGAAATTTATTTCATATGACATTCTGATGTCAATCTCTATCTTTTAATTGGTGTGTTTAGATTGTCTCCATTTAATGTAATTACACAGGGTGGAGCACAGGTATATTTACAGTTGAGTATGCAAAACACTATTGTATTATTATTTAATAATTATTGTATTATTTTCCATATGAACAACTGAACAGTCTGTTTTTGCCCCACCCTGTAGATATGTTAGGGCTTAACATATCTACAGCCATTTTAGTTTTTGTTTTCTGTTTGTTTTTGTGTTTCTTTTTCCTGCCTTTCAAGTGGGTTATTTGAACTTTTTTTTTTTAAATGCCATTTTGATTTATCTGTAGTGTTTTTAAGTGTATCCCTTTGGACAGATAGCTTTTAGTGGTTGCTCTAGATGTTGCATTATGAATACACAGAACATAGTCTACTGGTATCCTCATGTACTAGTTTGAAGTGTAGAAGCCGAACCTCCTTTAATACTCCCTTATTTTCCCCTGTTTCTAATATAATTGTTTATGTGCTGAGGAACACATTAGACAGTGTTGTAAGTTTTTTTTTTTTTCCAAGTGTTAATTTAGAAAGCTCAAGAGAAGGAAAATATATTGTGTTTACCCATGTTTTTATTCTTTTTCATGTTCTTCCTGAGGTTTCAAGATTCCTACTTTTATTATTTTCTGTTTAGATAACTTCCTTTAGCCCTTCTTTTATAGGTCAGCTGTCAATACATATTTTAAATTTTGCTTCATCTGGCAAATGTTTTTATTTCCCTTTTATTACTGAAGGATGTTTTCACTGGACATATGTATTATTCTGGGTTGATGGTTCTTTTCTTTCAGCACTTGAAAAATATGCTATTTCTGTGGTTTCTGATGAGAAATCTGCTGTCATTCAACTTTTTTCCCCTGTAGACAAGGTGTTGTTCCTTTCTTTGTGCTTTCAGTTTTTTGGGGTTTTTTCCCCCTTTGTTTTTGGTTCTCAGACTTGACTATGATGTGTTTCGGCATGATTTTCTTTGGGCTTGTGTTGTTAGGGTTTACTCAGCTTCTTGAATGTAGGCTTACACCTTTTTGTCAAATTTGGGGGGATTTTTCAGCCACACCCTCCTTTTCTATTCCCAGGCCCCAATGATATGAATGTTAGATCTTTAAGTATAGTCCCACAGGGCCATGAAGAGTCTTTTTTTTTTTTTTAATTGTTATTTTTCATACTGTTTACTCTGTCCAGATTGTATTATTTCTGCTGTTCTGTTTTCAAGTTCACTGATACTTTCCTTGGCCCTCTCTATTCTGCTCTTTGAATCCATCCATTGAGATATTCACTTAGGTGGTTGTATTTTTCAGTTCTAAAATTTCTATTTTATTCTTCATATCTTCTGTCACTGTGCTGAGAACCTCTTTTTATTTGTGTCAAGTGTGTTTGTAATTGCTCACTGAAACATTGTTATAACTGCTTTAAAATCCTCATTAGACGATTCTAATATCTGTGACATTGCAATGTTGATGACTTGTTTTTTCTCATTCAGGCTGAAATTTTGCTGGTTCGTTTTCTTTTAATCCTCACCCCAGGATATGGTTATTGATTTTTTTTATATTTTGGAGAGAGAGGAAGCAGGGCGGGGTGGCAGGGAACATCTGTGTGAAAGAGAAACTTCGATGGGTTGCCTCCCATACACGTCCTGACTGGGGGTCAAACCCACAACCCCTTGGTGTATGGGATGATGCGCCAACCAACCAAACTACCCAGCCAGAGCAGATTTTTCTGCTTCTTGGTATGTTCTTTGAGTGGTTATGATTGAAACCTGGACATCTTGGGTGTTATCTATGCAACTATAGGTCTTATTTAAATCTGCTTTAGTAGACCTTGTTTGAGACTTCTCTGTCAGGATAAAGGTGGAGCTGCTTTGGTACTGCTAGGTGAGATGGAAGGCTAGGATCTCCAGATGGGTTTCATTGATACTGGGGTGGGAGAGGGACTCTTCTTTACTGCTGGATGGAGGTGGGAGTTTCAGCTCCCTGCCGGGCCTCTGCTAATACCAACCTGGCTGTAATGGGAAGGGATACATTGCTATTCTTCCTCACCCTGCCTTACTTTACACTGCACGGGTTACATGTCCTTGTTACTCCTGTGCAGTGTGAATGTTCTGACTTTCCACTAGGTCTTTGCTGGCAACACCCCTTCTGGGGTTGTATGTGCCTTGTTACCTCCAGTTAGGGGTGGGTGTCCAGGCTAATCATAGGGTCTCCAATGATACAGTGGGGATGGGGGTTGGCGGCCTCACCCCCACCCATTGGAATGAAGGTTTTGTTTCCCCACTGGCCGCCTTTTGACACCAACCCTCAAGTAACTAGACATTTAAAGAAATAATCACCTCAGGAGGAGGCAGCACACTGGACAATACATACCTTCTGAAGCAGAATCATTGGAAGAGATGGACCAAGAAGTCCAAATATACTCATATATGGTGAATGTATGGAAGTAGTTAAGGTTAGAAATTAGATGAAACAACAATAAGAAAACTAAAAAAGAACGAGATAGAAAAATTAGTTACGGAAAAAATAAAACAAGATAATATGGCTATAGAATTAGTGAGTTGGAAGGTTATAAGTAGGAACACTACCAGAAGGCATCAAGGAAAGCCAAGAAATACGGAGACTAGGAATAGTACAACGGAATTAAGAGTCTTTTTTAAAAAGATATTTATTTTTGGAGAGGAAGGGAGGGAGGGAGAAAGAGAGTCAGAGAAACATCAGTTGCCTCTTGCATGTGCCCTCTCTGGGACTGAACCTGTAACCCAGGCATGTGCCCTGGCCGGGATTTGAACCAGCACCTTTTGCTTTGCAGGATGGTGCCCAACCAACTAAGCCACACTGGTCAGTCAGTCTTGGACAGAAAAATAAAACTAAGGAAGTGATTGTTAAAAGAAGAGAATTTCTAGGAATTCAGAGAAAATAGGTTTTAGTTTGAAAGTTCCACATGGACTGCCAAAAGGGAACAGTATCGAGAGCTCACATCTGGACATACAAAGACAAAATCTGAAAAGGAGCCCATGTAGAAAATGCAGGTCCACCACAGAGTTTGAAGCAAAATCAGATGGACATGAGACATCCCAAAATGAATCTTGGTTTCAAAAGTTGTTCATTAATGTCTGTTATGTACTGAAGGAAAAAAAGCATAGAATTTAAATGGGAGGGCATGATAAAAATGTTCTTGGGCATGATAAAAATGTGCTCAGGCATGCAAAACTTCAAAAGGCTAACATCTAAGACTTACCAAAAGTATTTAGAAGTACTTAGAAACAAATCCAGACCAATAGCAGGAAATATAGGAAGTGAGGATGATTAAATCTTTCTAAAGCTTATTGTTTTTTAAAAAAAAAAGTCAAGTACAAAATATATCTCCATCTAGAACTAAAATTTTAGATAATGATTGGACCTGGGGCAGTGAGATAAAAGAAAATGTAAAACAGGCTGAAGCTCTCGTGGAAAGATAGTAAGAAGCTGATGGTATATAACCTAAGAATGGATTAAGGCAATGGTAACCACACTAAACAAAAAGAACCACACTTAAGAACAAAAAAGTCATACAAAC